CCCCCCCCCCCCCCCCCCCCCTTTGTGTGATATCTCCCTCTTCGAGACTCCCCTGGGACTCGGTTTCAATCCTCTCGTGGATTGTTCCTAATAACCCTGCTCGATTCCCTTTTCCTCTCCCGCTTGTCCTTTTCTTAAAATTATTTTATCGTGACTCGTAATTGCTGATACCCGGCTACGCAGCATCCTGTATTGTGTATTTTTCGGCTTACGCAGTCGTCCGTTTCTCCCTTGCTTCTCCTTTTTTAGAGCCCTCCCTCAACAGCCTTAATCAGGCTATTTTCGCGTGGGCATTCTCTCTTTCACCTTTGGGTTTCCAGTTTACACCACTGTCATTGGGGTATTGTCTTGGGAGAATTACTTTTGTGAGTATGAGAACATGACGGCTCACATCCCCTTACATGTACTGTACCGGCAGTTACTGTGTCCTTCTCCATCACTGAACACCTTACCAATGAACCCTCTAACACCAAACTCTTTGTCTAGGCCACAATAGATAATATCCATACTCCATTCCCTCTTTCATCCGGTCTTTCCGAATCTACCATTTTGCATACCCCATGTTCGCGGGAGTGATGGTTAGATAGATAGACAGCCTCGTTATCATCCCGTCTCCCCCCTCCTGCACAACTACACCATACCCGTGTCGCAATATCCGCCCCTCTCAATTCTGGGATTATAACGTTGGCTCTTCCTCCAATTTCTTTTCAATTAAAAAAAAGCTGCCTAAAAGGTCATGAGAGGCTCCTGGCTTATCCCCCAGCGTTTCCGCAACGTCAATGCCGCAGACTCGGCTGACGCCGGATGGCTGAATCGCCGCTTGACACAAGCGCTGCAAGCTGTGTCTCGCAGAGCATGTTTGCATCCCATCCATACCATTGTGGTAATCGCTGTGCTTGCCAGTACGACATATGTTGGGTTGTTGGAGGGGAGCTTGTTCGATGCGGTAAGGGACGTGGGTGTGGGTCCCGGACAGCTGGATGTTGAGCCGTTGTTGAAGGGGGCGAGGAATTTGAGACTGGGAGAGGCGACGGGGTGGAGATGGCAGGTTGACGATACTGCGGAGATTGAGGGGAATGAGGTAGGGTAGCCTCTTTTTTCTTCTTCTTCTTTTCTTTCTTGTTTTTCAATTTTATGTCTACAGCATTTTAGGGAACGATGCTAACTATTTCCCCATTTTAACTGTGCAGGCTGTACAGCATCTTGCCCTCACAACTTTCATATTCCCAGACTCGTCATCCCGTTCCCCGAAGACAGCTCCCGTCGCAGAAAACGTCCAATGCCCCGCTAACTGCTCCGCATTTCCTATCCCGCATACCCCCAACTTGCTCTCCCCCATCTCCCATGATTCTTCCCTGGCATTCGCGGTGCCCTATGAGCAGATATCAGATTTCTTGAAAGCTTCCCAGGAAATTCCAGAGTCTCAGGATGCTCAGGATGGTGGCGAGCAGAAAAAATGGATCATGAAAGCTGCTCGTAGCTCCGGGTCGGGGTCGCGACGTGCACTGCGGATCTGGTTGACTGATGCGTGGAATTCGTTTGTTGATCTTTTGAAGGTATGCTGCAACTCAGCGCTGCGGATTATCAACCATATAATGTTTCTGAAACTACTGCTAACATATATTTTGTCATAGCATGCGGAAACCGTCGATATCATTATCATGGTGCTCGGTTATATATCTATGCATCTTACCTTTGTCTCCCTGTTCCTCTCCATGAGACGCCTTGGCTCCAAATTCTGGCTTGCAACCACCGTCCTTTTCTCGGGGGCATTTTCCTTCCTCTTTGGCCTCCTCGTCACCACGAAACTGGGCGTCACCATCAACATGGTTCTCTTATCAGAGGGCCTCCCCTTCCTAGTAGTTACGATCGGATTCGAAAAGCCCATCATTCTAACAAAGGCGGTCCTCTCAGCCTCCCTGGACACGCGTCGCCAGACACCCGCAAGGCAAGTAGGTTCGAATGCTGCCACTGTTCCCCCCTCCTCACCACACTCCATCCAGGACGCTATCCAGTTCGCCATCAAATCAAAGGGCTTCGAAATCGTTCGTGACTACTGTATTGAAATTGCCATTCTGGTTGCTGGTGCCGCATCTGGTGTCCAAGGCGGTCTAAGACAGTTTTGCTTCCTTGCTGCATGGATTTTGTTCTTCGATTGTGTCCTGCTCTTCACGTTTTACACTACGATCCTCTGCATCAAGTTGGAGATCAATCGGATCAAGCGGCATATTGCTCTTCGCAAGGCGTTGGAAGAGGATGGTATTACCCGCTACGTTGCGGAGAGTGTGGCAGCTAGCAATGATTGGCCTCGTATGAGCGCGGATGAGAGTGGAGCAAATGGAGACAGCCGGGGAAGTACGAATGGGGTGTTTGGCAAGAAGGTCAAGGCGAGCAGTGTCCCCAAGTTCAAGATTTTGATGGTGGGTGGATTCGTGCTTGTCAATGCTTTCAACCTGTGCACGCTACCATTCCGAAATCGTCAGGATGGACTTCTTTTCCCCGCACTATCGAAAATCACCAACGTCTTATCACCTGCCCCAATCGATCCGTTTAAAGTTGCGGAGAACGGCCTTGATGCGATTTACGTCACTTCAAAGAGCAAGCAGCAAGAAACCGTGGTGACTGTATTAGCACCTATCAAATACAATCTCGAATATCCCTCTGTGCACTATGCGGAAGCGGAGGAAGGTGGAATTTTTGACATTGAATATACAGATCAATTTTTGGATGCTGTTGGGGGTAAAGTTATCGAAAGCCTGCTGAAGAGTCTTGATGATCCAATCATCAGCAAGTGGATTATTGCCGCTTTAACTCTCAGTGTTATCCTTAATGGTTACCTCTTCAACGCTGCGCGGTGGAGCATTAAAGAGCCCGAAACAGTTAGTCACACTCCGAAAGAGCCCGAAATCGACCATAAGGAGGAGCAGAGGAAAGAGGAAATTAAGGTGAATGGCACACTTCGAACACGCGAAGAGTGCGAGAAGCTGCTCAAGGAGAAGTTGGCCCCCTTCTTGACGGACGAGGAATTAATTGATCTGTCCCTGTGCGGCAAGATCCCTGGCTACGCCCTCGAAAAGACGATGGAAGACCCCAGCATCCCCCGCATCGACGCACTTACACGCGCAGTGAAGATCAGAAGAGCCGTCATTTCCCGAAACCCGCTTACAGCTGAACTAACCAGCTCATTCGAATCCTGCAAGCTCCCGTACAAGGATTACAACTACACCCTCGTCCATGGCGCCTGCTGCGAAAACGTCGTCGGTTATCTTCCACTCCCACTAGGCCTCGCAGGACCGCTCGTCATCGATGGAACAAGCTACTTCATCCCCATGGCTACAACGGAAGGTGTTCTTGTTGCGAGTACAAGTCGTGGCTGCAAAGCAATCAACGCTGGCGGCGGGGCTATTACTGTACTCACAGGCGATGGCATGACCCGCGGACCCTGTGTTAGCTTCCCAACGCTGACTCGAGCAGGCGCAGCGAAAGTCTGGCTAGATTCTGAAGAAGGACAAGCCGTAATGAAGCACGCATTCAACTCCACGAGCCGCTTTGCGAGATTGCAGTCGATGAAGACGGCCATGGCCGGCACGAACTTGTACATCCGTTTCAAAACCACGACAGGCGATGCGATGGGGATGAATATGATATCCAAGGGTGTCGAGAAGGCGCTGCAGGTCATGTCCACGGAAGCGGGGTTCGACGACATGACTGTCGTATCCATTTCGGGGAATTACTGTGCCGATAAGAAACCTGCTGCTGTAAATTGGATTGAGGGACGGGGCAAGGCAGTCGTTGCTGAAGCGATCATACCTGCCGACGTGGTCCGTGGCGTGCTGAAGAGCGACGTCGAGACGCTCGTCGAGCTGAATACGAGCAAGAATTTGATCGGGAGCGCCATGGCGGGGAGCATTGGTGGGTTCAATGCGCATGCGTCGAATATTGTGACCGCATTGTTCATTGCGACGGGCCAGGATCCCGCGCAGAATGTCGAGAGTAGCAATTGTATCACCATTATGAAGAAGTGAGATTCCCTTGTTCCCCCCCCCCCCAACCCCAACCCCAGACCCCTTCAACATCCCACTAACCAGACCACAACAGCGTAAATGGCAACCTCCAAATCTCCGTCTCCATGCCTTCCATCGAAGTCGGCACCATAGGCGGCGGCACAATTCTCGAAGCTCAATCGGCCATGCTCGAACTCCTCGGCGTCCGTGGCGCGCACCCCACCAATCCGGGTGACAATGCTCGACAGCTCGCCCGCATCATCGCCGCTGCTGTCCTGGCAGGTGAATTGAGTTTGTGCAGTGCGTTGGCAGCGGGACATCTCGTTCGGGCGCACATGGCGCACAACAGGAGTGCAGTGTCGGTTGCAGGCGCAGGCGCAGCGTCGACGGTTACGCCTAGCGCGGTGCCCACGCGGTCTGTTACGCCGGTTTCGGCGGCGGTGGGGGCTGCGAGGGGGTTGGCGATGACACGGGCTGGGCAATAAAAGGGCTTGTGTAATTTTATTTTATTTTTTATATTTCCTTTTGTTAGTTGGTGTGATGAACAGATGTCGTGTCTTCCTAACATTTTGCGTTTTCTCATGTTCCCCCCGCCACGGCATATATGGAGCGTATATCCACTGGGAATTTTGCTTATTGGTCTTAACTTTTAAAGTATCTTGTCTTCATCTTCCATCCTCATCTCTCTTCCTGCTCCTTGTTGTAGCTCTTTTGGTGTTTTGTGTGTCAATGTGCTTTTTTTGTCGGTCCTGGTTACATATAAAACTCACATGTACAGAAGAAGAGAGGAGACGAGAGGAGAAGCTATGGAGAACCTGCATATCGCCTACCATTCCCCGCCGGTCTTGTCTGTTTTGTGATGACCGTTGATTCACGTTACTGTTTCCCACGACTACACCTGTATATGTACATATCCCTTTTCTGTCGTACCCCCTCCGTTCCCCTCTTCGCTTCGGTTCTTGGACTCTCACGAGCCAACTGGTGGTGGGCACAGTGCATATAGAGATATCCAATCAATCTTATTTTTCTTTAAAAAGGGCATTTCTGTCCGTCATCGAACCGAGAGCTTTGACGGAATAACTTTTTTCTCCCGAATTTCCGCCGTCTCCTCACCGCTCGCTTTCTTATGTAAATGTTCAGAATGCCATCGTATTTCGGTAAACCAACCTTACAAACTGTAAGATTTCCAAGGATTGACTTGAACCTAGATAACTAATCTCAACCACTGGAACCCAAGAACCCGTGGGGAAATAAACGCCGACCTGCTCACTACACTATCCTTATTTGAGAGAGAGAGAGGAGCCAGGCCTGTTGACATTTCCAAGGTTTCTTCCAGAAAGTGGGTACAACTCCCTGTTCCCTGTTCCCTGTTCCTGTTCCTGGACCGGGTTTAGTTGGGAAATCAGCTCGGCTTCTTTTCTCAGTAGAACAACCTGACAATGGTGGAGGGAGTCCCAGTTAATGTTCATCTGCAGACTCTCGGTCTTCCCCCGAGAGTTCAACAGCGCCTACACGCTAAACCGTCCACTGATGGTTTAACCGGCGGGTAGGTAGATCATGCAAATACGAGCAGCACGCACCGACGCAGTCAAGAGAGACGAGACGCAACACAGCGCGTAACAAGCGTAACACCCGTATGGCTCTTCCATCAAATCAGTAACTAAAACATCCCAGTAGCGTCGCTCACTGCGGTGGCTGACTCGTGATTGCAGCGTGCCTATTCGGCTGCTAGCCAGGGCCCGAGCAGGACCCTTTAACTATATACTTCAATTAATCATCGTTTCTGGTTTGTTGTTGGAGTCTGTCTGCGCGGTTTTCCAGGGTTGGGCCCCAGGGCTTATTTACTTAGTCGCTCAGGGATCTGTTAGTTGTGGGTTTCTCGGAGACCTCTGTGTAGATCGAGTCTTCGTCATCCTCCTCCTATTTTCCTCAATTCCAACCAAACCTCTCAACCTCCTGCACAGAAAAGGGGGCTGGGAGAAGGGGAAGGGTAAAGGGGAGGGAAGGGAGAGAGGGGTGGAAATGCATCATCTGAGATCATCATCCATCATCCTCTTGCAACAATCCCTAGGGATTCCGTAATTCACGCATTTCAGCTTTCTTCATTCCCCCTCGTTCTGTCTACTCCATCCACTCGCTCTCTTCATTTCCTACCTGTGAAAACCTACCCCGATCGAACCTTGGGGCCAGAGCCAGCGTGGCTGATCGTCTGCCAGAGAAGACACACTCTCCCCCCCTGCCGTCCTCCGTAGCGAAGATCTCCTGATTTTCCTCTTCTTCGTCCACCCGCTCGAACTCTCCCGTCGCGTCCCAGATTTGGACAAGACGGAACAACACGCTGCATTCGTTCCGCCAAGGCTAACAGTTTAGTTACCCCAGTGGTCGTCGCCTCTTTTCATCTCCCTCTTCGTCCTCCTCCGCTTGGTTGTTCCTTCAACCATCTCACGATCTCCACTTCTCCGCCACCACCACCACCACCACCATCCTCGCCACCAAACCCCCCAACCCCCCAACCCCCCCCAACCCCTAATCCCCTACCTCCCTACCCCTAACCCTAGTCTCCAAACCACCTACCGAATCTGCTGCCAACCTCGTCTCCATGAAACTTGTCCTCTCTGCTGCTGTTATTGTTTCTCGACACGCTCGTTACGACCTTTCATTCTGCTCTTCGTCCTGACCCTCCCTTGTGCCTCGTCTGCGGCTATTCTCAACACTCCCAGACCGCTATTCGGCTGGTGAAACGTACTCCTCTCCAGACGCTCCATACGGCCAAAACCTGCCAGCTAGCCAGTCAGCCCAGCCATCCCGAGGAGAGAGAAAAAATATACAATTCTTGGAAACCTGAACTGAAGGGAAAGGAGAGAAGAGACACAAAAAGCGCAGTTGCATACAACGAACAAATCTGCATATCCGTTCAAACCATCATTGATTAATTAATGTTCGCTCCCAATGCTGTGAAAACAAGGGGTTCCAGATAACCAACCACTCTCTTTTTCCTTTGGTTCATTTTTCCTTCCCTCACCTCCCCCCCCTCCCCTTTCTCTCTTCTCTCCTTCCTAGCCGCTTAACCTCCCCGCTACACCTATACGGGAATGCCCTGCTCAGTCACCCAGGGAGACAATGTCACGCATTTCTGCTGACGAAAGCATATGGCCCGGAACCAACCATTTCCACTCCATGAGCAACAAACTCGATCCCTCCAAATCTCCCGCTCCCCCGCCCGGTCGAAGCGCCCCAGCATCCACCCCGAGATCAGGTGGCCCACCCTTCAATCCTCTGGAATTAAATGCTCCTGACATTGGTCCTAATGGTCTCATCAACAGCAGCGGGCCCCCGAATTTCAATGGTACCAATGGTGTCTACGGGAACAATGCCCTTGCTCTGCATCGGCCGTCGGCCAAGTCCCAAAACCCCTCACCCCCCAGCTCGGTCGCCTCTAAGTCAAGGGTCAGTGATGGAACCCTTTCCGACCAGCGGAGCAGGAGATATGGCATGATGGAGGACCTGCTACGGAAGCATTACGCGATACTAAAACGGTTCATGCAGGGACAGGGCCGAGAGGACCTCAACGCTTCACGGGCAAGTAAGGCCCGCGACAAACTCCTCCGCCTCTCCCCAGGCCAGGTCATGGAATTGAGTACAGATGTCTACGACGAGTTGCTCCGCCGACAGGCTCAATCGCCCAATCGACCCGGTGGCAACAGGCCAGATGTACCACCCTACTTGCTCCCGCGTCAAGAATTCCACGAAAAGCGCAACCAGGCGCGCCAGAAGTTATCCACCCTGCTACAACCACGCTTCATAGACCTGGCTGCCGACGTGCTGTGCGAGTTGGAACGGCGCCTCCCTCACTTCGCCAACATGGATCCTGCAAGTCGCAGAATGAGTCCCGCACTGAGTGTGCGCAGTGTTGTTGGAGGCGGATACGCTTCCAGCAGCAACGGCTATGATCCACGCCCAGGTTCTAACGATTCCTCGAGCTACGGGACAAATAGCTACCCTGCCCCTCTCCGCACACACTCTCGAGGCCCGGGTCCCGGCGGTCTGGGCCTCCGGGGGGGTTTGCCGCCTGACCCGCACCCGCCAAGCGCCCGATTTCCCCCCCGCCAGGGTTCATTGAACGCCTCCACAACTGGTTTAGATATCAATGGTGAAATGATACCTGAAAATGGGCCGCTTCCGAAATCGTTTCAGAGTAATACCATTGTGCCGAATAAGAGTACGATGGTTGAGGAGGATGTTGAGGGCAGCGATGAAGGTGGAGAAGATGACGGTGAGATTGATTATGTGCATGATGGGGTTGATGGGGTTGATGGCATGCAGTATGAGGATGATGATCCGGATCGGAGAAGCGATGCATTTGCATTGGATAAGGTGTTGGAGAGTCGGAAGGAGACGACGATGACGCTGGTTGGGAATGGGAATGGAGCTGGACTTGGAGTTGGAGTTGATTCGGAGAGGGAAAAGGAGATGTTGGCTGAGGCGCGGGGGCAGGTGTCTAAGTTGGAGAAGAGGGTGGATGAGTTGGAGGCTCAGTTGAAAGAGAAGGTTGGCGAGGCTGATAGGCTGCGGGCCGAGGTTAGGGGTAATTCTGATGTGAGTTGTTCTGGATACATATCTAGTTCTTTGTTTTTTGTCTTTGTCTGTGTTTTCATTTGGCTTATTTTATTTTGGTTTATTTTATTTTTGCTGTTGAATGTGTTTACTGACATCTTTAACATTTCCCAGTCTTTGGATTCTGAAAGACAACAGTGGGAAAGTATGAGAAAAGATTGGGATCGGAAAAGAGAAGAGTGGGACAAGATGAAGTCGCATTTGGAAGCGAAGCTTTTAGAGTTGCAAAATCTGCAGCATCTAAATGTTTCGCTGCAGGATCAGTTAGAAGGCGAACGAAGGGAATATGAAAATCGAGAACAGGATTTACGGCAGCAAATTCAGCAGGCTTTGACAGCGGCAGCTGCGGCTCGGAACACAGATTTAGAGATGGGCAGAGAGATAGACAGAGGTAGAGGTAGAGAGACCGACATAGATAGCGGTGTATGGAAATCGCGAGCTGAAGATTCCGAACGGGAAAACCAGGAACTTAAGGAGGAGCTTCAAAAGCAACGTGAAGTCACAGAACAAGTCCGAAAAGAGGCCTCCAACTTCCTGCAGGAGATGCGGGCGCTGTCTGATCGGACGCAGGAACGTTGGGAACGCGAAGAACGCCTCACACAGGACTTTCACAGGATGGAAGAAGAGGTTAAGCTCTGGAAGAACCGCTACGCAAAGACGAAAACACAACTACAACATCTACGATCCCCCTCACTTGGGCTTCCAGGACATAACATCCAAGACGTCGCAACCATTGCCGCAACGGAAAACGACATCAGCCATCCAGACGGACTAGTCAACGATGTCCACCTTACCAAATTCCAAATATCCATCGACGAGCTCTTGCGCACTGCACGCATGGCAGATCCAGCATATGTTCTCGAGCAGATGAAAGCCGTCGTCTTCGCTGTCCGCCATATAACACAAGACGTCGAATCTGCCCAGTCAAATGGGAAAGCAGCTGATGATCAGCTAACGCCATCATCACACATTCGCTCCCGTGCCAAAATCCGCGTCTCGGCCACAGCAAACAACCTTATCACCGCCTCCAAGGACTTCGCAAACAGCAATGGGATATCCCCCGTATCTCTACTCGACGCAGCAGCCTCACATCTCTCAGCCGCAATTGTCGACCTGATCCGTATCGTCAGGGTTCGCCCGACTCCCGCAGAGGAGATTGAAGACAATGATGGTGTTGGGGATGGTGATGATCTGGACGCCATAATGCAGTCACCAACCTACTTCAGCGTCCCGTCTAGCCTGGACAGGTTGAGTGGGAATGAATCTGTGTACAGCGCTATTAGCTCGCCGCATTCTGCGCAGCATTCGCGGATGGCGTCAGTGGCTTCGGGTGCGGGGGGACATATGCAGATGCACCGGAAGACGTTTTCGAATGGGCAAATGCTTGGGAAGACTGGGCTTGGTATAGAGGAGGTGGATGGGGAGTTAGAGGAGCTCAGGGTAAGTATATAAACTCAACTTACTGGCAAGCACGGGGTAAAATGTACATATGTTTAATTATCGATCCACATTTGTTACGATGGCAGGTCTACCTGGAAGAACAAACAGATGGCGTCGTTCAATCCATCCAGGCTCTCGTCTCCTCTATCCGTGCAGAGCCAGACGACATGTCCGCTATACGCGTGCATATCGACGCAATCTCCTCTGTCGTCAGTAGGATTATCTCCATGACGGAGAATGCGATGGCGCAAGAGCAGCTGAAGCAGCAGAAACATCCCTCCACCTCAAACGATGACAACAACAATAGCAGCAGCAGTAGCAGCAGTAGCAGCAGCGACAACAGCAGCAGTGACAACGGCAGCAGCAGCGGCAGCAACAGCAGCAGTAGCAGTAACAACCTCCGCGACCGCGCAGGCCCAATCATTCGCAACCTTTCCTGTTGCCGGGATAGATTAGCGAAGGAGGGCGCTTTGGGCGGGAAGGCTATGAGCGTTGTGGAGGTGCGGGATGTTATGGGGAAGTTGCTGCCGATTGCTTTCGAGATTGCGAGGGAGACGAAGGAGCTGGTGCAGAGACTTGATATGAGATGGGTGTGATGGGTGGCGGTGGAGTTAACACGGGAGGAGGACGATGACGATTCCCGATGAGATGAGAAATTGCATAAGGTGTTTTTTAGTTTTTTTTTTTTTTTTTTTTTTTCTTTTTCTTTTTCTTTTTTTTTTTTGTAAATTGTTTGCTCATCCAGCAACGTAACAGTTTCGTCTATTCGCCTCTGTTATTGTTCCCTTTTTCGGTATGTTTTACATACTTAGGTTTTTTTTGTACTGTATTTGCATGGGATATGGGGTGAATTGTATTTGGTGATGCTTGTATATAGTGAGTGTGGAGTTTTGGCTAGGATAATATCTCTCTTTGTTTTTGTCATTCTTGATTTCTTCAATAAGCTCATTTTGCTCCCATTCGATATTAAATATATGGAATTTATACGAACATTCTTCCTAAGTAATAATGCTTTTTTGGGATAACGGGACAGGTCTTTGGATTTCTTATTCTGACTGCTGTAGTTAACAATTGCGTTCCCCCGCGCTAACTGCTTAGTCATATCTGAAAACAATTTCTGATATTAAAGTTCACTATTCGGCTTTCAGCTGTTGACCTTGAACCAATTTTTGCCGTGTACTTTTACAACTTCTTCCGGTCCTGAACAACCCATCCCAGCAAGGAATTCTGTATGTAAGTATTTATATAACCTTTCCACTGCTTCTTTGCTGCATCTCTTTGAATTTTCCCTCCCCAATTGGCCTTGGCTATGGTTTGATGTCATAGAAGAAGAGACCTCCGGAGATGGGAGGAGGGTTCTCCCGGAAGACTTTGCTTTGAGAGCAAAGGATGAATGCAATCAATCATCCGTAGCGGAGATTAGCCACCTACGAGAGTTGTCCATGCATCATGCATACTTTGTCAATTGGTGTCTCTCTGGATATCTACCACCACGGGTTCTTCACCGTCAACCCGGACCAAAAGAGCTCTTGAGAGGCTTTGCCAAACGAGAGGCTAGTAGGAATAGCTGCACTGGGCTAACTTTGCGAATATATACCTCCTTATTTGCAGTGTTATCATTAAAGATATATACATATTTTGTGTAAGTGATTTCACTTTCCAATCTCCTATGTATTTATTGTATTTATTATAAAGTTTGATGCTCATTCTGTCGCCTTATGGTTGTTGCATGCTAACCAAGCTGGAAACGTAGAATATTACATCCATCTATACACACACACGTCCAACACGCCCAACATGTCCTTCCTCGCACGATCGCTGCCAACCACTCTCCCTCTTCTGCAGTTTTCTTCCTCCGTCCTCCGGGCTTCTTCATCTTCTTCCGCTGCCTCTTCCGCCTCATCTGCGCTTCGCTCCCTCTCCCACTCCAACGCCCATCTCCGTTCGTTCCATTCATCCCCCGCAACCGCGACTATCAAAACATTCTTCGACGTCAAATTCTCGGATCCGGATACGAAGCAGGGTAAGTTATCTTGGCTCCTGCAAGGAGTGTAGTTATTCGACTTGCCTCTTATTTGTAATGATATCAGTGTCAATTGAATGGCAAAAAATCCGACCTGTTCGAATTGTAACATAAACTAATTTCTTTAACCAATCCTTTCTTCATAATAGCCGTTCAGGAACGAATTGAGTTCGAGCTCTTCGACGATGTCGTCCCTAAGACCGCGGAGAACTTCCGTGCCCTCTGCGTTTTCTCGAGAGGACAAATTTGGTTACAAGGGCTCTTATTTCCACCGCATCATCCCGGGATTCATGATCCAGGGTGGCGACTTCACCCGTGGTAACGTAAGTTCAAAAACCCTCAGTTCCGTTTCCACCTTCTTCCTTGTTTTCTTCTTCTTGCTGTTGCCAGATCACGCATTTACTCGGTTTTTGGACTATCTGCGAGTTTTAGCTAACTTCTATATGTATATAGGGAACTGGTGGCAAGTCCATCTACGGAGACAGGTTCCCCGATGAGAACTTCAAGCTCAGCCACAAGGGACCGGGCTATCTCTCTATGGCCAATGCCGGCCCAAACACGTACGTCTACCTGCCATTTAATTTCAACTTCACTTTTCCCATTGCCCCCGTTGCAAACTTGTAGTATTAACTTAGTCTGTCCCCGACGATTTCAGCAACGGCTCTCAATTTTTTATCACGACCACGGAAACCAGCTTCCTCGATGGTAGGCACGTCGTTTTCGGCAAGGTCGTGCAAAAGGACAAGAACGATAATAAATACATAGACATCCTTAAAAAGATCGAGAAGAGTGGCAGTGACCAGGGCCGAATTACAGCAGATATTACACCCCAAATTGTTGACTGCGGTGAGATCAAGGACGAAACAGCTGTTTAAGTTTCTGTATTTTAGAAAGGAAGGAGGCTTTCTTTTTATTTTTGTCTTTTTCGTTTTTTGAAGGTATGAAGGGTGAGCTATGGTGATGAAGAGGGGCAATTGTACAGTACAGCAGGAATTGTAGAGGGCAGGAAAAAAACCGATTTACATGGCTCATCTGTATTTAGATATCAATATCTGGTAATCTGCTACGAGTGTAACATGGCCAGATGTATTTGATAGATGGCGTCAGAAACATTGAATCCTTTACAAGAGGCGTGCCATTGTGGACTGAACGAGCATAAGATCGAAGAGAGACCGCTGGGTCACAGAAACACGAGGCGTTGGCTCGGGGTTGTGTTCAGATCGCTGGTGAGAAAGAAACGGCTCACTGACATCAACAAGTTCTAGTATACTATTCTTTGCATTGATCGCTCAGCCTATTTATTGCCATTAATTGTCAATCACCGATAAAGCCCCAGAGTTTAGCATAGTTATCCGTAGTGAAACTGGGATTGTTTTCATAAATACAATAAGGAAACAATTCGTACGCAATGGTGATTTTTCTTGATTCCTCTTTTAAGATCAACACCACGGCAGACGTCCGATAAACCGCGGTTGGATCATTTCGATCAATCGATTCAAGCAAAGGATAGAAAAGGGGCTCCATTTCTTGTGGCCCATTTTTCAGTATGTTTTAGGAGACTATAAAGTTGACGATGGTAATGTAATTTACCCCTCAATGATTTCAGCACTCATGTCACCCAAAGAAAGATCCATCAGCTATTTTTGTGATCAGGCGTACCAGGGTTTCTTTACTGTCGCAGACCCGGGTACGTAGTTCATCTATCATGCCGAAATCTTTCAATCGGTCACGGACGAAAAGCTTTCATGTCGTTGTAGGCAAGCAGATGGATGGGAAGCCTTGTCTCTTCGTCGAAGGCATCGCAAACTTCCCCAACTCCAGAATTGAAACAAAGCTTCGCGTCATCAGGGGCAACCCTTGACCCAGCTTAAGAGCATCTCTACCATGTGTCTGTAATCTTCATGGTTTTTCTCGTGTTGTAAATTCTTGTTCCAGGCAGATCCGGGTAGTAAATGAAGAACAAAACCAGAGAGGCGGTATCTTAGCAATTTTCGAATGAAAAAGGTTCGGTCTGTGACTCGACGCGATAGGATTCCCAGCTCCATCCGCTGCACAACGAAATAATTAAGTAATTCGGCTCATCGTTCGATGCCATCAGCCAATCCTTCGCCCTCCCCTTCCAGCACTTTTCGGCCTGCCGCTTTTAGCACGCCGTTCAGGATCTCCCTGACCTGCTTACATCCGTCGAACCCTACTGCGAACATAGTTTCCAGATATGATATATGTACGCCAGACTCCATCTGGACAACTGACAGCATCTGGTTGTCCTCTTCATCATCCATGGGGTCGTGTCCCGGAGGGGCTGGATTTGAATTTGCAACAGTCATGAACGGAAGTTCTTGTTCTTCGGGCATTGACATGTCAAGGAGCGGATCTAAACTTTCGTTGATTCCACCTACTCGTTTCATTTCTGGTGTGGCGGGTGTAGACGCCCGTCCGCTCATTCCGACTGTACAAGCACAAAGAAGGCCTGGCATAGGTATTCCAGCATCCACCAATGCCAAGGTGCAGGCATTTATACAAGCTGCGAAGAGGGAGCCATCAGATGACAGAACAGAAATGTTAAGAGATATTGTGCTATGTGGGTATAGATGGGTGTGTAGGTGTGGTTGGAAGGCATCACGAAGGGCAATGGCTAGATCGGTAGATGCTTGTCTGTAGCTTTGGTTAGAAATATAAACAGGGCCGATATATTAAAAAAAAATAACCAAATATTAATCATGTTTGGGTAATGGACACGAGCTACCAACCTATCACCTCCACCTCCACCTCCACCTCCACCGGCACCGGCAGCTAAACTTTTCTTCTTCCTGTCAACACCAGAGAAACCTGCGATATTGACCGCGACAGAAATAATGGCCCCCTCACGAGCTGAGCCCGTTGCTTCAGATCGTCGACCCTCTGCTGGCCCATGGACCATACATATAACAATGGTATTGCCCATTGCGAGATATGAGGACCCAGATGTCGCTGGATTAGTGGAGATCTGAGCTTGCATTAAGCGAAGTTCATTCCAACGACGGCCATCTAGCCTAAGTCTTGTGAGGCGATATGTTGTTGAGGTGTCGAGAGGCATAATGATAGGATTTATCTGGGTCTTGCGCGTGCTTGCACAGCGCTAGAGTAAATATCGTGACCCTTTTACCAACGACCGAACAACGATTGAGGAGACTACAACAGCACAAGATCGTTTCTCATGAGATAAAATGAAGAGAAGACTTCGGGAGGTTCTATATTCCAACTTCTCCTCCGCAGACAAACCAATCGTGATATGGGTATAATCTTCACAGTGGGGTGCGGCGGCGGCTTAAAGGTTTTTGTGAAGCGCAGCAATTAAGGGAAATTGGACAGAAGTGATCCAATGGACGAAAGATAGATAGCTAGAGAGAGGATGATTTTCGTTGATCGCTTTATTGGGGTATGAGCATCAGGGCGTGGTTTTTGTTTCAGAAAGAAGAAAATCTCCAACCGCGCTGGGGGAAAAGAAATCCGATGTTAAGCTTTGTACTTATTTGGGATATTTGTGACGTCTGGTCATGTGACTTGGCGATTTACCCTTCAATCAGCGTTGTGTCTCCGCATCCAGCTCTGGAGGTCGCCCTTTAAGGTCGAAAGTTCAACTCCCTCTTATTTAGGATGGTTTCCAAATGGGATCTGGAGAATTCCGATGCCACCACACAAAGCGGTGACACTAGCGACGATGACTTGGGCTACCCAAGGAATACTCCCAAGAAATGGCGGCATCGGATGGAGAACAACTCTGAAGGTATGAGAGCCTCAATTCCTCCCGGCCACTTTTATCTAGTTATTCTTACCAAACTAATAAGAATCGGATGTAGGAGTCAGTTCATCAGAACAGCCGGGACTGGGCCGCAAGGCATGCAGCGCTAAAAACCCAATTGCCGTATCTGTAAACCAGGAGGTCATATCATTGTCAGACGATGAATTCAGTGATATAAAGGATTTTGACGATGGTGCGGCTGCATATGAGAAGTTCAAGAACAGAAAAAGTCTCCAGCGCAAGCAAGCAGCTGCAAGAACTCGAAGAGCTAAAGGTGTAACTCAAAATCCAACTGTTGGAAAACGCCCAGCCAATACCGAAGCCAACACGTCCTCCCGGAAAAGACAACGACAGTTAAAAGAGTATGGAGAATTATCATCCGATGATGACATGATGGGACACATCCTGCCAAGCTACATTCAAAACCGCCGCTCAGCGTTTGACAAGAAAACAGTGCTGTTGAAAGAGGCAGGATTAAAATTGCCACCAAGTTTTGACGATGTCGAGTTCTCTGATGATGAACATCTGGAGGATCTGAAAGAGAAGCCGGATTTCCAAAAGGCTACTCCATCAAGGAGCTATGAAGACATTCAACTTCCGTACTCTTTAGGCTTGATCCCAGCCCCGATCGCACAGTGGCTACGAGACTATCAAGTTCGGGGGGTTGAATTTCTACACGAATTGTTCGTTTATCAGAAAGGAGGGATCCTCGGAGATGACATGGGTCTAGGGAAATCAGTGCAAGTAATAGCTTTCCTAACGGCCGCATATGGGAAAACAGGCGACGAACGAGATGCTAAGCGCATGCGAAAGATGAGACGAAAGGGAGACGGGGTATGGTATCCCCGAACTTTAATTGTTTGTCCTGGGACTCTTTTGCAAAATTGGAAATCTGAATTGGATAGATGGGGTTGGTGGCTCGTGGAGATATATCATGGTGCTGGAAAGGAGGCAGCTTTGCAGTCTGCTGCTTCAGGCAGAGTTGAGATCATGCTCACAACCTACAAAACCTACGTGCTCAATAAGGGCGCGTTGAATATGGTTGAGTGGGATTGCGTCGTGGCAGATGAGTGCCACATTATTAAGGAGAGAAAGTCAGAAACAACACAGTCGATGAATGAAATTAATGCTCTTTGTCGAATTGGTCTTACTGGCACAGCTATCCAAAATAAGTACGAAGAACTCTGGACACTACTCAATTGGACTAACCCCGGGAAATTTGGACCGGTATCCACTTGGAAGTCCACGATTTGTGACCCGCTAAAATTAGGACAGTCTCATGATGCAACTACGTACCAACTTAGCAAAGCGAGGAAGACAGCAAAAAAGCTGGTTAATAACCTTCTACCTCCGTTCTTCCTCCGCCGCATGAAAACACTGATCGCGGACCAGCTACCAAAGAAGAGTGATCGAGTCGTATTTTGCCCACTCACTCCAACCCAAGCGGATGCGTACGAGAGGGTTTTAGATAGTGATATAATTAAGTATATCAAAATGTCCTCTGATCCTTGCTCCTGTGGATCCGGTAAGAAATCCGGCTGGTGTTGTCGCATGTACTTACCGCAGGGTGGAAAATGGCAAAGTTATGTCTTCCCGGCGATTTCAAACCTGCAAAAGCTCAGCAACCACCTTGCTATTCTCATTCCACAATCACAGGATCCATCTGAAAAACAAGATAAGGACCTAGAAATGTTACAGATCGCCTTACCGGACCAGTGGCGACAGCTTTATGCCACGAGGGATTCAATCCTTAACTATGCGAACCACGAATTTTGCGGAAAGTGGAAAGTATTAAAGAAACTGTTAAAGTGGTGGCACAGAAATGGAGACAAAGTCCTTGTCTTTTCGCATAATGTGAGGCTGCTAAAAATGCTCCAGATGCTCTTCAAACATACTAGTTATAACGTCAGTTATTTGGACGGTTCTATGACCTACGATAATAGAGCCAAAGCCGTTGACAATTTCAACGCTGATCCTCGAGAATTTGTATTTCTTATCTCTACGCGGGCTGGAGGAATAGGACTGAATATCACTTCTGCTAACAAGGTCGTCGTTGTCGATCCGAATTGGAATCCTGCCTTCGATCTCCAAGCACAGGACCGCGCATATCGTATTGGGCAATCGAGAGATGTTGAAGTGTTCCGGTTAATTTCTGCTGGGACAATCGAAGAAATTGTCTATGCCCGCCAGATATACAAACAACAACAGGCAAATATTGGATATACTGCCAGCACAGAACGGCGATATTTCAAAGGGATCCAAGAGAAAAAGGACAGAAGGGGCGAAATATTCGGCCTCTCAAATATGTTTCAATACCAGGGAGACAATATCGTCCTGAGAGATATCGTCCACAAGACGAACGTCGCGGAGAGCAAAGTTGGTGTTAAAATCGTCGAGCTCGAACTGGATGAAACCAATGATGGGCTTAATAAAGAACCTTTTCCTTCGCCAAACGATGAGGAGAATGACGACGCAATGAGCCAACTAGCCGCCATGATTCGAGGAGAAGAGGTCGGGGACAGTAACGAAAATACAAAGAACGTCATACAGGCCAAGCATGACCCTATCCAGGCCATTCTAGCTGGAGCAGGTGTCAAATATACACACGAAAACTCCGAAGTAATCGGTTCATCGAAGATCGAAGAACGCCTTAGCCGTCGCGCCGAGATGGCAGCTGACGGCGCCAGCTTTGGTGAGGAGCAAGTTTTCCAAGGCTCGCAAGATGATGTCTCTTCAGGCTTTGATGTCACCCATGGAGGCAAGCGTGTTCGGTTTAAGTACCACCCGCCAGAGGACGTAAAGAGGCGTCAGTTTTGTAGCATGGCCAAGCGATTTGGATTTGACAGTCCCACCGAGTTTGCTCTCGTTGTCGAGGGGATGACTCAGGCCCAAAGGAGAGGTTATCTGGCAAAGTGGTATCGAGAATGCCAGTCAATGCTGATGAGCGGCACCAATACGCCGGTCCAGGAAGAGGATGTGAGCCTGCTGAATAGTATTCCAAAGCAGCAAACGCCAGGCTGATGCGTAGCAGTCACCAGTGATTCTAACGTACATGCGTATAAGCATTTATGATAGCTGGGTATCGTTACTTTTTGGAAAGCCCTTTTTGGGGGGACTCCTAGTTCATACCACTGCATACCATAGATCCACGTGGCCCATGGAATTTTCGTCTGGGAATTGGCTGGACTGCAGGATCCTCTGATTAACGAAACGATCTCGTTGTCTACAATTCTGCAATTTTTGGGTTTCCTTCCCAGCAGGTCCAAATCCATCTTTTGATTCGAGGGCCAGTTGTCTATACAACTTTAGGGAAAACCCCTCTCTGATTCCTCTGGAAACTTTCAAACCATCTTGCTAAGTAGTGATGCATATACGGAGCGATTAATGGTGCATATGTCTAGTGGCTTTTGACTCCACAAATCCAATGATCAGGGGTTGATTAATAATTCGGCTTTTACTACATATGTTGACTGTTGCGTTGGATAATGCAGTAGTTTGCTGGTTTCCAGACTTTTGCTCAAGTGACTATTAAGCTCACATAATATTAAAGGGCCCTATGCTATGGTAAAGCCCTACCGTTCAGATAGTGTTCTAGTGATACATGACTCATATAAACAGGCAACTCCCAGACTCCACGCTTAAAAAATTTAATCAAACAATATAATCGCAGTAGACGAAATTCTCATAAATTTGACGGCCAGCCCATCAAATACTTCCCGAAGCACAATTTAAAACCAAGATAGAGTCCACAATGCGGGTAGATTGGGCCATTTCTCCTGCCACTTGGCAAGGATCTCAGGAACCTTCTCATCGAAGCATCTCCTCGCTTCACCAGTCGCCTGATCCCAACCATTCGCACCGTTGATTTTCTGTTCCTCATCAGCCGCACTGTTCAGCCTGTCTGCCAGATCAAGAATCGCCTTGGAGCCAACCAGAGCCTCCTCGTGACTATCACGAATGTCGACGTTGAAAACATGCACGGGGCGATTCAGCGGGGCACCGCGATTCATCAAATCCTCAACCACGGCATCCCAGCACCGCTCTTCACAAGTAATGATAGCATCAACTAACCCTCCCTCTGTCCCCAAACTGCCCTTGTCCCCTCTAGACACATGATCCAGTCGCGGCATTCCGGGTACCCATTCCTGAAAGCGCTCCGGACCCCATTTCACGTTCTTGTTTCGCTCGAGCATGGTGAGGACGCCATTGTTGCGGTATAGTCTAGGGTCCTTTTGCAATAATTCATCGTACATTTGAGCGTAGGATACAGTGTTGAAGTTATAGACATTAGGTTGCGTGATGGATGGGCCTGGGAGCCGGACCAGGGACCCCGTGCCAAAGGATATTACTGGATACGATGACGGTGGTGAAGAAAGGCGATTGTGTGCCTCCATTGACCGATTTTGATTGGCAGCACATACTGTGCAGAATTTAAGTTTGTACGATGTCGATGAGGGGTGCGGTGGTGGTGGTGTAGGTGTTTCATCGGCTGTGCCATCCGTCCCCGCTGGAGGGGTTGAAGATGAGGGTTCCTGCGGGGGCGGAGGCGGTGGAGGAGGGGGTGGATTTGCGGTCATTGCTCGAGCAAGTCGAGGATCTGTACTCATGTTGTCCTTTTCTGATGTGGGTCTACTAATCTACTGGGCCCTATAAAACGGAGAGTCTAGCAAGAATATTCAAGTGCTCTTAGGTATGAAGCCTGCCTAATGGAAGCTCTCATCCAAAAAGGCTGAAAAGTCAGATCACTTGATATTTGAACCACTAGGAGATCTGCAATCAGCAATGAGAATCAATATAGTCCGTGTATTTCAAATAGAAGGCATACAAAAATTCGATGTTACAGATGTATCAAAGCAAACTTTCAGATAGGTATATTCTTGCGTATGATTAAAGTGTCTCCTCACAAAAAGGGATTAGGACAGCTCCAATAAATAGTTCATCATATGAGATTAGATAGAGTGAAACAGCCAGCACAACATACGAAATCGGGGACGTGTTTTGACATACCTTGATCGAGATGCTCCGTCTCTGAGCTCAGAAACTTGGCTAAGAGATGACCACGGAGAGAATATTTGCTGGTCACGGATGTTTAAACGATGTTCGTGAGGTTGGGGACGGATCAAAATAATTCCTGCCGCAAGTCCCGCTTAGTCATCACAAATTTTGAAGTGCAATCTTGCACAATACGAAATAGTTAATATTTATTATAATAAAAAGGGAATATTAGTATATATTCATTGTAAATGAGAAAGAGAAGTTTAAAGCATATAAGATTTAATAGTTGCTGAGTTCAATGTAAAGAGGGCTTAACAAGAGAGAAGCTGCTGAGCCTGCTATTTCATCTTCCACCCCTCTGTACTCTGCCAGCAGCAATTGTAACACACTCCGGCATACAAGAATAAGGTGTCCTGGTCCTAGCTTGATTGAATTTAATTAGAGGTAGTCGAGTGTATATTTTCAGATTAAATCTAGTCTCTGAAATATTTTCAATTTGTTGCTCCCTCGCTGAGAAATACGTTATCACAGAAGGCTGAATTGGATTAGTTAACCTAGTTGCTAACCACACGCTAACTACTACATAGTTCCCGTTGAATCTCCGATCCGCACCAGACATATCCCAAACCACGGTAAGCAAAGCTTTCAAAGCTTTTCAGAGTTGTATCTTACCATCAATGTCCTTGAAGCTTCCCATCACCATGCAAATTGGAACGGAGCATGAGATTCATCAGGTGATCTTAAGGTTGCATATAGTTACCACTCTACTCACGTTTTGGCCCGTCGCCAGGGTCATGTTTGCAGAGCGCGGAGTTCAGACAGCAACCAGGAGGTTGTTCTGAAGGGTTTTTTTCTTTTTCTTTTTTCTTTTTTTTTTTTTTTTGGTTTTTTCCTGCGGCTTGCAAACCTGACACAACCCAATCCAGACTAAACTTTGAGAAGTAAATCTCACAGAGCCAGAAGTTTAAAGGGGCACAAAATATTCGGAAGCTCTTAGATGTCATCAAGGACTCCGCCAGAAGTGAGAGAGATCATTGTCCCCTCTCGCAGTCCTGAAATTCTCTTTGGTCTTCTCTGGTCTAAAGATGTCGACATATGGGATTGGAGTATGGTAGTATGTGTCTCCTTTGGCATATCTGCTTAGACTTAGCTGTTTGGTGCGAAGTATCCTTATATGATTCAGGCTTACCTTCGCCCTAATATTTGACCGACTTCCTGAGGAGTCTAGTCCCGACATGTCCCAACTGTATGAGGACAGGGTCAGATACGACATATTCTAAGACTTCCTGCTGAGCTTGACACCTTAATATCAACAATGCAAAGAGCGCTGGCCGAGATTGGGCCCGGAACAACAAGAAGTAACCATACTATCGATACTGGAATAGTTGGTGTTTCAGAGGAAGACATTCTTCTCTTAGAAAGTGTCTTGATTCCTGACTCTGGGTTACGTCCTCCCGCAAAGGAAATGCTACACAATGGATGGCTTGACGGGAAGGGCCTTTGAGAGGTGGCTTAAACAATTGTACCAATCAACTTGGTTATTTTGAGAACAGCTCACAGCAAAATTTCCCAATAAAACTGCTCAGACTCAAGCTTCGCCCATTGGTTGCCAGCCCGAACTCTTCATGTTTGCATCACTCTGTTGGTTATCATGAGCTGTCTGGTTCCAGAGTGTTAGGGAGTCGAATATACCTGCCTAGGTTTGTCATTCACAAAGGAACCGTCAACTTTGCTCATAGGAGATAGTTGCATGCTGAATAGGGTCATTGGGGCTGGAATGAAATGGGTTCCTGTTGAAGCCCGTATGAGTAAGGGATCAACAAAGTAGATTCTACCATGATGTCCTTTGTCGCCTCTCTAATCTCAGTGTTCTTAGTGGCATCCTTCCCTAGTTCTTCATCAACTCGTTTCCCTAACGGCTCTGTCTGGCTGTGAGGGATTGGCAAATGATTTGTAGGTTTTGGAATCGAGTCTTAGATATATGTTTATTCCGCTCTTCGTCACTTGAAGGAACTGGCGTGAACTCATGGCAAGGCAAAAGATATGATTCTCACTGGCAGAATTTATATCAGAAGTGCATATTTTGTAGCTGAGACACGTGTGCTGGGAGGGCCAATTTGACCTTGCATCGAGCCAAGCAACAGACCTTCGCAGAGTCATCAGGAATTTCAAGGCTGCCACCTCCCATTTAAGGCTGCTGCTACATGCGCATTGTCTACACTGTTCTGGTGTGTCTACCCACTTGATCTACCTGGTTGTGAGATTAGGCATCACTGCAGCAATCAATAGCGTGCGATTTTCGCAATAACCCAACAACGATTAATTGACCCCGAGAGCAACACTAGTCAAGGCGAACGAAGTTCTCGAGGAGCCGCTGGTGTTGGTCGACCGCTTCGAATACTTCCAAGCGGTTCTAGATGAGTACTTGACCGCCTAGCAAGGTCTGGTTTTGTATGTACACACCCATACATATTGAAACACTTTCAATGTCAACCTCGGTTGATTTGGCTCAAGCTTGCGAAGATAGTGGAACTTGACGATGCATGATTCAATTCTCACAACTATTCTTAATGGATGTGCAGATTCTGAAAGTGAACTCCATGCCCTGTATGCTTCATTGAGTATTCTGAGATTCAAGGAATTGTGCTGTGATAAGAGACGAGCCCTTCTACTATCAGCTCTCACTGCTGTTGATCCTTGCATATCCTGTAGAGACCTAACTAATTCATGCCTAACAGCAATCCAGACTTTCAGATATATGAGTTAGATGTTATATCAGGACGATCTTGATCACGAACTCTGATGAACCATAGCCGAACTGCGAAGCTACCCCAGCTTCCATCACATGCCGAGGCTCAAGACCAGTTCTCCTCACTCAGATCACCCTATATATGATCCGACAATCTATATACTCTATACCAATTAATTGAGATCTTTTAATAATATATTTACTCCTAATAATAGTACTTTTATAAGAAGAGAGCTCAGTCATACTTATATATAACAATAAAAAAAGAGAATGGAGCCGTCCAGCGCAACCAAGGGTTTCTTCCAAACCCCCCCAACTATCCCGCCACAGTACGTTGAAGATGCTGCCCTTCGCAGGATAATCTCCTTGCATCTTCCTTCCCCAACTCCCTCCATCATCGACAAAGATCTATCTCGATTTTCCCGTCTTGTACTCTCAAGGTCGCATCTGGCCCACGTGGCCGACGCGGAGAAGAACCAGCCTTACCTTCGGCCACTTACCACGTTCGGAGTGGAGAATAAACAGGATCCCCTGGTCACAAGTGAGGGCTGGCGCAAACTACAGGATATTGGAATCGAAGAGGGCTTCGTGGCGCTGGGCTATGATGACGCACCAGGAAATCCGGCCTCGCACTGGAACAACCGAGTATATCAGTCCATCAAACAGCACATTTGGACCTCGAGTGCCGCCCTGGTTACATGCCCCGGTGCCATGACCGATGGTGCAGCCAAACTGCTCGGAGCGCATTTGAACGATAAAGATGGAGATATATTTAGGGAAGCAAGAAACCGACTAATCAGCCGCGACCCTCGTTTTGCCTGGACCAGTGGTCAGTGGATGACAGAAAGGAAGGGTGGTAGCGATGTTCGTGGAACTGAGACCGTGGGCAGGAAACTTTCAGCCGAAGAACAGAGCGCCAGCAATGGTGTTGATTCGCTTGGGAATCCTCTTGGGCCGTGGCAGCTTGACGGTTTCAAGTGGTTCTCATCCGCAACAGATGCCAATATGACAATTATGCTGGCCAAAACGGGGCCAGATGGCCAGATCAGTGCCTTTTATGCTCCCTTGCGCAGAAAGGTACCCGGAGGAGCCGAAGGCGAAACAGAACTCAACGGTGTGAGGATCCAGCGTCTGAAAAATAAGCTTGGCACCAAAACACTTCCTACCGCCGAACTGGAGTTGAAGGGGATGAGGGGCTATCTGATTGGAAAGCAAGGAGAGGGCGTCAAGGAAATTTCAACCATCCTCAATATTACCCGATTCCACAACATCATCGGAGCGGTTGGTGGTTGGGGAAGGGCACTGGCTATCTCGAGAGCTTATGCCAGAGTACGGGTTTCTGGAGGCAGACTTCTCACAGATATCCCCGCTCACGTACGAGCTCTTGCCCGAGACCATGTGATGTATAGAGCGCAGATGCACCTTGCGTTTCTAGTGGCTTCATTATTGGGGATTTCTGAAGGCCAAGACAGTTGCCTCACCCTGGCGACGCGTGCTTCTATTCTTCCCACTGATGCCCAGCAGGCTAGCGCTTTGCTGCGTCTCCTTACCCCCATGGCTAAAGCACAAACGGCACTCAGAGCCATACACGGCGTTCGCGCTTGCATGGAGAGCCTTGGTGGTGTCGGCTATCTCGAGAACGAAGATACTTTGTTCAACGTCGCAAGGATTTTCCGTGACACCTGTGTCGTCAGCATCTGGGAAGGGACCACTGACATCATGGCAGATGACTTCGTGCGTGTTATAAAGTCTCGTAAGGGCCCTGAAATCCTGACGGACGTTGGTCAATGGGTCGCGAGCGCTTTGGCGATTGCCAACAAGCATTCGTTTCAGAAGGAAGGTGAGAAATTGCAGAAAGCGTGGAAGCAATGGCTGCAATCTATCGACGGTAAGGATAAAGAGCAATTGAAATGGGAAGGGAGAGACCTCCTTGTTGGACTTGAGTATGTGGTTTGTGGCTTGCTGTTGATTTTGGATGCTGCGCGGGATAACGACGCTGTCACGAGAGAAATTATGCAGCGCTTCGTAATGCAGGATCAAGCCTCATATAGCTCCTGGGAAACTGAAGCGGCCTGGGATAAGAGGATTGTTTTTGGAGAAGAGGGTGCAGCTACAGCGAGGCTGTAATAGAGCCGACCTGATGCGTAAAGATATATCTACATTTTCTAATCCGCATCGTAGTTAATGACTCCTGGTGTCGAGGTAACTAATCAACCTTGATGCTCTTTCAGATGTAGATTTAAGCATATTAGTTAAATTTGATTTACAATATTTTCCTTCTCTGAAGCTATCCCTCATTCTCACCTTCACCTTCACCTTCGCCCTCATCATCTTGATCATCTTCATGAATCGGAAATGTCAATAGGGCCGCTACGCCACCTAAACCATCTAGTCTTCGCCCACTCTCATGATCGGAACTAAGGACTCGGACTTCCCCGCCATCCACGTCCCTCACTCGATCCACCAGCGCCACCCATCTATGCCTTTCAGCTACATTTTGGGCGCGAAACAGCTGGTTTGATATTATTAGGACTCCACCTCCACGGCCCACTGCGCCCTGTTCCACTGCGGATTCAACCTCTCGCGGACCGTAGGTGGCCTTGTTGGTCTCCCTGCGAAGTTCGGCGAAGAATCTGTCCATGAGCGTGGTTTCTTTTGCGTATTTGGTGTTTGAGAGGAGACTTTGGACGGATGGGGATTGAAGGACTTCAGCAAGGGAGTGCATGTGGCCAGAAGATGAGTGGACGACGACAATGCTTTGTAGTAGTGGTTTCAAGGCGGGTATGGATGTATTCGCTGCAGACTGGATGTACTTTTGGAACCCAGCTGCTGTGAAACCGGGAGATGCGAGGAGAATAGGCTTCGTAGGTGTACCATTGGCAGCAGAGCTTGTAGATGAAGGCTGACTAGATGTCGTATTGATGTCGAGCAGACGCATGAGTGTCTCAAGCGTCGTTTGAAAAAATTTTGTCATCGCCTATTATTTTCAATCGTTCCCTTGTCAGAATGTCAAAACACCGGAACGGATCTTCCCACGAAGTAGTACTATATCCAGGCTTACCTTGTCATGATCGCTTCCGCCTTGCCTCTTCCGCGGAATGGATAATTCGATTTTCTGCTTCAGAACCGTTTGGAATTGACCTATAAAACATATATGCGCAAGGCCTTCCTGCATCACCACTGCCACGGCTTCTGCCCTTCTATCTCCTCCCTCATCCACTGCATCCTTCAACATTTCAATCGCTACACTATCCCAACCTCCCGCTTCTCCTGAGGGTTCAACCTCCTTCACAAGCGTAAAGTTCCGCTGTAGTTCTAGGTCGAGTGTATGATGCTGACCAATCTTGGTGTACGGAGTCTCCGCGACGATCTGGCCGGAGACATGGAGCTGGGAACTCTGAGGGTCAAAATCCAAGCTCTTGACACGGATTTGTAGTGTCATAGGGATGCGGGAGGAACTTGTGGTCCCCGTTGTAGCAGTGGTGGTAACGCGACGTATCGCGCTCGCCTTGAGGAGGTCATGCGGTCGGATGAGGTTGTAACAATGCCACTGATCCAAACGAGTTCGATTAGCTATGTGATGCGTAAAATCCGGTCAGATCTATATTTAAGAGAGGGCTTCATTTGAAATGCCTGCTCGAATGATCATAACAGGGCATACCATGTCCTCTGGTTCCTCGGGGTAGAGCGTAACTGAGCCAGAGCCATCTCTCTCGATGTTCTGTTTGATCAGCCGCATATCAAATAAGATGCTGCGGGACCTGAACAGCTATCCCTGTAGACCCAAAAAGTATGATGTAGAATTTCGGTAGTTCCCACAGCGTTTCCGGGACAATTAGGCTAGGTGTCGGGTGTCAATTGTTGATTTTCGATTGCTAAGAATTAGTTAGCTAACTACTTCGCGGTTTGGCGGTGCTTGATATTTCCTAAGTGATGTTAGTTAACTAAATAGTTGGGCAGCCTGCTGTTGTCGTCATACCCCCGCCAGTAACCAGTTAACCGCGGGAATGTTTGCAGGCCTAATGTTGATATATCACCATTAATGCCAGTGATTGGGGGCGATTTGACTCGGATAATTTTGTCCAGGGCAGTCAATTAAACTAGTTACAGAGAGTTTTGTTCCGCACGGACAAGTATGATAAAAGGTGGATTGGAACCGTGTAAACTCTGGCAACAGCTATATATAGTTTAACTACCATGGTTAGCTTACGCGGAAAAGCAGCTCATCTTCTGATGATATGATTTCGATGTGCTTCGGAACCGTTTGTTTCCAGAGATCCAAGTTTACATTAAACCCATGAGGCCACCCTTTGTCGTTTCACAGTCCTCGTTAAATCCAAACCTAAAGTCTGCCCTATCTTGTTGCACAACTAGACTATTTGACAAAATGGCTGCTTTCACCCTTCAATCCACCTACAAACTGAACTCGGGACACAAGATCCCTGTCCTGGGATTTGGTGTAAGTAATCCCTCTCAACTTCAGACGTTTGCCCATAACAGAGTATCGATGTGGGGCTGGGCCGTTAAACGAAGGGCCTGTCTGATAGTTACCCAGAAAATGTTGCCGTGATCATCGAGTTTAGTTTTTATTGGACCCTGGCTGACTGGCATCTTCCGTTAGGTGTATCAAACGTTTGTACCCCTGCTGCACACTCTATTATTGCTGCGGATAGTATACTCATATTCAGATACGTGATAGACCTCCCGAAAAAACTGAAAAAGCGGTGTTGAAAGCTTTGGAATTGGGGTATAGACATGTATGTGTCTCCGATTGGCATTTTCCCCAGATGCCTTTCCATCTAGTCACCTCTAGGGTGGTTAGACGGAATGGCGGGTGCCATTGACTATCTCTTCGGGTTGCTAACACATTGCACAGATCGACTCCGCGCAGGCCTATCGCAATGAAGCCGAGTGCGGACAGGCCATCCGGAACTGTGGCCTTAAACGTTCAGATATTTTCTTTACCACAAAAGTGCCACGGAGTGCCATGGGTTACCGGGAAGCCAAGAACGCGATCGATTCGAGTCTAAAGGCAGCCAATATTGATTATATTGATCTGTGGGTCTTCCTTTGTACGACAAAGTTGGGAGGGGAAGGGGGATATAACAGCTAAAACTTTGCTCACAGAATCCTCATCCACGCCCCATATGGCGGACGGGAAAAACGCGAAGGAACATGGCGTGCTCTCGTAGAAGCCCAAAAAGAAGGGAAAATTCGCTCTATTGGAGTCTCCAACTACGGTGTCCATCACTTGAACGAGCTAGAGGAGTATAGCAAAGTTGTTGGTGGGAAGATTGACGTCGGTCAATATGAGTTGCACCCCTGGCTCTCCCGCGAGGACATTGTCGACTGGCTTAAAAAGCGCAACATTGTGATTGAGGCTTATAGTCCCCTGGTGCAAGCAACCAAGATGGATGATCCCTTGCTCATGAATTTAGCCCGGAAACATAACAAGACACCTGCGCAGATTCTCCTTCGTTGGAGCTTGCAGAAGGTAAGGGGTTCCCTGCACCTGAACCCGATTTTCAAGCTTGCAGCTATTTGTTTGATGTTGTTGAAGTAACTGATTGATGTTTATAAACGGACTGCGCAGGGTTTTGTTCCCCTTCCTAAATCCGTGACCGATAGCCGTATCACGGAGAATACAGGAGTTTTCGACTTCGAACTCTCCGCTGAGGATATGGGTGCTTTGGACACAGGCAAATATGAACCAGTCTGCTGGGATCCCACAGTATCCAATGACTAGATTTCAAGCTGAGCTGGCTTGATATAGAAAATGCGATGTATAAAGTTTGCTGTTTCTTGGAGGGGCTGCGTTGATTTTCAATATAATTTTTGGTGTATATACAGATATATCGTGATTTCTATATCACGAATTCCTGATGGGCCTTTTTTTACTTACCTTCTGCTGTTTCTTGAAACTCCAGGACTTATGTAAATGCAAAAGCTCGAAGAGGAGGAATTCTGCTCTTAAAGACAGGTGACATAAAGGGTTTCTTGGGCTGAGTTGTGTTGATTCACTTCTTTGTATGGGCCTATTGTTTGTCTGGCAACCCCTTTTTTAAGATGCACAACAAATACAAATTCCATATTCACTTCAAACAATCAACACTCTCTTGTGTTGCTCTCCTATAAATACTATCGAGACAAAAATCTCCTTAATACTACTTACCATCTTCCTTTCCTAACACCTTTTCCTTTTTTCTACCTTCCATCTTCCCTGGCTGTCTCTATCAGCATCTGTCTTGGTCACTACCCTATTTACATATACCTCGCTCAGCCCCTCCAGCCTTAAGACATTTAGTCTTAATCTATCCCCCTGAGAGTTTGTCTTTTCATAATCGCCGCTGTTGTTGTGGTAACTGTCGCTCCTCAAGAAAACCTCCTTTGGTCGCCTAAAGCAACGGACAACACAAAACTGGTGCAGCCCGCTGGCATGTCCCATCTTGAAATCAAGGCTGCCTCCAATATCCTGTTGATTCTTAAGGTGTTTCCCTCAATGCGAAATAATCAGTTCCCACACCTCCGAGATGGTCAGAAACCAACGGGAGGAGAGTGAATCACCTCCTTTACCCCCCTTCGAGTTCATGTCGCGCAACCGTCGCGCGGTCTTTGGAGACCCACCCTCCCCATATTTGGCTGCTCTTCTAGCAAGTGCTGAGCGACGACAACGCAGAAAACGAGAACAGGAGAGGCTGGAAAAGGAACGGAAGCAAAACAACGAAGAGCTGCCTAGGAAGCGGCGTGATCCCAATGAACTTCCTGAGTATCTTACTCCAGCAGGGCATGATCACCTGGCTTGGTCGGGCAGTGGAACGTCATCCTCGAGCCCCTATCCTGTCTCCGGAACTAGCCGTTCACAATTTGCCGATTCGGAATCAAACGGGGAAACCGGTGAGAAGGGTGATAATACGAGCACAGATCAGACTCACGATGAAACAAAAAACATGGAAGAAGATCGGGATGAAGAGGAAGAAGATCGTGAAGACGACGAAGAACATGAAGGGGATGTGGATAGCCAGGAGGACAACCGTTCCAAGAAATCCGAGGAGGAAGACGGAAATGGGGATGAGGAGTCCCAAAGCGGGTCCCAAGAGGAGTCCGAAGATGGTTCAGCAGACATGGATTATGACGACGATATGGCTGACGACGAAAATACCATGCCCCAAAAAGATACACCCAGTAAATCTGAAGCAACAGTGACAGATGAAGAAGACAAGGACGAGGACAGCAGCCAAGTTTGTAAGTATGCTGCCCCTTCTCCATCACATCCTTAATGTTGAGAATGAAAGAATAGGTGACCCGGATCCCGAAAACGAGATCCTGGTGAACAAAGAGCTTTGTGTTCCTTCCCCGATCGCGGTCGACGAAGACTCCAACAACAACAACAACAATAACAGAAGAGGCTGCACCTTAATTCCGCCCCAATCTTGGCCCACCCGATCCAAGCAGACGCAGCATGACCATCCCCGCAATCCCTGTTCTGTTACTTCAGACCGTCCTGATCCATCTTCGAATACGTTTTCTGTCCCCGGCGAAATATTTGTTGACCCAATTGATTTTGATAACGACGAAACCCGTGCCTTGATACATAATTTCGCTGCAGCGTGGGCAAACCTCGCCGTAGGCTATGTGATTCCCCATAGTGAGAACACCCGGCCTGCTGGTCGAAGGGTCCGGAGCGTGGCACCTCGACAGAATAGAGATCGCTATAGTCCTGTCTCACAGACCCAAGGTGGATTTCATGCCGGCATTCCTGAAAACGAGCTGTTGTCTTCTTTATCTGTGTCATTGCCTGGGGGGTCAATGCTTCCTACATATCGGAACTCCAACGTGACAGCTAGGGTCAACCAGGACGATCCCCTTTTTGAAGAAACAAGTACTGTGGCCAGACAAAATTCAAATGGGCTCCCGGAAAATGGTGATCAGAACATGGATTGGTAGTTGTTTTCCCTCGAATTTTGATTTTTCCTCCCTTCTCTTGTGTTTTTTTTTTCCAGCCCCAGCAAGCCTATAGTTTTGAACTGACATGACATCTCTTTTCCATGGCGCCCTCTTCTGACCGAAATGTGTTTTGTTTATCTGGTCGTTATGCGTTGCTATTTCATGAAGTTGTTTCTTCCCACACCACCTTCACTGTTCAAATTTCCCCCGCGTGTTTCTTAGTGTTCTTTCTACCTTTTTTACATTTCCTTTTCAGCTCAAATCCACCTTCAAAATTGAACAAGAGGGGTAGAGATACCTAGCCAAAATTGTCCATTTAAAAATTTCCCCTTTTTCCCCCATCCAAGTGAGTGATTTACTCATTGTAGATTTTTTTTTTATCGCGTATTTCTTCGGAGTTTCAAGGAGTGTACACATGTAATTAGCCGGTTGTCACTAAGCGCACTGTGATGCCATTGACAACTGATGTGCGATGGGATATGGATATGAGATTCGAATCTATACACTGTGAAGTTGGCTAATCTTGTCCCACAGTTTTAACCTTGGTAACAATAAGCGTTTCTCTTCTTTAGTAGCTTGCATCTTTCCATAGGAAATTGCCACTGGCCTTGTAATCAGAATGCTCTCGATTTAACAGGTTGCATCCGTGTTCGTAAAAATAGGGTTGGACTCCACCTAAAGAAGTACAAAGGTCAGCAGTAGCAGAATTGTTACCATTCATTATCCAATAATACCCGGATTCTTATGGAAGGGCAGGATTAGTAGGCTTAAAGGGAAAAGCAATTTGCGAGCTGGTGCAAAGAGAAGGAATATGGTCTTCCTTTTTGAACAGATTTTGGAAAAGATATTAATTCTCCATATCCGACGAGATTGACAGGGAATAAAAGATGAGACAAACAAGAAAGGAATTAAAAGCGAGAACGCTTTCAAGTAACGTGGATCTAGAAACAAGAATTCCGTGCTGCCGGGATTTTCGAGTAAAAACAGAGGAAAATGGGGCAAGAAGTACAGATGAAAAGGTATTCCATTGGAGGGCAAATGGAATCCAGGCGCAGGAGTGGCGGGGACAGCTAGAAAGAACAGACACTAGGGATTTATCAGGCATGTGTGTATCTTCGATTCAAGCAGGGGAAAAGGAAAAATACAAAGCAGAAAAATGAACCGCTATGCCTTCTCCCATTGTATGTTGTCTTCTTCGATTGCCATTCATGTCGCATGAATATATATCCCACATGCCCCCATTCATTATCAACGCCTGAATCAAAAAAAAAAAATTGTTGGTCTCATGTGAAAGGGCCCAAACCGTCGGCATTGTCTTTTCCCCCTTTCTTTCCCTATCCTATCCTTTCCTTGTATGCTTCCTCTCTTCTTTCCCACATACAGCGCACCAGACGATCCGGAAATGACATAAAGGAAAAGACAAATCCAAAATTCCCCATTGCCCTTCGGCGGATATCTCCCTCTTCACACAACACGCCCCCTGCAAAAGAGACATCTACTCCTCCTCCTCCTCTTCAACTGTCGTCTTGGCAATACGGTCCAAATCCCGCTGACCGCTCTGGGTAATTCTTCGACCACCTTTCTCCTCATCAAGCTCGAGCACTCCGATCTTCTCAAGCGATTGGATGACTTTTCGATCAACAGAACCGCTGCCTTCGACGTGGTGGGAGGGCCGCGAGCCACGGTTCTTCTGGCTTCCGTGGGCTTTGCGTAGACGACCGACACCGACGGTCTTGCGGAGGTAGATGTGTCGGGCAATGGAAGCGGCGCGGATGTAGTACCTGTGTCAATTTTTTTGCGGGGTAGATTGTTAATTAGTCGAGATGCGACAGAATATTTATCTTTCTAACGTGCTTCCCGGGAAGATAGATGTCGCGTCAAAATGGAGTATTAAATATTGCATACCAGTCGATAGATTGAGGGGGAAGTTCGTTCGCTCTTGAGGTCTTCACAGTGTCGACCCAACCTGTATCACAACTCTGGTGTCAGACATTCCCGGTCCCGTTGAATCAAAACAAACCGCAATCGGAAAAAGTGAGTAATAAACGTCATAGGAACGGACCTGGGATTGGCAGTTTGCCTTGTCTCTTCAGGAAGGCGGAGTATGCTGCAATGAACTTTTGCGCCTGTAGAGAAAAGGTGTTGTTATATCAGCCCTCTGATACGATCAAGATGTATAAAGGTAATCCTCCCGCCCCAAAACAACAGTCGTGAGCTCTTTTCCATTTCCATTCTCCCATCATCCTCTGCCCGATATTAAACTCTGAAGAATTCGCCCTTCTCTTTTGGCGAAACATCCAGACTGCGATCGTGTCTCGGCCCAAACCCCTGCACACCCTTCCGCCCAAAAAAACCAACTCCAATATCTCAAATCGAAGTGCATCTTCATCCCCATCCTCTTCCCATTCTCATTACCCCCTCCAAATGATCTCCCAAGCTACACCCAAGAACTGGAAAGCAAGAGAAAAGAAACCCCATCAAAGGAAAAACTTACATCCACATCGCGAACAGTAACACCTCCCATGATTGCGATTGGCCTGTTTTTAGCTTGCCTGGGAGTAAATATGATGGAAACACGAGAGGTGAAGAGAAGGGGATGGGGAAGGGAAGAAAGGCAAAACGATCCGTTGGTCGATGTTGTCGTTGTCGTTGTTGTTGGTCGTCTCTCGGGGTTTTCGTTGTCGCTTCGCTTCGAAATTTCGCTTGTTGTGTCATCGCCAACTGTGTGGTTGTGGAGACTCAAGTCGCTTGGCCTGTTTGGGACTAGTCATACCCTAAGAGCCTCAGCTGGGTCTTTGTCAGCCGCTAAGCCTAATTAAGGGAATGGTCTTGGCATGAGCTTCCAAGGCTTGAAACCACCGAGAGAAAACTCGCTTGACGGGCAGCTTTAAAGGACTTGAGGGCGGTTATGTAAGCTATTGCAATACCTGTGTCGAATATAATAGATGTTATTATCCATTAGAACTAATACATAATTATGATTCTTATATATCTCAAGTGAAAGAACATTTCTTCGCAATTACTCGTAACGTTAACTCCCTGAATGACCAAGTTAAAAAAAAAACTGTGATCTGAATCCTGTACGTAGCAATAACGGCATACCCGTACCCTGAAGAAAAACACCACCTAACAATATCGTAAAAAGTGAAAAGGCAGAAGAACAATGATAAGTCTCGCGAACCCAATCCTTATGAGCCCCTATAAAACTCCGAAGTTAACAGATAAAGAACAATGAAGAGACCATAACGAAAACAGCTCTCAGGCACGACACCAATCACCCCCCCAAACTCGAAGCCGAAGCCCCTTTCAGACCAACACAGTATCGCGCAAACAGGGTATCAATAAAATGCTCATGTTTGATCCCCGGAAACCGAACCTTCCCAAATTCATCTATAGCCTCTTGAACCGGAAACCCTTTCCTCTCAATCAGATAGGAAGCAACGAAAAAACCAGTCCTGTTAAATCCATAATGACAATGTACTGCAATGACGGGCCGCGGAGCTCCATCAGAAAGATTGCCAGATACAGAGGTTATTTCTTCCTCAAGTCGGCTGGCTAGTGAGACAAAGTCTCGCACCTCATCGATGGTGGGAGGTATCTTGGAGATGGTTGGAAGCTTATGGTACTGGATCCCCCCCTTCTCAAGTTGGGAGGGGTCGTAAACGGGGCTCTCGTGGCTGATATCGATCACCGCATAGATTCTCCCCTTCCACTGCTGCGCAAATGAAACTGGGGTGTGTTTCTCATCAACCTCACGCAAGGTTTTCATGGCAACAAAAGTATTGCCCATTACGTCCGAAACGGGGTTGGTTGCCTTCCATTTTTCAAGGTTCTTGACGTCCCATTTCCCAGAAGTAGTTAGATGCTGAAGCTGCCAGCCCAACCCAAGACGAGGGTCGACTTGCTTTTCAAGAAAATCCTGTATCAACCCCGAAAGGGTCCGACACGTGCTTCGATCATAGAGAAGTGCATGAGAGGCTGGTGCAGGAAAAATATATGCCTTTACACCCCGTTTCCCGCCTCTTGTACCGCTTTCAGATTCCAGGATACCAGAAGGATTAACACTGCTCGAAACGTCACTATTCATGCCCTTCGCCTGCGAAGGTTGAGCATCAGGAATCGTATTTCCGCCTTGATCGCCAAAATCCCGTCCTTCGAGCTGGCCTTCAGGGAACCTTGATTCGGTCGACTGGCCCCGCTCCATGTTGAAATATGCAAGGATCTTGATGGCTTCTTCGGGTTTCGTTACCTTGTCAGCCTCTCCAGCTATGAGCAAGAGTGGAACATCCACTCCAGCCCATACTTGCTTCCCGGGTAAACCTCCAATGGCTTCGCCGTTGCTGTCGTACGTGGGAAGGATTCCCCACACCATCCTCCTCCACACTGGAGTCTTACTATGCTGGTTAAACCGCAGCTGGATGTTTCTCGTCTCCATATCAGCACCTTCCCCAACAAATCTCAAAACGCTGGGACTGTTGATTCCTCCTCGTCTATCCCAAATTCTAAAAAGGTTTAGTATCAAATCTGGTGTGTAAAGCATTCTGCGAAACATTAGAGTTTCTTCTTTCGGGGGAGGGCCAGCCGGTGGGCATATGGCAACAATACCAATGACATGTTCCCGAAGCGAAGATATAACTGGAGATTTAGAAGACGCAATCAATGTTGAAATCGCAGATCCTAGACTATGCGCAACTAAAATAACCTTTTGATCCCTTTCCTTGTCGCGATGTTGTTCAACTGCTACAGTGACCAAAGTAGCAAGAGCCTCAATTGAATATGGAGTCCAGGACTTTGGAGAAAACGAGGACAACCCGCAGCCCGGAAAATCGATACCAAAACAGGGGGCAATAGTAATCAAGCTTGTTAATAGAGGGTGAAATTGGACGAGGGATCCTCCAAGTCCATGAATAAATACCAAGAGTGGCAAGGGCGATGGTTCGGTAGGGAGCTTGTCAATATGAGGGTGAGGATAGACAAATGTCCGGATGGAGGGATATGTTGCAATTGGGGTGGTGTATGAAATATTTGAGGAGTGCTTTTTAAGCAGTCCAGGGTCAGTATCATGCACACCTGAACAAATGTCAGTTAAGTCAGTACCATATCAAACGAAAAGAACATAGAAAAGGCATGGAAATGAGAAATTTTCAGAACCAGACATTGACGTGACTTACCCTTGCGTTCGAGATGTTCGCTTCGAGAGCCAGCAGAACGGCCATGCGCATCAATCGCATTTCCCTTCGTAGAGTTGGAGTCTTCATGTGACCCATCATCCAAACTGGACGTTGCAGGCTCGTTGTTCAACAGCGCGTGAGATTGTTCTCTTCCATTCCTGCGGGGACGAAACGCGCGAAGCAGTAGCAGACAGCCTGCCATAGTCACAACGATAGGAATTCCCAAAGTTGCGTAAGAAGGATTCGTCAGTTCATTTGGCGGAATTTCACTGCCAGGGGCCGTATTAGGACGAAATCCTAAAATACGTGGGCGCGGAAAGAAGTGTCCGACGTAATCCCACGAACGCTGGATGAATGACAGAGTAAAGGAGAATAAATGAGAAGCGGATGAAGAGTAGGGGGTGGAAGACGTCAGAGAAGGAGATGATGAGTTTATAGGGAATGAAATCTCTCTCGACATCGTGGTAGTTGAATGGTGGTAAAAAACTGCTTCTTATAATGCATACTCCTCCACTGCGATCACAGAGAAGGCCTAGAGCCCTAGAGCTTAGGAAAACACCCCACGTTCCCCCAGCCCGGGATTCCCTACGGCCCAAGCCGATAAAGTTGCGGGAGAAGGAGTTGGGCTGATGGCTGCAGGAAAATTAGGAGTTGTTTTGTTGCACCAATTCGAGCACCGTTGCCAAGCGGTCAAGCTTCAGCAGCGAGCCAATGACGAGTCTCAGAAGACGCGGGTGCTTGGATGAATCGTCAACAGAGGACGTGGCGGGTTTGCTGGAGTGTTTTCAAATTGTGGATCAGAACAGCGGAGTGACGGCTGTCGGGACGTGTTGCAAGCCCTGTGCCATACCATGGACGATGAAAAAGGCGAGGAGCAGTGTTTTTTGACGTGGAAAAAAAAAAGGTCTTGCGGGGGATTTGACTGGTTGTTTTGTATTTTTCTTTCTCTTATTTTGTTTTAATTTATTATTTATTATTTATTTATATGAGTATACGCAGACATTCGGACGATAAGCCCAGGCGGAAGAAAGGCAGGTAACACCTGATTTATGGTCTGTGGGTGATGGTTCGCACCAACCGCAGCAGTAGCAGTAGCAGTAGCAGTAGCAGTGACGACGGACGCTGCAAACACACTCCCTTCCCCCGTATAGTCTCTATGTCATGGTTATTTCGCAGCGCCCCAGCCCGGTAGCCGCGCGTGGAACAGGAGAAGATGGGAACTTTGGCGGACGGCAAGGCAAAAAGGTCAGACTGTACGCAGGTATGTACGGAGTGAGGCTCATACAATATCGTGAGCCGGCACTGCTGGAGCTACAAAAGGAATAAAAGTAACTAGCCCTGCTTGTTACCAAATCAGCTTAGGATTCACTAGAATTATTAACTATCGAAAGGGATTCCTACAGACCTCGCTGGGTTGCAATGCGTGTTGGAAACACGCCGTGGTCTGCGGATGATTGAGGATAAGCACAAGAAAATATTTATACAACGTCATCGTTCATCGGCGCAAAGACAAGATATTGCGGAGTTTCCTATTAAAGTTAGAGGCTTGGTTGTTGTCACGTGGAGTTAAGGTTGGATAAGCTTAGACAAGTTTAGTGTTGAGCCTTATATGGATGGCCAATCAGAGGCAACTAAGTCCTGAGATGATGTCATCTTTAGTTAATTCCATCATTATCATACCCAAAGTACCACTTAAATACTCCTGAAGAAGGTTCAGGTAAGGGGGTTGTTTGGGACAGAGTTGGTGATCTGTGCGGAGTAGTTAGTTAGGGGCTACAATACTCCGCAAGGGATTCAGAATCAAGTAGAATGGGCAAGGGTATATATAAATATAAACTGTGTCTCTCCCAGATAGCAAACAAACTAAAAATGATATATATCACTTTTTCACCGAAAACGAAAAGAACTTAATTTCCCAAGCCCCCTCATCAAAACATATCCGTCATAGCCCCATGCGACGCGTCTCCAACAAGTCTCGCATACTTGGCCAACGTCCCCCTAGTCACATGCGGCTTCGGCGGCCTCCACTCCTTCAACCTCTCCGCAACCTCCTCCTCCGAAACCGCCATACTAATCTCATTTCTCTCCGCATCAATCGTAATCATATCCCCATTGTGCACAACAGCAATGGGCCCCCCAACCGCCGCCTCAGGCACAATATGCCCGACAATAAACCCATGACTGGCCCCCGAATACCTCCCGTCCGTAATTAGCGCGACATTCGTCAGTTTGGCGCCCATCAGCGCTGCGCTGGCCTTCAGCTGCTCGGGCATGCCGGGGCCACCCTTCGGACCCTCGTAGCGAACTATTAGCACTAGGTTTTCGCCGCGGGGTATTAGGCCCTTGTTAAGCGCTTCGTCAAGCTCGTGTTCTTTGTTGAAAACGAGGGCTTTGCCGGTGAATTTGGTGCCTTCTTTGCCTGTGATTTTGGCTACGGCGCCGCCGGGGGCGAGGTTGCCTTTCAATATTTGTATATGGCCCGTGCTCTTGATGGGGTTGGCTAGCGGGTGGATGATGGCCTGGTCCTGTGGGAGGGAGGGGAAGGATTGGATGTTCTCTGCTAGCGTTTTGCCAGTTACTGTGGGGATGTCACCGTCCATCAAGCCTGCGGCAATCAGCAGCTTCTGCACAGATGGAATCCCGCCAATTTCATAAAGGTCTGCCATGTAGTATTTCCCACTGGGTGCCAAGTCAGCAATAAACGGGATTTTGTCGCTCACACGCTGGAAATCATCGAGTGTTAATTCAACCCCGGCCGTTCTGGCCATCGCTATCAGGTGAACGATGCTGTTCGTGCTCCCGCCCAGCGCCATGGTTATTACCAGCGCATTCTCAAAGGAGCGTTTCGTAAGTAGATCTCGCGGCCTAATGTTCTTCTCCATACATATTCTGATCGCGTCCGCTGCTTTTACGCACTCGCGCATCTTGGCAGGCACCGTAGCTGGGGTGGACGAGGAGCCTGGCAGAGTCAAACCCATTGACTCAATCGCGGTAGCCAGGGTGTTTGCTGTGTACATTCCCGCGCATGCGCCAGCGCTGGGACAGGCATTTCGCTCAATGTCTTCCATGATTTCATCTTTCGTCCTCGAGCGGTCTCCGCCGTCGTCGGGCTGGGTTAAGGTGTTGTAAGCGTACGCGCCAGCTGCTTCGTAGCAAGTAGAGACGTTGATTCGCCTGCGGAGTAACTTGGAGTACCCGACCTGAATTGTCCCACCGTATATCATCAAAGACGGTCTGTTATGTCTGGCCATACCCATGACGCAGCCTGGCATGTTCTTGTCGCAACCCGGAATCGCAATGCAGGCATCATGATATTGAGCACCTACTACTGTCTCGATGCTGTCTGCAATGATCTCCCGAGATTGGAGGGAGTATCGCATACCTTAAGAGTCCACAAAGTTAGGTCCAATTGATGAGAAGTGAAAAATGAAGAGTGAGTCCAACATGGGACAGGAGTCGCGGACATACCTTCACTACCCATGGAAATAGCATCGGAGACACCGATGGTGTTATATTGCCAGCCCAGCATCCCCTGATCCGTGATGGCTTTTTTGACCGTCTTCCCCAGATCCAAAAGGTGCATATTACAGGCATTCCCTTCCCACCATACCGTCGCAATGCCGACCTGGGGGCTATTTTTCATGCTCTCACGATCCGGCACCCCCGCGCCATATAACATCGCCTATCCATCGAAGTAGATAAGAAACACTGTCAGCACCCGTCGAAGCAAGAGAAAACACAGAAACCCAAAATACTACAATTAACCAATTGGCAGCAGGGTTAAAACTAGAGAAGGGGACACAGAGAAAAAAAGTCGACTAAGTGAATACAATACCTGCGCTCCAGGGAAATCATGGTACTGTGTAAGAAATGTAGAATATTTATTCAACACCGGCTTTCCATCCCGAGTCGCATCGTCCGGCAGGCAAGGGAACTGGATGTATCGCGGCTCTTCGAAGCCATCGACCTTCTCTTCGGGATTCATTGTAACGCCACAAAATGAGAGCCAGAAAAGAAAAAGAAAATCACAGCATGTAGATTTTGCAGTGTTGGGAGGGGTATGTTGTTTGATCTTTGCGCCGCGGGGAAGGAATGGATTTATGCTGGAAAAAACCCCCCCCTCAAAAATGGCGATTTTTGCGAAAACAATTGAATTTCGTGAGGGAGTATAATAATGATTATGCCAACTACCTGTTGAGTGTTCTCGATCCTGATTAAAGGAAGACAGACCTCTTTCGCGCGGAGTCACGAGGATAACTAACTTGTCAGTGGAACTGGCTCGGAAGATTTTATAACTGCCTACCGGGTTATTTATCCGTAGTTAACCCATGTAACTATCTCGGTACAGAAGAAGAGAAAAATAACCTGGGATTGTGTATATCCATAGATATATATCCCTCTGTCCCCATTTCACCCCTCACTTCCACCCCGCTAGAAGAAGCCTGGACTCACAGAGCTTTGTTAGTAAGCGTGAATATCTGCCTCGCCATTGGAACAGAGCAGAGTCAACTTTTTTCATAACAGCTTAAATAGCATTGAATGAAAGATAAGCAGCATCTGAACAAACCCGATTGGACAGTAACTATATCAAACTGCCCTTGTTGAGCTACCTCGGCGACAAGGCTGATACTTCAAATTTCGCAACAGCCAATGTTAATTTGGCATAGTTTGGCCAATGTCGATGATTGACCTCTATGCCAATCCTCCAGACACCAGTCCTGCGCAAAGCTCTCAATTTTGCTGCAGATACAAATGCATTCTACAGAGCGGACGCATGTTGACAAGTACGGCATTAACTGCTGTCTGCTTCCTTGCCCTCGAGGGCTTCAGACGTTCCGGGCTGGCCTGATTCTTGCAGCGCTTTATCGGACAGCGAGATTGACTGGTGGTATAACTGGTTACGCGTCGCGGGGCAACTGATTCCGGATGCAACTCTGTATTGCAAGTCATGATCCATGATATCGACGGCGATGGCGGGGACCTCTTAAACAGGTAGCTGGTAAAAAATTGGATATCTGTTCAAAGTTGAGCTCCGTCTGGTAGTTATCGATATTGAATCAGATCGATGGCCCAATATAACTAGTTATCCCAAGCTGGCTTATTTCCGGAAGTCTAGCCGACTTCTCATGGGCGACCACTGACACTCGAGGATTCACGCCTCGAAAATAAGCGCTGGAAACAACTCCTGGTAAAGGAAACGCACTCCGGGCCGCCAAAAGGAACTTTTTTTTGGGATAATCAACCGCTAGTTAGCCAATCATGACCATAGCTTCACTCGAGATAATTTTCAGCTGAAAAAAGGTCCATCGCGTACGACTCTGGGATCAGCGGGCTGAACAAGTTAAAGCTCGGTATTTCCAGCAAACATTCGTACTTTTCCCTGTTCTGAGACCGTTGGTACGGAGTTGTCTCGTATTGTTTTGCGGCTACCCTGGAAGACTGGCACTATGAAGCTGCCGCTCTTCTGTCCCGAATGAACTCCAAAGCGTCCCCGCATATACCCCATACTCTTGGAGACTCGGGATTAGCCTCTGTGGATATGGAGATCTGTTGGAGCTGCATTAGAGAATATTCGCCTTTGAGGAATCATTGTTTGTATATAACAGATCTTCTTCTCATTGATTTGACGGATGTTCTTTTTCCAATTCTGTTGCAACGCAGTGACTTAACTCTTAAACCATTGGTTTTTATTTTTCATTTCGCCTCCATATTCTCCAATCTGTTGTTGTTTCTTTGGCAGCGGACCTGCTACCCAAACTAGATGGGCACGAACGATCAGAATAATGACGACATCTCGTCTCCGCACCACGATGAAAAAAGGGGGATAGTCCCTCAAACTGAATCTATTCACAGGGGAACAGCCCACGAGGTAGCAGAGAGGGGGCATACTGCTACTGACCTGTAAATATACACTGTCTACTTAATTTGCAGTCAGACTCCTCTGCTCGTTTCTCTTATTCTGACAAGATATCAATCAGTTATGGGCGTCCGCTTGTCCAATTTGACCCAGCTGCTGAAGCCAGACTTCTCTGGAAGATCGATTTGTTTATCGTCCCCACTGTTTCTCTTCTCTACCTTTTCTGCTTCATTGACCGCGCAAACATTGGTATGAAACTTCTTCTGTCTAATTCATACATTCCAAAACGCCTTTCTTACAGTGCATGTTTTTCTTGTTAGGAAATGCGAGGCTCGCTGGCCTGGAGAGGGATCTCAAACTGAAAAACTATGACTACAACACCGTTCTCTCAGTTTTCTACGTCTCCTACATCATTTTCGAAATCCCTTCCAACATGGCCTGCAAATGGATTGGCCCCGGATGGTTCATCCCGGCTCTGTCGCTTTCGTTTGGGCTCGTCTCCGTAGCCACCGCATTTGTGCACAATATCCACCAAGTCTGCGGTGTCCGTTTTGTCCTTGGGATTTTCGAGGCCGGGATGATGCCGGGTATCGCATATTATCTGTCCAGATGGTACCGAAAGGGAGAACTGGCATTTCGTCTATCTCTATATATTGTCATGGCTCCCCTTGCGGGGGCCTTTGGTGGTCTTCTTGCGTCCGCTATTCTGAAATTGCCCAACTTTGGTGGCCTTCATGAGTGGAGGATGATATTTGCAATCGAGGGTATTATCACATGTGGACTATCCGTGATTAGCTTCTTTACCCTGACCGACCGGCCGGCTACCGCTATTTGGCTTACCCAGGAGGAGAAGGACCTTGCCACAGCTCGCGTCAAATCAGAACGCATCGGTGCTACTGAAGTATTAGACCAACTTGACGTTCCCAAGACGCTCCGTGGGATCTTCGGTCCTGTCACCCTGGTCACTTCTTTCATATTCCTCCTAAATAACATTACCGTTCAAGGACTTGCATTCTTCGCACCCACAATCGTCAGAACAATCTACCCCAAAAACAGCGTCATTTCCCAGCAACTTCACACAGTGCCCCCGTACGTCATTGGTGGCTTTTTTACCGTTCTTTTCCCCTTTCTCAGCTGGAAATATAACCGACGCTTGATATTCTTCATCATCAGCGCTCCATTGATGATGGTTGGCTACATAATGTTCCTCGCCAGTAACGACCCGAACGTTAGATACGGTGCAACATTCATCATAGCCAGCGGAGCCTTTTCATTCGGTGCCCTTTGCAATGCTCATGTTGCCGCGAACGTGGTTTCCGACACGGCTAAATCCTCCGCAATTGGCACAAATGTTATGTTTGGGAATATCGGCGGCTTGATATCGACCTGGTCATTCTTACCATTCGACTCCCCAATCTATCATATTGGCAACGGACTCAATCTCGCTACATCGTCAACGATGCTGCTTTGGTCCATTGCTTTGTTGATTTGGATGGGGGTGGATAATAAGAAGAGGGATAAGGTAAATGTGGAAGAAAAACTTGGTGGGCTTAGTCAAAGACAAATTCAGGACCTTGACTGGCGGCATCCTGGTTTTAGGTGGAAGTCTTAGTTTATTTCATGCTCTTTACACTATTCTCAGGGGTGGGATTTAGCCGTTTTATTAAAAAAAAAAAGTTTTTATCCTTATCATCAGATAACATAGTTTCTTAGCTGATGTACAACAATTTGCACATGTTCATCATCCAAAATCCTTCATCCCCCTGATTATACCTCATATGCAAGGCCTTTCCACTTATCGGCCCCTGAGCCCTACTATATACAGCTAAGTGCTTCTAACACGGCTTCCCATCCTTGTTCCCACAATGATTGGTATCAGTACACTTACTGCCACACCCATAATCCGTATAAGTCGTCGGGGTATTCTGTTCCCACGATCTCATGCACTCCGTCACATCCCCATTTCCCCAATTGCATCTCTTCCTCTCATAACCCCTCGTGCGCACCATCTGCTGCTGCGTCCACACCGTATGACACGCCTTGTCATTCCACGTGCATGTCGTCGTGGAGGATGCGCTGTAGCATTGCGAGTTCTCGATGGAGGATGAAAATTCCACTCCGAAACTTAACCCGGGAACGATGCCCTTGGAGACGGCAGCGTCGATTTTAAGACCCATTGACACACTGACGCTCTGGCTGCGGGTTTGACAGACTTGGGTGCCGTTCAGGTGCGCTGCGGCACAGGTTTGGGTGCCGGTGCAGTAGATGTTGCCGGAGGATTTGACCCAGGGCTGCTTCCTGGATTCGGGTAATTGTTAGAATTTGTTCGATCTTGCAACAAGAAGGGCGGGAAGAGGGGGGGGTTTGGGAAGGGCTGGGCAGTTTTGTGCAGTTTTGTGCATACCACACACTCGCTTCAACGGCATAATAATCGTGCCAGCATTTGCGCACTTTGGGAAACTTGTACGGGTGGGTAACCTTGTCCGAGTCCACGTACACACCCTGCCCGTCACGGTAGGGTCCACTGAAGTCACGGTCGCTATCGCACTCTTTCAAGCCTCGTTTCGCCAGGACTGAGTGAGAGGTCGAGAGCGATGCTGACGACGTTGGTAGAGCAAAGCCGTCCTGAGCAAGGCCGAAGACTGCGAGGACTGTAGAGAAAATAAATGAAGTGCGCATATTGGAAGTTGCGAAGCGGGGCTGGGCTGGCTTGTTGATACGGGGTGAAGTGAATGTAGAAAGATTGGTCCAATCTTTGCTTGAATGCTTCTGCGGTCTGTCTCTCGAACAGTAAAAAGATACTCCATTTCGAGAGAAGAGAGTGAGGCTTTTATATCCAAATTTCCCTCCGCCAGAACGCCCATTTTCTTTTCCATCTGCGCCACGTTGACTCAAGACTCGCTCTCCTTCGCTTTCAAATATCTAGATTCGGCTCCCTTCACAAGAGGCAGATTCCCCAATCACCTCCATTCAGTTTTGTTGCTTTTCAAGATGGATGAAATGGCAGAATGTAAGTGCTTGAATTCCACAATTAGACCTATTTCCCCTTTTGTACGTGGTGGCTTGAAATCCTCATATCATTCAACGTGGAGATCGGCAGACCACAATGTGCTTATGAGGAGCGTGATTTCAATAAGCGGATGCAGAAGATAGGGTTTTCGCCTGGACACTGGAGAGTAAGTTGCAAGGATCCACGCGACTGTAAAGTTGGCTCGGATTCGATTCTGCAATAAATCCTCTGGATGTTGGTTTCTGGCTTGTTTCTTTTTCCTTTCCTTTTTCAGCCCCCTGCATCATCTGGCGCATTGAATTTCTCTAGAAAAGGAGGATATGCCAGAACTGGAATAGCCGGCAAATTTTTCAGGACGGTAACCATACATTTTCCAGCCTTGTTTGATTGTTCTTCAGCCAGGCTGCGCAGCCTTGCAGTGTCTCTGGGTCCCTTTATAGCAGCCAAGATATATGGCTAGTTGAAGGGCTCCGGCACCGTTCGTGTGGAGGAGACCAACATGAACCGTATTATTCACATTCCTCAGTCTTTTCTTGCAAAATATATAGTGAACAACGGGTTTTTGCTGGAGAATCCATCGCGTCTGATAACTAACTGATCCTGGACGGGGCTCCCAGGGTTGTGCAGTTAGTTCCTGACCATGGATATTGAAACATCGAGCGATAGAGTTAGAACTACGAAACGTCACAGACCCGAGATCCGTAGTGCATATCCATGGACTCGAAAAGGAGCTTCAGCCTTCATGCCAACCTCTCCACCCGCCTATCTGGCGGCATAGTCGCAGCCTCGCAGCGGTCCAATTGTCGAAAGTCTCCGCAGCAGCGGACCGGCCCCATGCAACCCTAACTCTATTAAGCGGCCGATCGCAGGATCCATCCAACCACGGTATTAATTATCTAGGACCATAGTCGAAACGACTCCACCTTGCAAATAAACAATGACAGTTCGACAGTTTCTCAGACGGTTGAGTATAATTCACCGCCCTTGGATATCTACTAATGGGCCGCATCGACACCATCAGATTAGCCAAGCGTTGTTAACCACACAGAGGAGAAAAAGTAGTTTGAATACTATCATCGTCTGGAGTAGAAATCCGATCCTTGAGTGAGCGGTCCAAATTCCCTGGGGTTCAACGGGCCGCCAGTTGGGGCGTAACGAACCCCAAAATATAATAAGAGCCGTATCACAATGTATCTCAACCCCCTTTCCCGTTATTTTACTCTTATTCTTCCACTTAAAATGAAATAGAAATCACAAGGTCGACGATGCTTTTGAACAGTAGCCATGTGGGTAGCTCAGATGATATATATAGGCCAGATATTTGTGTAAACCTCGCAATCCGTATATATAAAATCTGCGTCAGAGTGTTGTATTCCGCATGGGTGAAACGATATGCCAAAGATATAAATACATGTAATATATGTCAGGCCTATCCGCCTTCTTACGTAATCCGCACCGTATATAACTTCCGCGTAGCTAGCGATCGCTTCATAATCAATCAAGCAATCTATCCTTCACAATATAGACATGAATATATTTGAAGTGGGAAACGCCAGTTAACCAAAACAAATTCGTTTCTCTGCACATCAAGAAAAGTAAATGGAGACGGAGGAACATGAATGGAGGATAGGCGGAGAGAATACTAATGCAGGGCAGAGAATGGAAAAAAAGTCGGCAGTAAACTGTAGTCCAAGTACATCCGTGCTTCTGGCGATTTTAACGGCGCTAAAGATACGCCCAAAAAAAGGGGGGTATAAAGGGGCGGGTAGGGTAAGCCAAATGGAGGTGATCTCATTGGACGTACATCCGCCGCGTACGAGACAGCAGACTAGATGGGCGCATTCCCTGCAGCTGTCCGTCCTGATCGCTGTCTACTTGATATCCTCACTGTCAGACTCGACACTCGTGTCATCCGTTTTATCCTTCTCAACCGCAGACCACTGATTAGACTCATGCATACTATCGTCACCATCAGTGAAGACGCCATCTTTATTTTCGACAACATGAGCTTGACCATGAGCCTTGGCTTCTGCGTCTGCCTCGGCTTCATTATCATTATCATGATCTGGAATGGCCGCAAACCCCACATTCTTCCCACCTGTCGTTGATGAATGAGAAGGCAATACGTCCTCAAGAACATCACCGTTCCACGGCTTGCATTTCTTCACGATCTCCCCGCATCGAAGACAAATCCAGCCCTCGCCCTCTTCTGCTTCGAGCTTCTCCGCAATACAGACAAAACAGTATATACATCCACACGGCATCGTCTCGTAGGGGTTGACAACATCCGTTTGTGCCGAACCTATTATGCCCCCCGAAGCCCCCGAGGCGCCCAGCACATCGTTTTCCGACCTAGCTGCCGGGTTCTGCTCCTGGTAGCAGATTGGACATGTTCTTTCCGGTAAAAAGGCGAGCCCCCCCTGGGCCTTGACCTGCTCATCATTTCCTTCGTCAGCTGTTCGAAGCGATGACATTGTTTTCCTCCAGGCTCGGGTGATCCAACGTCTCCAGCGCCCGATTCCAACAAGAGGGAGAAGGAATAAGAGGAATTCCGTGAACGCGTGCCAGACGAGTTGTCTATTCAGATACTCGAAGGACACTTCGCGACTGACTTGGGTAAATGGGGGGGCTAGGCGCATACGTAGCAGGCGATCGATTAGCGTTCTATAGCGACCATTGGTGAGAAAAACGAGAAACGAAACGAAGCTTGCTATCGAGTGTGTGGTTGAGATGGTATTTGTGATTCTGGATAAAAGGCGTATTTGCGTCGAGGGCTAAATGTAAATAATCTATTAGAATGGGCTTTTGCATCTTTCGCGACTTTGGAATACTAAATAATCCTGGAATTCCAATTTATTCATACCTCATCATATCCACCCTCCTGGTCAATCAGCCAACTCTCCCATTTATCCCATATATAGCGACCTCCAACCGTGAAAAGGCCATATAGTGCCTTTTGTGATTTCGTCGGATCCGAAAGAGTTGGTCCCTTTTGCCGGCTATCTGTATATTTGAGGTTTTGTAGAGCTGCACCATACGAGGCATTGTGATCCCATACAGAGAGCTTGAAGAGAATAGCCCGCAACGCAAACTGTATCTCGTGTGTCCAATCCTCTTTAATGTGGCTCTGAGAAGAAAAACAACATTGTTAGACCTGCACCACAATAAGATATATCCTTGCGACCGCAAGAGAAGGATTTCACAGACTTACTCCGAAATATTTTAATCCCTCTCCAACTTGACCTTTGAGTAGAGTTAGGAGCTCCTCATCCAGCAACTCCGCATCGACCTGGCCAACCCGAAACGCCGGTTTCGTCCCTTCCCTCCCCTTTATCGTGTCCCATAATATGACACCAGCATCGGACACTCGAGAAAGCGGATAAGGAAGTCTTTCGATAGCTGCAGGAAGACGGGCACTTCGTTCGGGGAGTCGGCCTCGAGCTTCGGCTTCACCGAGACGGCGGCGTTCCAGAATGCGCTCCTGCGCTGCAGCAAAATTTGTTGAGGTCATCGTGCGGTCATTCTTGGGTTATATTGCTGGAAATCCCATATCCTGCACAAAGATAGGGAATTATTCAGTTGAAGCAAATAAATGATGGAAATATTGGCATCCCTACCCGATGCGCGAGAGGCAAGCCGAGGTCGAACGCTCACGTGATGTATGGAGGGGTGACCTTCAAGACTCTGTATCTACACGGTATCACGTAAATAATCACAATTTGCGTTTCATAACTACAAAAGCTCCAGGATGTCACTTCCAGCACGGACATCTTCACTAAAAAATCAATGAAGAATGCAGTCCTTTACCTCGAGAATTTGCCAAAATCACTGCTTTCTGATTCCCCTGCCCATTTGACCAAGAACAACCAAACGCAGTGCGGGTGACATTAACAGAGCAAATGGTTGGGATCGGACAATAATTCTATCCCCAAATACCGAGTACACCTATGAAATTGTTAAGACTTTTGCTGCCTCTGGAGCTCTCTTGAAATTTGACCAAACAGTAGCCGGCTCGAGTCCTCAGCTCGCCATGGCGTCAGTAGTCGAATTGCCTGGGGAAGCCAACCCCTTAACTCGTCAGAACATTTTTAACACCCTGGTGAACGCTGCGGGCAACACGCAACAACAAGTTGTAGCCGGCGGACAACAGCTTCAAAATTGGGAGAAACAGCCGAATTATTTTTCACTGCTACAGGTATGCCGTTTTAATTCGTCTCCATGTCTTCGGGCAGGCGGAAGGACGGACACTAAACATGCAATTGCAGGATATCTTCGTCGATTTCTCCCTGCCAAATGAAGTCCGTTACCTGTCGATTATACAGCTGAAAAACGGCGTTGATAAATACTGGAGAAAAACCGCCCCAAAGTATGCTTTGCTCCTCCTCTCGTTTGTGGTATTCTCTCCAAAAGGATATTACATACTGGTACTGATTGTGGACAATTATTCAAGTGCTATCAAGGCAGAGGAGAAACAGCAGATCAGATCGCGGGCCCTTGAGGCTGGTGCTGTCGAACCTGATACCAAACTTGCTCTTCACAATGCCCTGATGCTTGCAAAGATAGTGCGTTTGGAATTCCCGTCAGAATGGTAAGAAGAGCACCCTTTTTCCAGTTTCATTCAAGCTTCACCGGTATCTAATCTTCGTTACCCCCAGGCCTGATGCGATTGTATCAGTGCTTACATTGCTTCGCGCCGCCTGCCAGCCCGGTAGCAATCCTTTGCAGCTTCCACGTACCCTCCTTATCCTTTTACATATAACCAAAGAGCTCTCCACGGTGAGATTGCAAAGGATTAAAAGGAACCTCTATGACATTGCGCCGGAGATATTCCACATTCTTGCCAACATTTATGTCGAAAAGGTCCGTAAATGGGGTACCTTTTTAGAAGTTGGTGGTGACGACGAGGGCGGAGCTTTGGAATCCTTCGATGAAAGTCTCATCACGTTGAAGACTTTGCGCCGGTTGATAGTTGCCGCTTTCGAGAACCCAAACAGAGACAGCGACGTCCAGCAGTTTTGGACCTTATCACTTGCTCATGTCGGGAATTTCTATTCGTTGCTGGAACGGAAGTCCTCCGAATTGGCACCAAATGTCACAAGGCTACTTGAAAGACACATAATGCAGCTATCCAAACTTCATTTGGAGATGGCCAAGACCCACCCTGCAGCATTTGCCTTATTTCCTGGCTGCGTCGACCTAACCCGATCCTATTGGGGTCTTGTTGTTGAGCTTTCCAAACACTACGACCCAAGTGACATGTCTCGAGCCAAAATTGGAACTGATGGCGACGCTGATGACGAAGAAACTCCATTCCTAGAAAATATCGCGCTCAAGGGCTTGCTTATCCTTCGCTCATGTATAAAAATGGCATTCTACCCAACACACACGTTTAAATACCTTCATGCCCGGGATAAAGAGGAGAGAAGCCAATCCATTGAGCTTATCAAGTCCCAACTACTGACACACGAATTCGTAGTTCAAGTCATGGAGCTCCTTATCACCCGCTTCTTTGTCTTTCGGGCAAGCGACCTGCGGCAGTGGGGGGAAGATCCCGAAGAATGGGAGAAGCGTGAAGACGAGATCACAGACGCGTACGACTTTTCTATCCGTTCTTGTTCCGACAAAGTATTTCTAGACCTCCTTATCCACTTCAAACAACTCCTTGTCCCCACACTCCTGCGCGTCTTCTACTCCTATGCCAGTAAGCCTACTCCCCGTTTGGTTTTTACCGTGTGCTATTTTCCTTCTTTCTTTCCTCTTTCCCTTTCTTTAACATCTTCTAGGTCCCCAAAATCAAGAGGTTCTGCTGAAGGATTCCCTCTATTCAGCTGTCGGCCTTGGGGCCGCCATCCTGGAGAAGCAGCTTGATTTCAATGCATTTTTATCATCTACCCTTATTCCGGAGGTTCAAATTCAGCAGCCAGGGTATAACCTTCTTAGACGACGGATAGCAATACTGCTTGGTCAATGGGTACCCGTGAAAGCTGACGAGTTAGACATGTCGTCTATTTACCAAATTTTTCAACATCTACTTAATAAAAGTGATCCAATTAACGATCAAGTGGTTCGAGTGACGGCTGGTCGTCAACTGAAAAATGTGCTAGAGCCATTTGAATTCAGCGTTGATCGGTTCCTGCCCTATGCTACGCCCATACTTCAGAGCCTTATGGATCTGATAGGCGAAGTAACTCTTACAGAAACCAAGATGGCACTTGTCGGGACAGTTCGGGTTGCCGTGGTTAAGATGGAAGATCACGTATGTCGATTCTTAGACATTAAGCACGGATCTCAAATGCTAAATTTTTTACCAGATTGCGCCGTACGCCGACCAAATAGTCTCTCTACTACCACAGCTGTGGGAGCAAGCAAGCAAAGAGAATTTGATGAAGCAAGCCATTCTAACGCTACTTTCTTCATTAATTCATTCAATGAAACAAGAATCTGTCCGATATCATCAGATAATTATTCCCCTGATCCAAAAATCCGTCGATCCTGAATCGGTATGCCTCTTCCCTCCTTCGCATATTAACTCCACACATATTATAACAATCTGCTAAAGAGTCAATAGGAGGCACTAATTTATCTCTTAGAGGAGGCACTTGACCTGTGGTCTGCCGTTCTCATCCAAGCTCCCGCTCCCCCTTCCCCAGATCTTCTCCACCTGATACCATCTCTCTTCCCTGTTTTAGACATTGATACCGAATGTGTCCGTCAAGCTCTAGAAGTGACTGAATCCTATATTCTCCTTTCACCCCAGGAAGTACTCAGCGATAATATCCGATTCCGCTTGCTAGCTTCGTTGGAAGCTCTTCTCGGTTCAACTACACGACAGCGCCTTGGTGTTGTTCCCCATCTTGTCGAAATGCTGATTCGAGCGATAGAGTTCGTCAACCCCGGAAACGAACAAGCATATACTATTGTCGCCAAGTCTCTTATGGACTCTTCGTTCCTCCCAACACTTCTATCCGGTCTCCATGAAGCCTACGAAGCTAATCTCACCACAGGACCAAAAAAGAAGTCCCCTGCCGTTTCCGGCGTAGTTGAAACAGATTACTTCTCCGTCCTCGCTAGAATCGCCCTCGCAAGCCCGAAAATATTCATCTCATCTGCCTCTTCCTCCAGAGAAGATCATTTATCCGAAGAAGAAACCGTCAACTGGATACTGATGGAATGGTTCTCCCATTTCGACAATATGGGAGACATTAACCGCAAAAAGCTACATGCCCTGGCCCTAACGCATCTCCTCTCCATAAACGGGCCCTCAACTCCTCCGCCGGCCTACCTCTTAAACCACCTGCAATCTTACCTCGTCGTATGGACTGACCTTATCAGAGAACTATCCGAAGGCACCTCCTATGACCCTAATGATCCCCTAGGCGGTGATTATCTTATTGTCTGGAACGCAGGATCGGCCACAGGTGAACCCGATGAGAAATACCAGGCCAACGAACCTCCTGAAACCACACGGCGGAGGACATGGAGTAATGCGGACCCTATACATAAAATCAATTTACGCCATTTTGTCACGGAGAACCTGCGGGGAGTTGTTGGGGCGTGTGGTGGGATTGACAAGTTTAGGGATGAATGGTTGGTAAATGTTGATCGTGAGGTTGTGAATGGGTTTGGTGAGTTGGGAGTGTTGTGAGTATTTGCGAGTATGGATTGTGGGGCTTTGTTTGGTCTGAAAATCATTCGAAATTGTCAAATCGTATTACAAGGGCTCGGGATGTGATTGGCTGAAGTCCCAATATCGTACATTTTTAGCCTTTTCCTTTCGCCACATGAAATTTGTTGCGAAGGGAGGAGATAGAAAATTTTTAGCCAGATAGTGGATTTAGAGAAGAGAGAAAAGAAAGAAAATCAAATAAAATAACGCCCTCTGAATTATTAAAGAGATATTCTAAGGGAAATTCTAAGGTTCCCTGTAGTAGGTCGATGTCCAAGATTGGAATTTTGAGCCCAGGTCACTTGTTAACCCCTTTTTCTCAGATGTATACGGACCGCATAGATACCATCCCTCCATCCCTCGACAATACAAATGAAATAGTAGTGAAAAACAATGTCAATTAATTAGTAAGTGTTCAATTAAGCCTTTCCATTTCTTAATAAAAGTTAAAGATGTAAACGTAAATAATCAGCTGTTCTCCTACGCTCCAAGCCGTAAAAAGTCCCATCACCTGCATCCACCATACTTCCTAGCCCAAATCGGCTGCGGAAACAGCTTCTGGTTCAAAAGGTCCTGCATATCCCATCCCGGCGCCCCCTCCGTCTTCCATGTCCAGAAGTACCATCCAGCCCCGACCTCGAAAGCATCAAGCTGTGCCTCAATATACCGGAGAGTATCTTTTTTCTGCTGAGCGGACAATTCGGAAGAGGAGCCCTTAGACCTCGCACCACAAGCGCCAGATGGTTTGCCGCTAGGGAACGAACCATCAAATCGCGAACCTATGCCACGCCCATTTAGATACATGGCGCAGTCAGTCATGGCACCGCTCCACTCTTTCACAATCAACGGCTTATCGGCTCCTCTAAGTCTGTCATGAGGAAGCGAGCATGCAAGCTTCACGTGCTGGTCAATGGTGAAGGTCCTAAAGATATCATCGAAGACTTGGTTGTGGTATGTGTCGAGGTAGACGTTCTTGTATGTCTTGGGCGCCAAAAAGCCATTCCAGGTGCGCGGGGGCAGAGAAGCATCCGAAATTGAGACGCCAACGGTGCTGTCTATATCACGAACGATGTGATATCCATCCTCATAATATTCCTTCAGTAGGGACACCTGCACGCCTCCTGGTATGGAGGGTTTGTTGACCAATTCTATGGAGTCAACGACGTCGGTACGATTGGCGTAACGGATTGCGAGAGTATGGATGGCGATCAGGGTTTGTCTGATCGTGTCACCCTTTTGCCAGTTGACGGCGCCACGGTGACCGCTGTTGTCGAAGCCGTTTTGAGAACCCGGGACTGGGAGTGAGATATTCTAGTTAATAATGGATGAGGGTCGATAGTATATGCTCACTTTACAGGGACTATGTAACTTACCACCATGGAGATCGATGACGACCCTCAGATTTGAGTTTTTGGCCCAGACAAGCGCCTTGTCCAAATAGTCGAGTTGACCTTGTACATATGGCTCTCCCTCTATAGGATTTACTGCCCAGTACCCGATCGGGATCCTGACATGGTTTAACCCCGCCGCAGCAATGTTCTTGAAATCATCTTCAGTGATAAAGGTGTCCCAATGTTTCGAAAGGTGCCTTTTAGCATCTCTGCCGAGATTCTTGCTCAGGGTGTATTCATCGACGGAGCTGCTCCCGCCTGCTTCGAAGACGGAGGGCGAGATCCATGGCTCCAGCAATAGCCACCCGCCGATATTCACACCATATATTGCTGATCCTGCTTGACGAGGTACAATGTGAGATGCGACGTGAGATGATGCGGATGCCAGGCATACCCATGCGAGAACACAGCTGGCAAGAGCCAGGTTGAGAGAACTAAAATTCATGATGCCTATGACCACCAAAACCTTGAAGATCTGTAAAAAGAAGGAGGAGGGAAATAGGGAGGAGACAGCAGATATTTATACACCATAATCCCTCTGTGCAGGTGCATAATTGTTGATAAATCTGCAACAATGAAACATGGAATGGTCCAAGTGAGCTTTAAGATGAGTCCACAGGTGATAGCTCTCAGTCAAAAGCAACCTTGAAAAGGACAAAAATCCACAAAATAAGGAAAAGATCAACAGCAGATGCCAGGGCTTGCTGTAACATGAGAATCACACCAGGCCCTTATTGAGTGGGGCATGCGCATTTTTTCAACTGGGAATTCTGGGCAAACTTGCTAGCTTCTCCAGGAGCAAACAAATGAAATAATTATTAATCAATAAATAAAAGAAGAGATAAATAAATGATGTATTAGCAGCAGCTTCTGAGTGAGTTGTTGCTTTTTCTCTGAAAGCTTTCACTCTATATTTCAGAGATGCATTTGTCAAATTTTTCAGAAGAATAGATGTCACACAGTCACATTAAAACACAAACAATTTCATTGAATGCACATATATGATCCCAGAACTCTGTAGCATTCAAGATAACAGAAGTAACATAAGATTTCATGACATCTATAACTATCAAAATCTTGAAAATACCTCAAATAAGCTTTAAGATAAGTTCATAGATGATAGCTCTCAGTTAAAAGCAGTCTTGAAAAGATAAAAAATCTGCAAATAAAAAAGAGATCAATGATGAATGTCAGAACTTGCTGTGATGTGAGAATCTCATCAGACTCTCATTGAGTGAGATGTGTGTGTGCATTTTCTCAACTGAGAATTCTGAGCAAACTTGCTAGCTTCTCCAGAAGCAAAATAAACAAATGAAATAATTATTAATCAATAAATAAAAGAAGAGATAAATAAATGATGTATTAGCAGTAGCTTCTGAGTAAGTTGTTGCTTTTTCTCTGAAAGCTTTCACTCTATATCTCAGAGATGCATTTGTTAAATTTTTCAGAAAAATAGATGTTACACAGCCACATTAAAACATAAACAATTTCATTGAATGCACATGTATGATCTCAGAACTCTGTAGCATTCAAGATAACAGAAGTAACATAAGATTTCATGACATCTATAACTATCAAAACCTTGAAAATGCCTCAAATAAGCTTTAAGATAAGTTCATAGGTGATAGCTCTCAGTTAAAAGTAATCTTGAAAAGATAAAAAATCTGCAAATAGAAAAAAGATCAATGATGAATGTCAGAACTTGCTGTGATGTGAGAATCCCATCAGACTCTTATTGAGTGAGGTGTGTGTATGCATTTTCTCAACTGGGAATTCTGGACAAACTTGCTAGCTTCTCCAGAAGCAAAATAAACAAATAAAATAATTATTAATCAATAAATAAAAGAAGAGATAAATAAATGATGTATTAGTGACAGCTTCTGAGTGAGTTATTGCTTTTTCTCTAAAAGCTTTTATTCTACATCTTAGAGATGCATTTGTCAATTTTTTCAGAAGAACAGGCATCACACAGCCATGTTGAGACATGAATGATTTTGCTGGATGCATATGTACAATCCAGAACTTTGTAGCATTCAAGATAACAGGAGCTTCCTATCTGTCAAACTCCACTTCTAAATAGGATTGATCTCAACAGAAAGCTGGATTCCTGAGAGGACTTTTCCAGAATGTGCCATGAACAATCCGTGAGCATCAGAAGTAACTCGATCTTGTGCAAAGTTTCCCGTTGGCTGATAACATATTGTGGCAAATTGCAAGTCGCAAAAGCCCGAGCCCCTTAATATAAGGCTTGGTTGAACTATTGGGTAAACTCGACGGGGGCGTTCTGCGTTATTTAGGGAGCTACCGGTAAAGGCGCCCCCCTTTACCAAGAACTGGAGCCTGTGGGCTGCATCCTGCTGCATCTTTTCATCAGACGCCCTTTGGATATATATACTGGCTTTGATGTAATCAAATAGTTAATAGCAAAAGTTCAGCGTTCAAGGGTTTTTTTCCATGCTTCCGGTTTTGAAGGAAATCAAATATGCTGCTGATCAACAAGGTGCAACCCAATAACTGGCAGAATGGCAAGCTTTATTGATTACATGGTGTAAAACAGGTCATGTGACGGAAGTGTACGACACCATAGTAGAACTTGATACTATATAATATAATAGGCGTACTGCCTAGTAGAAGCACAGAATCAACTGGAAAAACAAGACAGTGAAAAAACCAGTTAAATGAAGATAAAGAGAAGAAATCTATTCATCCTCTCAACTTTACAATCTCCTTCCAGCGTGAGATTTTAGTGACTTCTAGTGGCTTAGTAAGATCATCTGCCATTAACGTAGTCCGACACCTAACCGATCACGACACCTAACCGATCAAATTTTCGTCCCAATCACCCACTCTATTAAATCATTCAATATGACAGCCACACCTAGCAAAGAACCTTCTAATCAAGAAGCCAGGCTCTTATTAGCTATTAAAGATTATGAAACTAAGCAAATTTCATCTATTCGCGTTGCTGCTAAGACGTACGAGCTTCCTTATACTACGCTTTACGATAGACTACGCGGTGGAACCACGTACACGAATGCTCAACTAAAAAATCGAAAGCTGACCTCTACTGAAGAGGAATCTCTAGTTCAATGGATACTCTCTATGGATGAGAGAGGACAGCCTCCCCGGATCGCGACCGTACGAGAAATGGCTAATCTACTACTTGAGGCGCGAGAATCCACTACTACAACTACCGTGGGAGGAAGATGGGTAGAAAGATTTATACAACGGCATTCTGAACTAAAGACGAAGTTCTCACGCAAGTACGACTATCAGTGAGCTCAATGCGAGGATTCAAAGATCATATACGAATGGTTTACCCTGATGGATCGTACGATAAAGAAGTATGGAATTACTTCAGAGGATATCTATAACTTTGATGAGATTGGCTTTACAATGGGGGTTATTTCAACATCCTGGGTGGTTACTAGAGCTGAGAGAGCTGGCAGGCCATCTCTTTTACAGCCAGGGAATAGAGAATGGGCAACTGTGATCGAGGCAGTTAACGCTACGGGCTGGGCTCTACCTCCTATGATTATCTTTAAGGGCAAGCTTCATCAAGCCTCCTGGTACAAGCAGCTGCCAAAGGATTGGACAATTGGCGTTAGTGAGAAGGGATGGACCACGGACGCTCTTAGCCTTGATTGGCTGCGGAAGGTCTTTAACGGAGCTACTAAAGCTTGTACGAAGGGCAGATATAGACTGCTTGTGTTGGATGGGCATGGCAGTCATGCCACGGCCAGATTTGATAAATTCTGTCTGGATCACGGCATTATATCATTATATATGCCTCCACACTCCTCTCATTTATTACAGCCACTAGATGTGAGCTGCTTTTCACCATTAAAGAGAGCGTACGGCAAGAGGGTGGAACAAAGCGTGAGACTAGGAATCAGTTATATTGACAAGGAGGACTTTCTAGCCAGCTATACAACAGCTAGACAGGAGGCTATGAAGGATATAACTATAAAGAACGGATTCAAAGCCACAGGCCTAGTGCCATACAATCCAGATGAGGTTCTTACTCGCCTACATACTCAATTTCATACTCCTACCCCCCCGGGGTCAGCTCACGGATCTCACGGATCTCAATCCTCCTGGACCCCCAAGACCCCTCGCAATGTGACTCAGTTGGAGCGGCAGAGCAGCAGAATCAAACGCCGTACGGAAATTCTCTCTAGTCCTACAAATCAGGCTCTTGATCAACTAGTGAAGGGATGTCATACGGCCATGCATAATGTTGCTTTACTGACCAAGGAAGTCATGGAGCTGAGAGCTGCCAATGCTAAGCAGAAGCGTAAGAGAGAGAAATCACGTTTCTATATAGCTAAGGAAGGAATCCTTACGGCTCAAGAAGCTCTAGCTAGGATGGCTAAGCCTCTGGAGCCTCCTGAACGTACGGAGGTTTGGATGGAGGATCCAAATCCGGAAGGTAGAAAGCGAAGACCTCCCACCTGCAGCAAGTGTAATACACCCGGACACACTATTAGGCAGTGCCAACAGACCTAAGGATCTAATCTATATAATTTCTATATAAAATCTCTCGTGGTTGTTGCTCAATTTAAAAAATTGTCAAATAAGGATGAAAATTTGATCGGTTAGGTGTCGTGATCGGTTAGGTGTCGGACTACGTTATTATCTGCAGATGGCATGTATTGTAGAACAATCTCATTCTTGTGAACAAGATCTCAAAGAGAGTGAAAGTGAACCTTCACATGCTTGGAGCAGTGTCATATAGCTTCACTAAAGTAGAGTTCTATTGCAGACTTGTTGTTGATATGGATAGTAGATATGAGAGGATTAACTGGTGCTTCATCATTAGTGTCTAGTTCATTAAGCTGGAAGAGCAGAAACCCAGCATCAGCAAGAAGCTCTCAGATATGAACTAGCTCATAGACAGCCTCTGAAGATGAGATATACTCAGCTTCTGTAGAGGATCTTGAAACATCTGTCTGTTTACAGCTTTCTTCAGGTAACAGAGTCACCAGTCAAATTATATAGTCAGTGTCAGTGGTAGTGTAAGGACACTTGACGTGGCTGAACTAAGTGTCAGAAGGAAGCGTGAGAAGCACTATTTCTAATATCATAAGAGGGTAGGAATATAGGCTCTGCGAGCGCTATGGAAGGAAGAGGATAGCAATGGATGAAAATGTAGGTATGGGATTGAATAGTAGCTAACCACTGAATTACTTGAAGGAATTCGGGGATTCAAGGTGTTTATATACATGAATGAGTAGCAACAGGTTTCATCCCTAATCTTCCATGAAATGGGGAATTGGTGATGTAGTGTTGATCTTATCTTCTAGGAAGTGCTGATTCTAAGTGTTGATTTTTGAGAGTGTTGATTCTAAAGTGCTGATCCTGAAGTGCTGATCCTAAAGTGTGCTGATCCTTCATGAGGTGCTTTAGTAAGCAGAGTGAGGACAAGAAGCTAGTTATAAGAGGTCTTGACATCACACTCAATGTGACTTAGATAGCAATATTATTCATTAATTGAGAGCTGTTTAAATATAATAATCAATAAGTCAGTGAATGAAAATATCACAAAGATATCAGTATCTGAATCTTTTGAGTTAATAAGTTATTTCACTTCATTCTTGCTAAATGAACTCAAGAATATCACATTAGAGCCATATTCAGTGAAGACAGCTTTAGATTTAAAGATAGTCAGATAAGCAACATCTTCAAGAAAGAGATCATTCATGATATCATCATGAAATGAAGAACTATCTGAAAGTGTATATATATTTTGTCAGAATAGATTGTCACGGCTTCAATCTAGGCGCAGGTAAACAGGTGTTTGATTGCCAATCAGATAAGCTACTTCAACGAAATACTAAGATGGTTCCTAAAAGACGGGTCCGGCGAAGGCTCTGTTTATATAACCCTAGCGCCTTACCCCTTTCCTTAGCGCGGTTGCTAGGTCGTTGCTAGGCAGTTTCTGTGGAGTAATTGTGGGGTGGTTGTTATGCCGTTGCTAGGACGGAGCCCGTTCTACGCCATCACATAGATTGGCATAGAAGATATCTATATCATCAGAAAAAAAAGTTCAAAATAGTTTTCTGCATCTAAATGTATGTTATAGTAAGAATAGTCTTGTTGTTTCAATAAGTCAGCTGAAATTAAATTTGCTGATAGTTCTGAAACATAATAGATATGACTGAATTCATTAGTCTATTCTCTACAGAAATTGATGCAGGGCCAATTCTCTGAATTTTGAGTATAGTTGTGATGGCGTAGAACGGGCTCTGTACAGAAATTGCAACTGCCTAACAACGGCATAGCAACCACCCCGCAATTACCCCGTAAACAAATAACCGGCGAACGATTACCCCACAGAAACTGCCTAGCAACGACCTAGCAACCGCGCTAAGGAAAGGGGTAAGGCGCTAGGGTTATATAAACAGAGCTTCCCCGGACCCGTCTTTTAGGAACTATCTTAGTATTTCGTTGAAGTAGCTTATCTGATTGGCAATCAAACACCTGTTTACCTGCGCCTAGATTGAAGCCGTGACAATAGTCTTGTTGACAACTTGTACTGCAGAATCATTAATTGAATAAATTGCAGTGAAGTGTGTTGTATCATAAGCAATATGACATTTAGCATCACTATTTCATATTATTAAACTTTTAATGTGAGATTTCATGAAGCATGCAGAAATTGTGATGATCTCTGCAAGACTTGCAGTTTGAAAGAAGTTGTCATTATCTGACAGTAGATTTGACAGTAGAATTGTCAGCTGTCTTGCTCTTATTGTCATGGCTCAACTAGAGGCATGATGGTAACAAGACAAAAGCTCAACTCATCTATCTAACTAGGCAGCTGCGATGAGAATAACTAAACTGGGGATTAGAATGTGGAATGAACGAGCAGCCGAATATTTTATATAAGGTGGTTGGGGATCGGAGCGGATCAACCTAAGCAACCAAATATGGTTGGGGTCGGAACGGATCAACCTTATCCCATATTACCAGCGACTGCGCCGTAACATTACCCCCCGGTTTAAAAAGAGTGCTTGCCCTCAAGCAGCTGTGCTAGGTACAAGAAAAGAGTAAAATAAAATCCACCAAGCTTATTAGCAGATTGATCGCCTTAGCTATCATTCACCAGATTCTTATATGTTTCCTTCCATATCTCACTAACATCCGAGTCGTCGTCATCAGATCCTTGATTAGGAGCTGGGATTCGTTTGGCAGTTTGACGGCGATAGGGCTTAGGAGAATGTGGACGGAAATGACAGTTTTCAACCCAATGATCATTAGATCCACATCGTACACAACAGCCTTCTTGACGGTATTTCTCCCGTTGAGAAGATGAAATTGATGGGGCGCGCGGTGGAGAATCATGTGAAAAGTTGAAAGCATTAATCTGGTTCAGGTCCATAGATTCAGGGCGATCATGGCGAGCTGGGCGATCAATCTGCTGAGAAGCATGTGGCAAGGATGAATAGGAGGAATTGAAAGCTAATTGCTGGACAACGCGCAGGAATTCCTTGTAGGTCTGAGGTAGGTTTAACTGCTGAGCTAGACGGTTGCGGATTGACATGCTGAGACCCTGGCGGAATTGAGAGATCTTTGATGAATCTGGCCACTCCTGGGCTCCGGCCTCATAGAGAGTGCATTTAACTTAGCAATATAGGCTGCCAGGGATTTGTTTGTGGTCTGGCAGTGGGGGCTTCGGACGGGATTGAGTGTGAGGCTTCCTGGATAGCACCCCAATTTCCTGGTGAAGAGCAGCAAGAGAAGCTTCCATGATGAAGAGAAGGATAGTAAAGAAGAAGAAAATAAACACAGGTTTTTGAGCACTCAGCACGGTCACAACCACTGAGGAGCTCACATAGACATGGACGTAGACGTAGATATGGACATGGACATGGACATAAGGGTTTTGAGCACTCAGCACGGTCGCAACCACTGAGAAGCTCACATAGACATAGATGTGAACATAGGGCCTGCCTACTCAATCTCCAGGGCTTTTTGAGAAAGAGGAGTTTAGTATTATGTGTCATGGCTCAACTAGAGGCATGATGATATACAAGACAAAAGCTCAATTCATCTATCGAACTAGGTAGCTGCGACAAGAATACTAAACTGAGGATTAGAATGTGGGAATGAGACGAGCAGCCGAATAATATAAGGTGGATGGAGATCGGAGCGGATCAACCTAAGCAACCGAATATAGTTAGGGTCGGAACGGATCAACCTTATCCAATATTACCAGCAACTGCGCCGTAACACTTAGTATTGTTTTTATCTCCAATTTTTTTCTTATTAAAATACTTTATCTTATTGACATTCTCTTTTTGCCAGTTCTCAGAGATCTTGTGTGATGCCAAGACTCTTATAGTTACTAGCTCCTGTCCTCACACTGCTTACTAAAGCACTGTATGAAGAATCAGCACTTTTTCTTCTCTCAAGAATCAGCATCTTAGAATCAGCACTTTTCAAAAATCAGCACTTAGAATCAGCGCTTCCTGGAAGGAAAAATCAGCACTACGTCACCAATTCCCCATTTCATGGAAGATTAGAGATGAAACCTGTTGCTACTCATTCATATATATAAACACTGAATCTCTGAATTTCTTCAAGAGATTCAGTGATTAGCTATTATTCAATTCTATATCTATATTTTCATCCATCACTATTCTCTTCCCTGTATAGTGCTCACAGTGTCTATATTCATACTCTTTTACAATATTAATTATAGTGCTTCACATGCTTTCGTTTGGCACTTGATTCATTCATGTCAAGTGTTCTCACATTTTGTTTATATAAGCTAGCCAGCAGATTGTATGATGAGAGATTTTGCATTCAAAATAGATAGATCAATTCTCATAATCACAGTCACAGTGAGCATCAGACTTACTGTTGAAATGAGACAGATTAACAGCATTAATCTAAGTAAAAGATAATATCTTTATTTTTTTATTCTTTAAAAAGTTAATTTAAGATTGAATTTCTTTTCTAATTAAAATCATATTCAGTATTATAGCTGTGAATTTAGAAATCTAAAATTTTTCAATCTTCTTTTGAATATAGTTTCTTCAAGTAATTGATAGAGCTGAGTAAAAAATATTAAATATCAAGTTCTTAAAGAAAAAAACTTTGAGTATCTTCAAATCATCAGAGGTTGTATGGAATTTGTCAAAGAAAAGATGTATATTACATATTTATAATTAACAAGTATTACAAATATTAAATAAGCTTCTCATTAAAGTTATATTTTTAAAACTGAATATTTCTTCTTAATTATATATCAAAGTGAGCAACCAATATGAATCTTATCAATCTTGATGATGTAAGATTTGATGAAGGAACTGAGAGAGTTGAACAGAAAGAAGTAGACTTACCAATTTATAGCCTCTTAGAAGAGTGTTCATCGAGAGTTGTCAGTTAGACTCTAAATTTGCTCCTTCTTTATCAGAATCTAGCATTGAGTATCTATAACTCTAGATTTCATTAAAGACTTTCATGTCAAGTATTTAACAGTATCAGTGAGCATATTTGATTTATTGATACACTTTGTGTCTTTTTTGAATTGAGAAAATTGCTTTGCTAACATCACTTTCTGAGTCATAAAGAACATGTTCAAATGCAGCACCAATCTCAGCATTCCAGGCCCTAGTAGGTAGAGTCATAGGGGAATTAACAGTAGTAGCAGTACAGACTGCCACTCAAAGATGTTCTAGTTGAAACTCTAGTTCTAGAGCTCTTTGTTTCTCTCTATTGTTTTACCAGTTTTAGCTGTATTCTGCTAAGAGAATGGTGGCTAAAATCATCATCAGACTGAGTAGCAGCTAATAGTTTAGTAAAGAAGTGTATACTGACTAGCCTAACAGTCATAGACATAGTAGGAAGATCAGGATTGGGATCCAGAGTCTCAAGGATCCGGGTGGTGCCTGGGAGGTCAGAGATCAGCCTGAAGTGACAGAACTGACAGAGTCTATCCACATTCAGGAGTGTGAACATGTTATAGAGTGAGATCTCACTGGATCCGCCATCTTGCCGTAGAATTCAAGGAATTGAGGGCAAGTTTGATGCAATAAGGGCTTCTAGAAGGGCCTCTATAATCTTGGAGGATTATCTCATCAAAATATGTGTCTTTTGAGTGGCTAGTAAGCCAAAATATCCTATGTGATGGCGTAGAACGGAATCCGTCCAGAGAACCAACCGACCTCATAAGTCCACCCGACAGAGCAGACTACAACAGGCTCCGTCCGAACTTCGGCATAGCAACCACCCCACAATTACCCCACAGAAGCTGCATAGCAACAGCGCTAAAGAATGGGGTAAGGCGCTAAGGGCTTTATAAGGCAGGCCTTGCCCGGACCCCCGTCTTTTAGGAATCATCTTAGTATTTTGTTGATGTAGCTTACCTGGTTGGCAAATCAAACACCCGTTTACCTGCACCTAGATTGAAGCCGTGACACCTATAGAATTTCATCTTCTTTGTGTGTTGCTAAAGATTCAGGAACACATTGAAGGGCTCTGCCAAATAGAAAGTGTAATATATAAATAAGATTATCTATTGATCAAATGAAGCAAGTAGTCACTGATTTCAACAAGGCAAATAACTCCTGAATTGGCTGTGTTTGAGCGTAAAATGGGTCTCATAACCTGACAGAATGGCAGGCTTTATTAATTGCAGAGTTTGCACGCTATGAGAACGACTTATGGTGGAAAACCGGTCATGTGATGGAAGTGTCCGACAATAACAACCCTCCTTTTTTGTACTCACAGGGTGGTTTTGCTTCCTTAGACAGTGGAAACATTTTTTGGCTTTTGGTTTTGTTCTGTCTCGGACACTTTGTTCCAAAATATGAGCTCCAATCTGCTATAAAAACATAATAGCTCTGCGGATCTAACTGACTACAAAATCTTATCAGGTTGATATGACATTGGATGCGGTATCACCATTGGATGCGGTCATTCAAACCCAAGCTAAAAGTCATCCATGGAATGTGCCAACCCAAAGCTTGTGCGGGCAAATTTCGGCAGCCGGACTGACCCATCTATCCGTGGATGACTATCCGTGGATCAGCATGCTCGTTCGGTCCCCGCCATGTTTGGCTGCCACTCCAAAATCCCCGGATCAGTTCGAGATAGGACGTCGTTGACTTCAAAAGTGGTCGAGCCGAAACGGAAAAAAGCTCAAGGTCCAAGCTTGACCCCTCACCATCATATCATCATGTTCTATTAGTGTCGGCAACATCTTGGAAAATAGTTGACACTACGGAATATTCACCAGCTTTAAGAAACTCCTCGGATTGCAACGTCGGCACTTTTTCAGGGATCTCAATTTCTGTGCCGCTGCGATAGCGGTTGAAAATTCCGCACCCCCTCATTTTCTTAACGTGGTTTTGATACGGCCCAATGTTTCAGTCAATCTTGATTTTACTTGTGAATAAATAGACATAGATCCCATGAGTAAAAGGACCTTGTGAGGACAACCAGACCGGAGAAGCAACCGACAATCCTCCTCAACATACATCGAAGAGAAAACCGCGAGAATGGCATGCGACATAGTCCCCCTCATTCTTGATAATAAACCCATTATTACAACAGACACCTTTGACGTCATCAGCCCAAGCACTGGGGAAGTGGTTCACAAATCCAGCGCTGCTTCCGTTGCAGATGCTGTTCGTGCGGTTGAGTCTGCGAAGGTGGCGTTTAAGACCTGGTCGAAGGTTAAACCCACAGCTCGTCGAGATCTCCTGTTACGAGTCGTCGGGATATACGAACGACGCAAAGAAGAGCTGATAGGATATGCGCAAGAAGAGACTGGATCCACTCGTTTCTTCGGTGAAATCAACTACGGGATCGGATTCGATCTGCTGAAGGATGTAGCATCAAGGGCCACCACCATAGAGGCTGGTACGGTGCCAATCCTGAAGGAAGAAGGCCAGAGCGGCATAGTGTATAAAGAGCCATATGGGGTTATTCTCAGCATTACTCCATGGTATCCTCATTAATTTCTATTCTCTCTACGTCCAGTTATATATCCTTTCGATGCAATTGTATTTGTTAATACTTGTTTTTTGTAGGAATGCGATGCTTCTCTTGGGTCTGCGGGCGATCATTCTACCTCTAGCAGTCGGTAACACCGTGGTGCTTAAAGGTTCCGAACTGTCCCCGAAATGCTTTTGGGCTCTTTGGGACGTCTTTCGTGAAGCTGGGCTTCCACCTGGTTGTCTTAATATTCTCTATCATCGGCCAGCAGATGCAGCCGATGTCACGACAGCATTGATCGCACATCCAGCTGTCCGAAAGGTGAACTTCACCGGCAGCACACACGTTGGAAGCATCGTTGCTGCCACTGCTGGGAAATATATCAAACCAGTGCTGCTCGAACTCGGAGGAAAAGCGAGCACAATTGTGTTGGATGATGCGGATCTGAAGAAGGCGGCGGATGCTTGCATCTTGGCCGCATTTTTGCACGTACGGGTTCCAACCCACTCCACTTCTAGGAGAAAAGAGTTAGCTAGCTACATCTCGAGGTTTGGAAACGACGACTAACAAAAGTTGAAATCTACAGGGCGGCCAAATCTGCATGGCCACCGAGCGCATAATCGTCCAACGACCCATCTTCGATGACTTCCGCAACTACCTCCGCGAAGCTATGGCTGCGAGCAACTTCCAGGCAGCACAAATCCTCGTCAACTCCGCAGGTGTCACCAAAAACAGGAACCTTGTCTCGAACGCTGTGGCCAAAGGTGCCAATATTGTTTTGGGTGATGAGATCAGCAGTGAAGAAATCTCAAACACGAGGATGCGCTCTGTCATGCTCGAGAATATAACCCCAGACATGGATATCTATAAGACTGAGTCGTTCGGGCCTACCGTATCACTCTTCGTTGTCGACACAGACGAGGAAGCTATTCAACTCGCGAATGATACTGAATATGGACTTACTGCGTCCGTGTTTACGGAGAATTTGGGAAGGGGCTTACGGATTGCGAGACAGTTGGAATCTGGGTGAGTGTTTCTCTTTGCATTTGCTTTCACATCCATCACCAGTCTGTTGCTCATCGCCGCTCTCCCTTCTTGGTAACTAGGGGCGTGCATATAAATTCTATGACCATCCACGACGAACCCAGTCTCCCCCACGGTGGTGTAAAGAGCAGCGGCTTTGGCCGTTTTGGTGGCGCGATTGGATTTCATGAGTTCCTGACTACCAAATCTGTTACGTGGGTCGATTAAAAGGGAAGACGAAAGCGTGATGTATTACTACCAAGTTCATGGGTATTTTCTACATAAACGAATTAACGACGAGGCTATTTATTTTCATGTCGTATATGAGAAGAGAGATTGAGCGCGTGCGAATCTAGTTGTACCAAAATACTCCTGATCACTTGTTAAGAAGAGGAATTCTAGTACCAGAGGAGAGAGTGCCGCTTTTCAACAAGGCGGGTATATATAAATGCTGTCACCACGCAACTACCAACCCAGCGTCCTTACCACCATTAGGGCCATGTACCTCCCGGGAAGACATAAAATACACCAGATCTTCTTCTTGTCACCCTCATCCCCATCCCAACAGTCATCCTCTTGCGGAATGACAAAATATTGAAATTTGGGTTAATGGACAAATTCAAGAGGCGTGGATGCGTTATCTTGCACAGAAGACATTCGCCTTATAGGTAACACTGAGTATATCCTCGAAGAGAGGGTCATCATGGTTAGGCTCACGTCCAACGACACACGGTGAATGGTGAGGATATTTCTTCTGAAAAAAAAAAAAAAAATTATAATCATATAAAACATACTGTGACAACATGGCGAACCATACATAGTACAGGCCGATTACAAGATTTACTTATACCTGTCCCGCAGGGCTTGATGATGCCATAGGAAAATGCATTCGAAGATGGAAAAATTGCGCCTGGCGATTGGCAGATGGGGGTGAAGTTCGGAATTTTCTCAGACCCCTATCATTGGCACTGATCATCCAGCCTTGAATTCCAAAGGCGAAAGTCTGACGCAGGAGATTGCCCGCCCTTCCGATATTGTTCATGAGCATCAAGTCGTAGACGGTGACTGGTAGCAAGATACCGGATCAAGGATTTTTTTTTTGACAAAGATAGTCAGAGAATGCTCTGAAGAACGAATTTGATCAATCACGACAGGCGCTCTGTTCGAGACGCGTCAAGAATTGGAAGTTCCCCACAGAAAATGTACGAGATAAAATGAAATGAAATGGTCCAAACTCCTGTTACTTGTGCGCATAAGAACACACTTGCAGGCGTGTTGTACAGGGAAACATCCAAATACAAGATGAACTATGAAGAGCAAAGCATCCATAAACCTGCATCAAAGGCGGGAATAGCAAATTGCGATTTGAAAGAAACATGTTTGAAATGAAATAAATGAAGTTGAGAACAAAAGGGATAAAATTTGAGCAGATTGTTAAGTTGCATACATAATGCATCTAGGTCGGTTGATGCATGCCGCGGAGATTCCCACCAACATCGATGTTCAAAAATGGGGGATATCCCTTTTCTTCTGGGGAGCTGCGATTTTCTGTGACTGGGAATGGCTGAACTTTCAGCTGTCAACTGGTTATCACCAACAAGCTCAGGTACGTGTCAAAAGGCAAGAGAACCCCTCGCTCAAAGGTCCATATTTTGAAGAAAACGAAGAAGCTGGCATCGATGGAGAAACAACCATGCAAACAGGCATTGAATACGGAGTATCATTGGTCTCTTTAGCGAAGCGCACGTTTCTCCTCCAGTGTGGCTGCAAGCAGATTTGACCAATCCAGGGTTATACTCATGCTCCAACAGCAGATATATGTGCATAGTTCATGCTCGGTCAGCCGAACTTGCATGAATTGAGAACCTCCCTTCAGGTGTTGCAGGAAGGTCGAAACCCAGATATGGCCTCTTACTGGTCACCCTGAGTATGCTTTCCCGATAATGTCACCGACCTGATGGCATTCTAATCTCGAGGTCCAGATTGTCTGTTCACGGTAGTTAAGTGAAAGCTGCTCGCGTGGCAAATCTGGTTGTGACTGATACAACGAACAAGAAAGCTCTCAGAGCTGTAGAAACATTTGTTGATACCTCCCAGGACCAATTGGTTCTCCAGTTTCACACTGCCATTTGACGAGCAAGGAAAGTCAACCTTGACCCCTCCATTGGCCGGCTGAAAAGACGGATGTCCAGCTTCTTTTCGACAAAACATATGGCGTAATTTTTCCGCTTCAGTCTCTCATGCAATATATATCTGCCCGCCAGCAATCCAGCTAAGAAACGCCTATTTTTCCTCACGAGCCCTACCCATCCATGTGTCGCCGCTGGCATTTCAAAACCAACGAGAGGCCGCCGCCATTCTGTCCACCCACTCATGCTGCCCGCAACGTGCAAGCCGCAATGCCCAACAAACTTCCCCGAAGCGAAGGTGGAGTCCAATGCGAGAAAGATGCAAGAAAGAGAGAGAGAAGACGAAAAGAAACAAGAAGAAAAAAAAAAAGAAAAAAAGAAAAAAGAAAAAAAAAAGGAAAAAGAAAAAAGAAAAAAATAAATTAAAAGTCGTCGCAGGCTCATCCGCCCACAGATTTGTCGGATTCAGCCAACTCGGCATGGGAGCAAATTGTTAGGGATAGTTAGTTATCACCGTTGCTGGCACAAGACAAAGAAGCATGGTAAGATTGACGATACCAGTAAGCCGTAACCTATCAATACCGATATCTGTATTTGGGCTGCCCTGGTGCCCATTTGATGGCGCCACATCCACCCGGCAAAACACATTTCACATTTGGGGAATCAATCATTACCTGGTAGGATAATTTGAAATTCTCCCCACAATGCTCTCAAGGGTCATTGCCAAAAAAGATATGGCTAACTATGCCCAGAGATTTCCCCGAGAGTTCCCACCATGATATCCTCAACAATACATCAAAGTCACAGAAAGGGGTTTCCCCGAACCCAGGGCCAGGCGAAATCCTTCTGAAGCGGCTTAAAAAGTCCAAGTACTCTCTGAAAGTGAATTAAACCAATAATAAATTACGCCCAGCCAAACAATATAAATAATATAGCACCGTCACCAGAATCATTGATGCATGAGGGCTCTGTGTATTTTGTGTGCTGGTAGTGAATGTGGTTTAAAAGTCGGCCGGAAAAACATTCCGCGCGTGGTTTTAGATAAACATGCAGACCGACAATCCATCCCCCCATTAAAACTACATACCACTTGTCATCTCTCACACATATTCTCACACACATATCTCTCTATGCTCTTGACGGTAGTGATTTGATCATACATCTCAGGCTCTTACTCTTAACTAACCCTAACCTAACCCCTAATCCACCCTGGAGTTGAGGGTGGTTGAGGTTAAATAGAGATGTAGTAATACTCCGTGTTGTGTTTCTTTTCGACTAATAATGGCTTTTAAAAAAGTGGGCCCAACCTATATCACATTTTAACGTTTTTTTAAAACCACGTTCAACTGTAACCCCGTGCAAAACCTCACTCCTGTGCCTGTTCGAATTTGAATTGCACTTTTCCGCAAGGGTTGCTTCCCGCATCTATGCAGAGCTTTATTCCCTTGACGTGGCGAAGAAATGGATGCGGTTGCACGGCGCCTATGGAGTACACTCTCATTTCATCCATAACTACAACCAAGGATTGGGGAGATAAAGGGTCATTTAAGTAAGTAGCAAACGAAATTCTCCCATTTCATTTCATTTCATATGCTTTTCTTTTCTTTTTTTATAAAAAAGCGCCAGTTGCGGCTTTTATTATCTTAGGAGATGAGCATCAAATTGAAAACGAATCAGGTGCATAGCACTGTATGCACGGTACACACGCTCTTATGACACATCCAAGGGTGTGAATCCATGCATGCACTATGGCGCTGCAAAATTGCTGTCATCAACAACTGCTAATATTAATGCCATTGATGCCATTCCTCTGATACAGGTGTGGCGGTCGCTTACGATAGAGTATGGAGCTACTTTAGCCTTGGGAGTAAGATTTCAATTGAGACATTTACCCCCTCCCCCTCCACCCACTTTGCCCCATCCAGATCTAGCGCGGCCCGCGTCCCATCTGGCAATAATAAGCACATCTAGCAACAGCCTCTAACAGCCTCTAGATCTCTGAGTTCCTTTGGAGAAGTTTATCGGCTCAGCTTCTTCTTGAGAAAGGAATCATCATTCTCCCCTTGAGATGCTCTCCACCATCCATTCGCTCCATTTCTCCATATTGAATTTACCTTCCAGGCTGAACCCTCACTGACTTACTTCTAACCTCGGAAAAGCTGGAAGATACGAGGATGTATTGAGGTGGAAATGGGCTAATTACATGGATTAGATGGTTGATTGGCAGACAAGGCAGAGCTGCCTTCCATGGCGTCACGGGACGAATTTAATTATTACATGAGGTTCCTTCGCGTTGTCAGGGCCTTTAATTGGGTGCAGGGGGGATGGAAAGTTACCGCTTGGATCCCCTCCTAGGAAGTGTGTGATTGGTCCCCTCTCAAGGTGTCAAAAATTCACCGTTGTTGCACTGCGTACAACGGTAGGTAGCCCCCCATGGACTTTCTCGAGAGAGGGAGGAGAGGAGAAACTGGGGCCTTTGTGTCTGCGGGAGGGACAAGAAACTCTCAACGGATTCTTTGAGCAGAGCTTCGTGCTGATTGGACGTTGTCAGCACACGCCAAAGCCTGCAATTTCGGTTAGAAACGATGGGCTAGCCTATTTGGGGCTAGCTGCATAGTCTTATTCGAAGGGCTATGCCTAAAATGGGTCTAGCTGCAGCTGTGGTATGATCTAATCTGGCGGCGGTAATATATGTTCGAACGTGTATCAGCAGTTCACTATCAAAATACCGCTGTAATCTCCCGGAAACACCTGGGAAACACCTGGAAAACACCTGGGAAACACCTGGCAAAATGCCACGGAACCAACACTGGGGAAATGCCGGGGGCTGGCCCCTGGGATGCCAGGCTCTTCTCTGATCTTAGCCCTGGTTGGCACCACAGCAACCAGCGCTTGTTTAGTTCTATTGCTGTGATGTCCTGCGCCTTTTCTATTGCTGCCTCGTCCGCTTTTTTTCTGCTTTTTTCATCTCTCTTCTCTTCTTTCTTTCGTCGTCAGTCACCTCTCGCGCATCTTCTTTCGCTGCAGCCTCTCACTTTTTGATCTCCAGAGTCTTACTTTTAAGGCTCCAGTCACTCTTTTGTCGCAAAAGCTAATATCTACTTCCCTCAACTGCTCTTTTTACTTCTGAGCCTCCCTCCAAATCCTTCTATATCTGATATCGTGAATATCCCTAATTAATCAAACAATCGATCCCCGATTGAAACAACAAACCGCTACAATGAAGTTTTCCGCCTGTATCGTTGCGGCTTTTGCTGCTATTGCCGCTGCTTACACTCCCCCTGACACCTCAAAACCCCCCAGCGGGAACCCAATCAGTCGCCCCGGGTTGCTTGAACTCGTACCCGTCGGCCAGCCATACACCATCACCTGGCAACCCTCCACCCCAGGAAAGGTTTCCCTCCTCCTCCTGCGCGGCCCCAGCAACAACGTGAAATACCTGGCCACCATTGCCGATTCCGTCACCAACACCGGCACCTACATATGGACTCCCCCCACCTCGCTCGTGGGCGAAGAGTCCGGCTACGGTATCCAGATCGTCGTCGAGGGAACTGGCCAGTATCAATACTCCACCCAATTCGGCATCAAGAACGACAAGTATGTTCCCGAACCTTCGGACAAATATCCTACCGCTGAGCCAACCGACAAGTACCCAACTGCTAAACCTACCGACAAGTATCCAACTGCTAAGCCATCTGACTACCCAACTGGCGGCAGCAGCAGCAGCAGCAGTAGCAGCAGCTACACCTTGGTCCCCATCTCCACCGCCACCATCACCGTCTGCGCAAGCACCGTCTCCGCCTGTCCACCAACCAAGACCCCTGTTACCCCCAGCGGAACTGGTCCTGCCACCGTCCAGCCAACCGTTCAGCCAACTTACAGCGCTAGCCCCAAGCCAACAACTCCCCCTCCATTTGATGGTGCTGCTGGCCGCAACGGCGTCGCCATTGGCGGCCTCGTTGCTGCTGCGGTTGTCATGTTCGCCTTGTAAACTTCTTATGAATGGGGGTTTTGATTTCGTTTTCTAAGTGTGTTTTGTCGTAAATAGTGCACTGGGGTTACTTTAGAGATGGTATGGCTTTTAACTTTGAATCCAACCAAAAACTTAAACGCAGAAAAACAATGGAATGGTTTCGTTACTTTTTATTTGATTCGGAAACATCGGAGGTGGGGCGGTGGGGAAGATACATGTTCTTTTCTCTAGTTTTTGCTGTCATGGGATATTAATGAATTGCATCCTTTTTATTTATTGATACCAATAGCGAAAAGGGGATTTGCTGTGTTTTTTTTTTTTTTTTTTTTTATTTAAAACTATTTATTTTCCCTCCTTGCTATACCTTTCCTTTTTACAATGCCATGTAATCACGGAAACAGAATGCGTCTTTCCTGTCCCTTATCCCAAAACTTGCGATTGATCGAACCCTTTCCAAATTCAATCAACTGTTTCAAACCATTCCATAATTTCGTCTCACTCCGTTTCCATTCCTTAGATTGGCCGTCCTTTTACTTGCTTCTTCTGCACTTTCTATCATCCTCCCTAATACCCCCCCTGCCTTTTGTTCCACTCGAGTGCAAAAGATGATGAATCACCCCCTGATCTTATCTCTTCTAGTCCAATTCATTTTTTATATACATACCCCTTTGAACCACTTTTACACTAATTACCCCGCCAAATGCATTTCAGTTTTCTCCATCTTCAAGTCCATGCTGTCGTCCAACTAAACTTATTTCTCCGAGAAAAAGCAAACTATACGCCAAACAGGTAAACTCACCAACCAAACAAACCACGTAACGTAATCCAATCACCGAGCAGATAAGACCACCGAGCGGATAGCTTCCATCACTCACATTCATCAAATCATTCAATATGCCCCCCCCCCCCCCCCCCAAATCAAAAGATCAAGCTTCTAATCAAGAAGGAAGGCTCTTATTAGCTATTAATGCCTATAAAACCGGGCAAATCTCATCCAAATATTCTGCTGCTAAATCATTTAATGTTCCTTATTCCACTCTAGTCTATAGACTAGCCGGTCGAGCTTCTCGCGCGAATGTTCAAGCAAACTGTCAAAAGCTGACCTCTACGGAAGAAGATTCTCTAGTTCAATGGATAATCTCCATGGATGAGAGAGGTCAGCCTTCCCGAGTCGAAATCGTACGAAACATGGCGGATTTACTACTTTCTACCCGAGTTGAATCTGCTGTGGGAGAAAAATGGGTTCGAAGATTCATTACACGTCATATAAGGAACTAAAAGAGTAGATTCGCAGGCAAATACAACTACGAGTGAGCTTTATGCGAAGATCCTAAGATCGCACGAGAGTGGTGTCAACGGGTGAAGAATATGATAGAGAGATATTGGCATTGAACATGAGGATATCTACAACTTTGATGAGACTGGCTTTCAAATGGGGGTAATATCAACAGCCAAGGTGGTGACTGGGTCTGAGAAACGTGGCAGGCTGGTGCTTTTGCAGCCAGAAAATTGAGAATGTGTTATAGAGGGAGTCAACTCAACTGGCTGGATGCTGCCTGCAATGAAAATACTAAAGGCTATGAATCATCAAGCCTCGTGGTATAAAGAACTGCCAGCCGGCTGGATGATTGGGTTTAGTGAAAATGGCTGGACCACCGATAAGCTGGGTATAATCAGGCTTGAGGAGATCTTTGAGAAGCACACCAGAGCCCGTACGATTAGCAGATATAAGCTATTGATTATGGATGGACATAGCAGTCACAGCACGCCTGAATTTGATCAGTACTTCACAGAGAAGTCTATTATACCTCTCTATATGCCAGCTCATTCATCTCATCTCCTGCAGCCACTAGATGTGAGCTGCTTTAGGCCCTTTAAAATGAGCGTTCAGACAAAGGGTTGAGGATTACATGAGATTAGAGATCAATCATATTGATAAGAAGGATTTTTCTATCCTTAGCAAAAGAAAACAACGAGCTGAGAGCTGCAGTTGAGAAGAAAAAGCGCCAAAAGGAGCCAAGCTCATACATTTATAGCTCAGCATGGAGCTCTATAGAGCTCAAGCAATTGATCAAGCCGTACAGGAGGGTAGTAGAAGATTCGAACCAGCCGCCTAGAAAGGGAGCTCCACCACGCTGCAGCAAGTGTAATATAGTTGGTCATACTGCTAGAACCTGTCAACAGGTCTAAGGAATAGATATATATAAATTATATGAGAAATTCTAGTTGATGGTTGCTTAATTCCTCAATTGTTAGATATGGGTGGGGGTGATGTTGATTACGAAGGTGATAAAAGACTACTACCCCATCCAATCCTTGAACTCCAACAACTGGCGTGTCGAGAAACTCAACTCTCACCTACATACACATATATATACATACAATATAGCACATATCATTCATCGCTCCTCCGACTCCCTCTCTCTATACTAACCTACATCACCTTCCTCGTCCAATCCCGCTCGCGCATCCCATCACCGCCTCATGTTTTATTACACATCCTCCCATCCTCCTTTCTACGTTCTCATTAATTTTGAGAACCCACAACACTAACACATAAACACTGCTTTGGTGGCATGTATTTCAAACGAACTCATTGAATCACGGAGGCAAGGGACGGAAAACACAAATTGCAATCAGCAACGATTTTCAATCCTACACACAATAATGCCTGTCTCCCCGTGTCAAGTCAATCCCCAATTCCCTCTTCCACAAAACCCCTCTGTCTTCCAATTTTTTTTTTTTTTTTTTTTTTTAAAAAAAAAAAAAAAAAAAAAAAATTGGACGCAGGATGATGCACCGTAAATCACCTTGTCAGCACCGGGTTGATCATCACGCCAACTGTTTAATATTCGGATCGGCAAAGAAGAAGAAGAAGAAGAAGAAGAAGAAGAAGAAGAAGAAGAAGCAAGACAAAAGAAGAAAAAAGAAAAAGAAAAAAGAAAAAGAAAAAAGAAAAAGAAAAAGAAATGCAAGGACCAACTCACCCGCTTCTTCACGCTCAAGATATAAAAAGAAAATTATCCGAAACCCCAAACAATGATGAAAAAAAAAAAGAAAAAGAAAAAGAAAAAGAAAAAGAAAAACTCTATAGTTAGTTATCCCATTGCCGATCACGAACGGGGTAAAAAAAAAGGGAGCTAGCAGAAGCCCGCTCGCTCCCACATCCCACGCGAAGACTCCATCCACGTTGATGATCTTCATACTCTAGTTAACTATGTGTGTAGATCTATCCACACGGAGCTGCAGCTGGCTACAAAACCTCTCATTAGGTGCCTCCTGCACACCCTATCGTTTCACAATCGAATTCATGGAGAGAAATGATGTGACGGTTAATGGACGGATTACGTCGTTACCCGTTTGAGTGATAGGTGCTGTGCAGAGGAGGGGGGGGGCAATGATGATGATGATGATGTGACAGTTGTGCTCTAATTACATCTAAAAGGGACCTCTATATTCAGAATTAAATATTCATTTTTCACTTTTTGTTTTGGTTATCATCTCCCCAACATGAAGTTTTTAATTTCATATTTCATTAGAATTTCCTTGGACCTCTCAGTCCCAAATCGATCAATCTAATCTATCAAATATGCAGTAATTGTACAACACTCCATACATGTAACACAATACGTAGTATATATACATAACCTCCACCCCCAAAACCCTTTTTCATCAAATCTCGTAGTTCACCATACACTGGGAACATACATATGTAAAGTCAAAACACCAAACGCAACGCCATCATGCCCCTTAGGATCAAGTTATGCTTCACGCCACCGCTCTTATTGCTTCTGGCGGCGCTGGTGAAATTGCTGTAGCGCATTCCTTTGTCCTAGATGCACTGTATATTCCGCGGGCCCTCCCCCTCCCTCCTTCTTTCAAGGATTTTATCGTACATTATCCTCCACATGCAAAATTTGCATCTCCCAAACATAGGAAACGGGTTCGCGTTGGAACAAAGTATGGTATTATTTTAAAGACAGAAAAAAAAAAATAACTAAAAAAAGGGGGCCGTATGCATAAAGCTGGGATATGTTGTCATTTATTATGTATTAAGAATCGGGTTCATTGTATGGTGTTCGTCATCTTCGTCGTTAAGTGGAGGTTTCTTCATTTCATGTGCTGTACGCAGTTCGCAGTCCTGGTTGGGATTTTAGTTGTTTGAAAAAGGAACGGACGAGGGATTTATTTCCCTCTGTATTAATTCGTATCAAGGGAAGCATCGGGTAAGATGGCTGAATTTAAGAGAGTGATAATGGGCTGGAGCGCTGTCTCATTCATCATCAATGTGAATCTCGCCAGAAAGATAGTTTATAGGACCTGGTGGCGGGGACATCCGTGGTATACATTCTGACGTCTGGCTGGGACTTTGGTCTGTCAATGGTCGTCTAGTAGATTCGTTAATACAGTACCCTCTCAACAGACACTCATCCATCAACGATGCAGGCCCATCCCTCAAGGCTAATCCAATAGCGAGAGCGATTGCAAACGAGAATTTCGCCCATAATTCAAAGGATCGTTTTGGAGGCAGCTCTAGAGAAATAGGCAAGAGATCTTCGTTCGCGCGTAGGTCTTTGGGGGAAGTTGCCAACATAGATGATGTATCAGAGGAGTGAGATTTGATGACGCGTTTGGTTGGTGTATCATCCACAGGTGGAGGAATGGAACGAGTTACAAAGTCAGAGGAGTTCGCCGGATCATGGTACCCGACAGCTTCACTGTGGTTGCTGCCGTTGAGTTGACTCCGGTGTCTGGTTTTGAGCCATTGATTTCTCGGTTGGCCACCAAGGAAAAGACCTAGAACCCACCATGTCAACTTCCCTAACTTTTTCCAATGTGTGTGCCACGCATTGGCAATAATCCCTCGAATTAGGGTTGCTGTGCTAGGAACAGATCCCCAGATGTAATGGAAGGTGTCCCTCTTGTCATCAACAGAAGGCGTATGGGTGCATGTCTTCGGATACATCTTGCGAAGCCTTGCTACCCTCGAATCTAGTGCCATCATGGGTGTAATGTCCCGGTCTATCTTACGACGTGTCTGGGATCTGAAGCACGTAGATGAACTATAAGACGATTCGGGGGGGGACTTTTCCGGTGTGTGGTATGAGGTTCTTTTAGATGAATCGTCCTGGCACAGAATACCGACCGTTGGCCGTTCCATTTGGGTGCTTGAGTGAACGTCATCAAAAAATATGCGGGAGGACTCTACAGTTGAAGGATCAACCAGGTCGGATTCAAGAGGTGACATCCCCATCAAAATTCTATGATTGCTGATAACACCATCAAATGATTGACATGGATTGGAGTTCACTTCTAATGTACTTGGGGTATCGGGTTCCATCCAAGATGAGCTGGAGGTTTCCTGATCGCGTGCAGAGCGTAAATGAAAAGGAGAAATTGGGTCCCGGGAAAAAGAATGGTTGCGTACTTGGCCAGCAGGTACATATGGAGAAGCAGCAGGAAGTATAAGTGGTTTCAGTGTGCAAGAGCCGGGAGGGAAACGCCTCATCTTCCTTTGACGGCCCGAGAATCTCACTTGAACATCGGGTGATAGGGGAAATGAAGTCCCCCAAGAGGATGAGTTTGACAAGGAATGTGAAACCATGGAAGAACGTTTTGATTCCTGCGCACGAGTAGACGGAGAGGAGCAAGAGTCTCCCAATCCAGAATCGAGAGACATTTCAGCGTCGTCTGCCTGTCCATCTCCCTTCGGTGACAAAATATATGTCCGATCCCCGGGTTGATCGGCTTGAGAAGCTGAATCCGGTGAGGGATTCGATTCAGGCACTGATGCGTGTTGAAAGTGTGATCTTCGGATGGGAGACAAGGGGATTTTGGAGAATATGGATCGAGGTCTGGGGGTTCGGTGCTCACCGACCTGGGGGGAAGAAGCCTCAAGGGCACAATTCAATTCAGGAGATGACTCTATTCTTACTGAGGATTGAGCTAGTAACTCCGTCAATACATCGATCCTCCGCTCTAGGTATTGGTTTGTCAAATTAACCGCGTCCATGTTTTGTAGTTTTCGTGTTGCCATTTCAATTTCCCATTCGTGCTCGCGGTTCTTGTGATCTTTGATTTCAATCTCCCGTTCCAAGGCTTGGATTTTGGAACGAAGCTCTGGCTCCTTCTCGATCGTGTTGCATATTTCATCCTTCACTCGGGCCTCGAATTTTGTCTCCCAGTCTAGAAGTTCTTGTTTCAGAGATTTATAGTCCGCATTGAGGGCTCTGAACTTAGATGCTTGAACATTCGTCGCAGAGGAGTCCATCGATCCGATCTGATCTAACAAGGCCGCAAGCTGTGCTTCCAGGTACTCTACGTATTTGGAGAGGTCAAGGTCTGCATTCCTGCTGGTCATGTTTGGTCGTCTTTTTGGGCGGCCCAGGGTGCTGTAGGGAGATCTCCAGAAAGCAGAGGACCTTCTCGACTTCGATGTCAAAGGTAAATCACTATAGTCAACAAATTCCAGATCAATTGGACGTGCTAATTGCCCTTTGGGGTTTGACAAGGAGTGTATGGGACATTCATCGGTTGTCGGATCTGGCGAGGGCAGATCCTGGAATAAAGAAGTAACTGACGGTCGCGGAGGACTAGAGCGTCTTCGTGTAGTGTTATTAATTTCTTGAAGAATGCTCGACCGGCGCGTTTGTGATGTTGTTATCAGAAGGCTAGGGTTTGGTTGCATACCTCCAGTATCACAATGTTCTTTGCGTAGAGGCCGGTCAGGCTCCCCTGAAACCGATCTCGATCTCCAGCCCGTGAAAGGGGGACTTACTTTTCGTGAAGTGACCAAAGCACCACGAAAACCCGCGTTTCGCAATTGAAGCCGTCGATTCTGGGCGCTGAACGGCTTTTCGGGTTGATGTTGAGGCGGGGATACGGATGGCAGGCGAATGGGGTTAAAGAAGCTGGAATGGCGCGAGGATGTACGGCGCGCAGTAGTGTTATTGGGAATAGCATCTGATCGAGGGGCCTCTACAGTAGTTGTCAAAATAGCATCCATAATGGACACTGCTGCAGAGACGGTTACGATCCAGCAAAATTATTACGAAGGCATCAATCCAAATCCTAGGCCAGTAGCGGCATGTCAAATCCAGGGGCGGGACCACTCAATGGGCCAATGGTAGACGGCAGCAGCTCGAGATAGACCGAGGAATGGAGCGAGAGCAACACAAGCTAGGGAGGAACTTATTTGCATGAGGATGCAGAGGGGAAACTGGCTGCAGCGGGAAGAATCTCTCGACTCGGAATGCGAAGAAGCAAACACCAGAACTAAGCACCGATGGACCAGCTCTCGCAAGGTATTTCTACTTGCATTGATCCCCGCCCGAAGTTTGTTTTTCGCGGCCCTCTCCTTGCTGGTTGGTTCAAGTTTTCGGGAGTTGCTCAAGCAGGACATCAGTTCAGAGTGGCGGTGGAGTTTGGCCGCGGTCCACGGATGTGTTGATTTGTCTTGTTGTGATGTGTTTTTGGGAGCTGGTTTGGTGCCTGGGTTGACCCCCACATGGCGCGTATTTCGTTCGGACTTTCCCTCTTTAGGACTAGCGGATCTCGCGCTAATCTTCCGCTCTCGGAATCGGAAATACGCACAGGTCATGTGATACAGGCCTTGACGCTTGGATATTTATCGCGGCGGGCTTCAAGACCTGCTGCTGTTTGGTGGGTTGTTGTGGGTTCTCCACCTGGATAAAAAATTTCTTTCTATTCTTCAGGGCTAAAATACCGCGGCATGTTTGCAAGTCCACTCGGATATTCGATCTAATATTCGTGTCTCACCACGATTTCCCACCCTGTGAAAAAGGCCTAATTTTCATTTCCGCATTTCAGGTAAACATACAAATCATGGCCCAAGGTGAAATCAAAAAGTTGAAGCCGGCCACCTCAAAAAAGTACTTCTTTCAACCTTACCCACAATGATCGAGTATCAATTCACACTGAGAGAGCTAACACATATCCATCTCGTGGCAGATCCAATGCACTTGGTCCCAAAAAGGGTACTCGAGTAATCGCACCCAAGAAAGCAAATTTGATCAGGCAGAAGAAGATGACCAAGGTAGGTATCAACTTCGACGAAATTATAACGTTACATCACCTCAGAGGGCGCTGTTCACTGGCCACTTGTGTGCCAGGAAAGATATCATATTGAATTCCAGGGTGACCTTCAACGTGAAATCATATCTTGCTAATTTTCGAGGTCTTGTTACTAGAAACTTTCTGCTGGTCTAACCGCAAAGACAGAACGGACGCTGGCGGAGCGAGCGGGACACTTGGAGTTACTTGCTAGCGGCAAAAAAAACAAAGATGGGAAAGATGGGAAAGGAAAGAAATGAGTGGGTCCGGGAACTTGTGGAATTAATTTTGGAATCTGGATACGATGGAGAAGTGTGGCACAGTGATATTACCCACAACCCGATCCTGACAACCTACGTCTATCTGAACAACCAACCAACGCTTCGGATGATATTCCACCCAGCAAGCACAGTTCTCCATTTCGTCAGATCATCACAGTTATCAACATTGTTTCACAGACAGGTATCTGTCACAGTCCATTGACTCCGTATCACTCTGACCTGGATTACCCGAAACCTAAGCTGGAGAGCTGTCCAGCTTCACATCCATGTCAGGGGTAGATCTTTGAAGGCCAAGTCCTCAATTTCCAAGGTAGTGGGGCGAACGCAATTTGCTGCTCGACGCAGAACTATTTAGTGTGGGATAGCCCTTCAACCCAACCTGAAGGAAAATTGAGGGGGGTAGGAAAGAGCAAAGAAAATGGGATGGAGGATAAACAGAAAAAAATTTCGGGTTTCAGTCTCGTGTCAATTTTCTGGAATCTATGCATGTGCTTGACCCCTACCTACTTCTGTACAATGGGCTCTCTCTGTATACAGTCCCATGCTGTGACCTCCAGGGTGAGTTTCGGAATGCCCGTCGTGTGTGCAGTTTCCTTTTTATATGTCACGTCTGTGATGCAGGTCCTTGAGAATATGGATATATGAAAAAATTTTGTCCAACATTATATACAGTTCTTTTAAATACACATTTCTTTCACAAGTTGAACAAGGAAAATTATAGCCCATGGCTCGTCACGAACCTGCGCTCTATCCCTTCCAGGTTTCTATTACGAAAATGGTGGAAGCGGTTGTGTTAAGAAGTTGGGTGAGCTCTCGTTATGAAAATTGGTGTTTTACGAATATGGAAATATAAGCCTAGACATTTGTTCAATATGAGCATCTATCACTTTTCAATAATAACATGCTTCAGGATTGCAACAAAGGGGATGAATAATATCTGTAATCGAGAAGATCCTTTTAAGAAGAGGAAAGTCATAGTAAATCATGAAAATAAATATGTGAACAGAAATAGAAAAAAAAAAAAAAAGGAAAAAAAAGAGGAAAAAAAAGAAAGAAAGAAAAAAAAAAAAGAGAAACAAAACATATACATGTATGTATAATTTCCGGGATCGAAGGAAAATAGATTTTCGGAATCGGTTGTTTCGCTTTGCTTCATGGGACGGTTGGATATCTTGGTACGCAGTCGAAATTCGCATCTGGCAAATAGCATGCCTGCATGCCTATGATCGCAAATGAAACAAAAATAGTGGGAATAATAATGACAAGTGGAGAGAGAGCAAACAAGCTGGACAATGACTCCCAAGATATAAACACGAAGATCAAAAATAAAATCCAATATACATGCAGAAGAATAAATATCATTCATCCCCTCACACATCTCTCTCTGGCTACTTGCAGAACTTCGATATCCGGCTCTGCACACCAGCTTCCTGAATAAGCTCCTTGCCTCTTGCCATCCATGCATTGAACCCATCAATGGACGCAGCGGACGGGAAATCATCCCAAATACGAGTCGCATCTGCATACGTTGACCATATTCCATCAAGTCCGGTCGGGGTCGTCCACGCCGGCAATTTCAACTTCACAGAAGTATAGTAAAAGTACAAGACCTGGCAGAGACGTCGGACACGGTCCTCGTAGCGTTCCTTATTGGCATCTGGCGTCGTTCCGCCATCCCCAAGTAGTTCCCACCACGACACCCGCCACCGGAGCGTGAGCAGGATCTGGCCTAGCTGCGCGACAAACTCCGTGAAGGCATCGTAGGGGATGGAGTCCCATTTGTTTTTGTTCAGGGCGTTCTGGAGAGCGCGGAAGCCGTCCACTTCGAGCTTGCGACAGATAATGCGGGAGAGCTGCGCGGCTAGGAGGATGTCGACAGAGTCTTCCGGGTTGTGGACGTTCATGGGACGGTTGGGTTGGTCTGCAGATATGGCGACAAAGTCATAGCTAGCGCGGCTGGGCATGTTATTCCATTGGGATAGGAGGGACTGTATGAGATGGGTATGTTAGCCGCAATACGGTGTATGCGAGCTTTGAAATGGGGAAAGCGACTTACGAAAAGATTATTTATCGGATCGCACTCTCTAACGCAATTCGTCCACTTGTTGAATTTCAAGATCTTGCGATCGATGAACTCCCGAAGATCGTAGCGAGGGCTATATTCTGATTTATTGAGGTCTTTGAGATAATTATATGTCTCATTCAAGTCTATTACGTAGAGGGTCCCCCATGATTGACGAGCGCGGATATTGAATTTCCCACGACGCTTGTCCAGGAGTTCCAGTAAATTCTTCATTTCGAATGTAGCTGGCAGCTCCATCCTCACCCGTGTTGATCCGTCAGGTGTAGGATGGTTGATTGCTCGTTGGGCTTGAATAAAAAGTTAGTAGAATCAATCGAAGCGGCAAACAAAGAACGACTTACAAATATAATTGCAAGTCCCAGACTCGACAATTTGGAAGAAGTCCGCTTTCACGCATGGCTGTTCAAAGAAAATGGATTTTGCCTGCTCTAAACAGGTGGCGCATGGGCTTTCGCCAGAACACTGGTATCTAATAGTTAGAATGAGAATGATGATGGACGAAATAGGTTCCTTACTTTCTTCTTAGCCAGACGACACCACACACAGACGCTCTTATCCTTTCTCCGCATTGCAGCTTCTCGTCGCCCATCGAAAGACAACGGGCCATTGCGGCGTGCTCGTGGCACTGTCGGAATAGACGCGGAAGGCTCCAATGACCCTCCTAACCCATCTTCTTGAACAATCTGTATAGCCATCGTCTTCACAGGCTTTTCGTCGGCAGAGCCCACACTGGGGCTCTTCCGCTTCCGGGCCACCGTGACAATTTTGCTGTGGCTTGCTTTACAAGGCACTCCTGTCGAGGGAAATCCAGGTACGGTTGTATCAATCGACGGGTCCGCCAGAAGAGTTGGATTATCAGAAAAGTCTCCTGTTGCATCCCTTTCTGGAGTGATCTGAACTATTTTGAAGAACTGGAGTTGGTCTTCCTTTGGGGAGCAATTCCGCCGCTGCGTATATCTGTGACTGATTTCACCTTGAGATCTGTCATTGAGGAAGATATGAGTATTGTGACCGGGAAAAAGCGTGTCAACCTTGTCGGGTATATTCAGCGATTGTTTCTTGCTTGAGCCATCGTGATATTGATTGTCTTGTTGTTTAAACAGCTGCGACGGAGTCAGTTTGGACGAGATATCCAGAACTGGAGAAGTAATCGCATCGGTTCCTGAGGGCTCTCCGCAGCCGGGAAATTCTATACGTTGCAATGGAGAGTATGAGGCACCTCTCTCTTCACCGTTGCCAGTGCCATCGTGCGTTGGTATGATAGGTCCGTATGTCTGAGCATAAGGAGGCTGTTCTTGCTCCAAACTTAAAGGCCATGATTTCCGTAGGTCCTGGAAAGCAGCTTCCAGTTCATATGCGTGCATAATAGGGTCCGTAAAGTCAGTGACAAAGGGTTCCTCTTGCTGATGTAGCAGGTCCGGTGGTAGGCAGCCGGACTCTCCAGCCAGAGCGTCACAATGCAAGGCTGTGTCGAATTTACCCAAACGTGAGAAGAAGGTCGTGCTGAGATGTTGCTCCGCGCCCGGAAAAAGAGATGCATGGTAGAGAGGCCAATGTTCCTCTCCGGTAGTATCTGGGCTTGTGGGGCCAAAGTCGGCGTCGGGACTTCTGGCATTCCCATCGAGACTCCATGTTTGGATGCTGGCATCTGGGAGGCTGTGGGAGATCCCCTTCAGCATTTGCCTTATTACCTTAGCAGGGAAAGTCATCATACTTAAAGTCAATATGATTGGCCGGGCCATAGCGACCTGCCATCTTATGTTGGTGGGTTTGCCCTGGCTGCTGGAGCAAACCGAATTCTTCGAGATATGATTCTACGTCCCGGTCCCCTTGTAGAGAATCATGGCTTGGTTCGAGCTCAGGAGTACTTTGCGGGATCAGGACGTCCCACGAGGACGTAAGGGGATTGGTATCCGACATTGTCTTGCTCCGTAAATCGGTTGTCAACACTCGCCGTCGCAATTGGAAGAAGCTCAAATTGCCCGAGGGGAGTTGAAAAGGGGTAAACGTCAAATTCTTTCGTGCTGAAGAACTTCACCTATCCCTTCTTCGAGATGTCCCAAAAACCCAATACGCGGGGTAAAACGTGTTTCATTCCCCTGCCCCTCCTGGTGATAGAGAGTGGTGTTCTGAGGGAGATCTCACCTCTCACATTAGGGTCCAAGGCTAGACAAGGCTGAAGTAAGCTGCCGCCTAGTTTGCGTTGGATATCCACCTGCAATGGGTTATCCCGGTGGAATAAATATTGCTCAGCCCCCAATTGTGACTTGATAGTGTCTTTTCAGAGGAACAAAAGCTCATGCAGACGAAGAGGGACTCGTGTGAGATGAGTATAAAGAGGAGGTGGGGTGGAATTTATGATAAAGGCATAACTGCGCTAAATCCAAGCTTAGTTTTAACAAAGTTCAAATGTCATGATGGATGATCACCGCTGCAAAATATTGCAAAGTCTCTTTTCAACTAATGATATAAAAGGGCAAGCCTGGTGAGGCAAAGAAGGACACGAGTCAAGGTGCAAAAGAGATGAGGCAAGAGAAAAGCAAAGAACAAAAGAAAAAAAGAAATAAAAAAAGGAAAAAGAAAGGAAAGAGAGAGAGAGAGAGAGAGAGAGACAGACAGAGGGAAAAATATCAAGTCATCAGATCTTTGAACATCCATGCTTGAAAAGAAACTCTAACAATTGACTAGCAGAACAACTAATGAGTTGCCCAAGCTCTCAGGGAAGCAAGGTCTGTATGGAAAGGGATTAGCAGAGTCGCGCAGCTTCGACGGTGACGTCGACCCCTGCGGCTGAGGGGCGACATTCCACGAGTTGATCCACACTCTGGGATCTGGATTTACCATCGACTCTCTGAGGGCCAGAGAGGGAGAGGGGTGACTTGTATGTCTATTCTTATTTGATTTTATCTTATTCTCCTTCCAGCACTCCCGGCCTTAACTAATATGGTTAGTGTGAGCAGGAGAGGAGTTGACTCGTGTGTCCAGGCGGCCTCTTCCCCCGAAAAAACTTCTCGTCCAATTGCGTTGTGGGCAGAGATGCCCACCTCACCGGCGACCCGCATTTAGGCTAGCGGCCTGGGAAGGCATAGAAAGCCCCCCTGCTCGGCAGCTTCAGACCCTTGGGGTGCAATTCCTCCGATACGCTGGTGGTTTGCAAGATGTTTGGGATTGCATCGGCTTTGCTAGAGACGGGATAATAATACAACATCCGGCTTGCCAAAGGGGGGCCCGGCTTGCCAACTGATATTCTCAAGCCCCTGGCTTGCAAAAACCTGCTAATAGGAGATTCTGCCTTGCTGCAGGAGCATGAAGCCGTGTGACCTACTTCCATACCGGCGGTTGAATCTGGTAATGGGCTTCTGGCAGGACTTTTCCCGGCCAGCGTCAGAACAAGCATGCAGTTTTCCTGTTGTAAAAATGTGAAATATTGACGTTGTTGGATCCAATGTGGTTCAAATGTCAGCAAGCAGCTAGTTACGGAGCACTTTTCATTCCTTGAATGCGTTAGCGGACATCATTGATATCTGTCAACCCTCCCTTCTTCCTGCATCACATCTGCTTTACGCCAATGTATCATTTCCCTCCAGAGCCTTGAAATCCTTTCACATCAGCCTTGCCAATTCTTGATGCCGTATTAGACTCATATTTCCAAAGCTAGCAATAATACCATTGCTGCTGCTGCTGCAATGCATATCCTGGTACTGAGATTTATTCCTTGCTTTCAATTTTATCTCTTATGTCGTTTCCCTTCCGAGTTTGTTGGTCATAGTCGCCTCGTAGTTGCATATGTCCTCATGCTCCATACGGCTTGCGGGTTCCTATCCCGAAAAGCTTGACGGCCCGATGATATCCTTTCGCTGTTCCACCAATGTTAGAACCCTTTTGGCTGACAAGAGGTCATTTCAGATAGTAAATGACGACGGTCCACCTTCACAAAAGTGTTCGCCTTACATCTTTCCCTTAGTCAAAGCTTTTCAGGATGCAGGCCATCTGGTCTCTGTTGCCATACCCAATTCATCCCGGTCCTGGATCGGCAAAGCCCATCTCATCGGGGAGCTACTAAAGGCGACTTACGTTCTTCCAGAAGCACTTCTGGGGGATGCTGGCAGTTCCGTCGTCCCCGGGAACCACGATTCCAACGATCTAGGAAGGAGACGTCTTCAGGAGAGTGGGGCTGGCAGCTGGCAGCACCACGAGATATCAACCCCGGATTGCGTCCGAAAAAGTAACACAGACAGACGCCACTGGGTGGTTGTCAATGGAACCCCAGCTGCATGTGCCCAACTGGGCATCTACAGCCTCTTTCCTGACCGCGGACCAGTCGACCTCGTGGTTTCAGGACCAAACCATGGTCGAAACGCCTCGACGATCTACGGCTTAGCCAGCGGTACCGTGGGTGGCGCCCTGGAGGCTGCGACATGCGGCAAGAAAGCCATCGCGCTCTCCTTTGCTAGCAAAGATGCCCAACCACCAGAGGTCATCCAGGCTGCCGCACGGCTTTCTGTGCGGCTCATTGAACACCTCTCTGCACGTTGGCCTCTTGAAGGCGTGCATTTATACAACATAAACGTACCGATGCGTTTGGATGTCGAAGAACGACCTATTGCTTATACCAGCATGTTGCAGAATTCGTGGTCCAAGTTCAGTCTTTATAAAGAAGCGGATGACAGCACTGTTCAACCCAACGATGACCATGGTAACAAGAAAGAACGGCAGACAAGATATTTCAAATGGGCGCCCGAACTTTCGGATATCAAACGAAGTGTTGAGATGAGCCATGTCGGGACTGATACTTACACAGTCACAAACGGATGCACAAGGTAATATCTCCAGCTTCCCTCCCATCAGACACAGCAGGATGATGATAGGCCGTATTGAAAGCTAACACGCCAAAAGTGTGACTCCTCTTACCGCGAACTTTGGTCATGCACCTGGATTTCATGGCGAGTTGCAATTATAAAACAAGGCATATTTGAATGAAAAGTCGACTAGAAAACAGCTAGGAAAGTAGAACGGTCAAACATGAAAACGTCATCCGATTATATAGATCTTTTTTCCCCCCTCCCCTGCCTAGATATTTACAGATAATAATTTCCAAGATAACTGGTTGGACCCATGGATCTATCTTGCTATGTAGCAATTTAGCTTCTGCACAAATATAATTGCCGATATTCTTTACCTCGAAACCTGCTAAACCTTCTGTCTTCATGGGGAGCTTTCCTTCTCGCACTGCCTCGCTCCGTATCAACCATAAATATCCGTTAACAATGCCACAAGATTTTCATGCCTCTAGAACTCGCCTTTAGGGTAACAAGAAGAGAAGAGAATGTGGCAATTTTTTGTAGATATATCACCCAAATCTTTCATAGAGCGAGACGTTGCTTAGGTCCCATTGCTCCTCGCCCCCTTCTATCATATCCCTCATGTAACCGTGGTATTAAAACACCGCTTGCAAAGTCTAGAGAGAACGTCGCACCGTAGTGTCCGCCCGTAGCGCTTCTTCTCGTAGGAGGTTAAACATACCTACACCCCGCTCTGTTCTTTTGCGGAGATTTCTCTTTTTGTCCATGGAGCCTCAAGGACCGGGGTGAGGGGGATTTTTGCCTAAATAAGTCTTCCTCTCAGTCGATTTGGCTGTGGCGGAAGGGGGATAAAAAAGGGATCCATGAAGTACCAAGGGGATCTCCAGACATTACCTATTATCCCCCCGTGGTGAATTTAGCAAGCAAGATATTGACTAGTGATTCAACGGGGAACAAGATGAAGTTGTGCAAATGGCGGCTACGTCTCAGCGCTTCCCTTAGACCTGAGCGCTGAATTGTTTCACAGGAGCATGCATGCATCGCTGGCATAATTCTGAGATTTCGTCTCCCAAACCTAAAAATATTAGGCATAGGTGCAATTGCTATATTCCCCTCATGGGAAATTCATGGGTATTCTGCATTTAAGATAGCGGTCGTGAGCATAAATTATCGTCCAATCTACGATTTCCTCTATTGAATGGGCATTGCCATCTGAAGCTGGTGTCGATATTTTTGTATTGACTGTCCGCAGTTGTCTATGTTAATATACGTTAAGTGCACGTGCCCTTCCGACTTAGAGAAGGAAGTGCCAAAGTTTTTTAGAGATTACTCTACGGACTGATATGCGGAGCGAAGCTACATTGGGATATTTTTACTTCATTTCTTTTTTCTTCGTGATGTGCAATGTTATCCCGCTTGCTGGTATTATGACTAACATGGGAGGAGGGTGGCCTTGAGGAATGGTAAGGAAAATGTGGAGAATGAAGGATGACAATTGTCCATAGGATTGCATTAAAGTAGCCCCTTCAAGTAGAAAACGAAATGAATGCATGTATATACAGGGACTAATGAGATGTTTAAAGAGGTGAATATATCATGACGAGAAAAGAAAGGAAATTAGCAATAAGGAAAATGCCGGGGATAAGTCAGGAGCCGCAATAGGTATACATGTCGAAAAAAATATTAAGAATAGGATATAGGAAATGGCACCAGGATAAAGGAATTTGAATGATGAGAAAAGCAGTTGCTCCATTTATCAGTTCACAGTTTTCAGTGCTGTTTCGTTCACAGCTAACCAAGCAGAGCATCTATCAACCTAGTCAAAACGAATCAAAAGGCACCAAACCAGCTGCAAAAGAAATAAAGTACTGACTAAAGAAATCGCAGAAAGTTCACGTAGCTCTATCTGCATCTCTTTCGCCGCTTTCCACAGCAGTCTCCTGCTCTGCCTTCATCTTTCCTCGAGCCACGCCCCCTTCGCCAACACCCATTCTCCGCGCAACATACCGCTGTGCAACGACACCAACACCAAGGGAAAGTGTTTCCTCTATCCACTCCGCAACCCACTCGCGAGGATCAACGCCGCCGCTCTCGATAACTTCAGCAATTGCTTCTGGAACACTAGAATGGAGAGGGTCACTGGGGTTATGCGCGCTCGGATCGGGGACTGGGGCATCAAGCCAGTCAATCCACTTCTGCGGAATGGCCTGTGTGACGGAGTGGAAAGCAATACTGTGGATAGGATCATGAAGATAAATGGCGAAGAAAACTTCCTCTTCAACATTATCATTCACCTCCACTATCCCATCCGTTGACTTTTGTGAATCTCCACTGGGCCCTGCTTGGAAAATATCTGCTGGTATAGGTTGGGAAATAGCCTGGATGGCAAGAAATATGTCACTACTGCGAACAGGATTTGACTCGGATATTATCTCGGATGCTTGTTTGGTGGCTTCTTCGATGCCGCCTCTGGTGGAGAAGTATTCTGTTGCGTATGCTTCTGCGCTTGCTCGGGCAAGTTTTGTACCAAGCACTGCACCCTTGATTGCTGATATGGACCGTGGCTTTCCTACAGACACGGTCCGCCACCACGGGCCATCATTCCAGCCGGCAGTGGAACTCTGTCCGGCGTTGGCATCCGAGTCACGTCTGGGAGCAGCTTCTCGACCGCGCTGGATAACCAGAAGATCACCTCCTTCAACCTGGGACATTACCCGGGAGAAAACTGAGTAAATCAATGGGTCTAGCGAAGGATAGCCCGAGAAGTCATGTGTAATGTGAATTTGGAGTCGTTCATGAGAGGAAATCGGGGGAGCTAGAGTATGAAGGAAAGACGTAAAAGTAGGGATTGCTAGAGTTCGAAGTTCGCCGCCTATAATGATTAACACAGTTCTCTAGTACAAGGAATCGTAAAAATAGTAATGGCTTTCCTTCTGGGGAACAGGTATATCCATTGTGCAACATACCGAGACCTCGAAGTACTCCAACGTTGTCTCTGACCTGATCTGCCCATTTCAGAGCTTCCTCGTTCTGTTTAATCTCCTTCACGGCGGCCTCTGCTTGTTTCACAGCAGCTGACGCAGTAGCAAACAATCCACCCCACCAGCCACCGCCTCCCACTCCGCTCTTGGTCGGTTCCTCCGAGGTAGGTGTATCTTCAGCCTCGGATGAAGTTGTTTCCGCAGGAGTCAAGCTTGTATGGTAAGCTCTAGAGCTATCTCCAGACTTTCTGGGGGCCGCCATTTTATCTTCGCTGAGCCTGTCCGGGGGTGGAGTTGCAGTGGAAGTTCGTTTGGGAGATCTGTTTGCTGTGAATGAGGTTCGAGAAGTTGGAGGTTTCTGAGAGGCAAGGTCCTGCAGCTCGGCTAATAGATCTTGCTCCGACTTCCCCTGTGGACCTCCAACAACATGAGTGGTATGAGGGACTACATCATCGACACCAAGGTCATCGAACTGAGCAAGGAGCTCGTCACTGGTAGGGGCTTGCTTTCCAGTCTTCTTCGACATGACCGGTGGTCTAGGTGAGAGTTGTTAGACTAGTAGTCGACTTAGAGGAATAGCTGAGGCTGTCAATGTAAATGGTTATGTCCTCTTCTTCACAGACAAGTTTCCATCCTCAAGAAAAACAGCCAAATATGATGGGATTGGATTTGAAGCTATGGTGGTGCCTCTTAGGATGTTGTCGATGCTGAGTTGCCAAGAAAGTTCTCTCCACATTTAGACGAACCTTGGAAGCGGAAGCGCTAGCCCCGAACCGTTGTCATCATAACACGTGATTAATTAGGCGCGCCTCTGTTAAACAACCGCATGGCACTGAGTTTTGTTCGTTGTTTCGATTTTATGGAAGTCTGGTTGAAGGACAATCAAATTGTGCCAGGCCGGGCTTAGAGCATTCCTCCAGTCATGGACGGCATGGACTTTGATACCAAGGGTAATTGCATTACCATACGGCAGAGAATTGGGATTTGAGAATATCCTAGGTCCATAATAACGTCGTACCTGACATTCCGTTCCCATAGAATGAATATACGAGTTCATTCTCCTCCGCCAAAATTTTAGCATTTTCATATCGGAATCGCCGAGACACTAGAAAATGTCATATATTAATAACTAGTTACAGCGTGCTCCGGGGTAGATGCGTATTATCCACGGGTGCGAATAATTATGCTAGCTCTTCGGAACCCGTGCCAATGATAGTAACCAGAATACAAGAGAGGAACCACAAATCTAGTCCAATTGATATTCATTAACTGAGAGAATGATTTCCGTAGCAGTGGTTATGCAACATCAATTAGGGCAGATGTTGTCCCGATCCCTATGGTTACGGATGCTTTCCGCTCGCGGCTTCTTGCTTCGCCGGACACGATCTCGACATGAAAATGCCGAGATGTGCTGCCAAACACCAACTCGCTCATTTCAGTGTCGAAACTCGGAATGAATACGCCGTAAGATGGAATGTACACTGCTGGTTACTCATTCTTAACTGGACACAAAACAGACATGAGAGTGTAGGTGAATGCAAAAAATGTTGGTATGGAATTATGTTGCCCTATTGCCGATCCAAATGCAGGTCTGAAGCGGATTATCCCGGCGCAGTCAGTATGAAGCACTTACACCACACACTTAGGTTTGTTAGATTCTGAAAACAACATCAATAATACCATTATATGCCGAAGGTATAGTAGCGAATGCTCCAAGCACTTCGATTCAATATATTTTAACAGCAGTGAGTTTAAATAGCCTTTCCTCCTTTGACCTTTAGATTTTGAATCCCTTGTCGAATTATCTTTATGTATTTACACGTTCTGTTAACATCAGTCAAATCGCCATACCCACCCAACATTTCCATACTACCCCCTCCCATCCCCACTTACCGTCCACAATGCGCCTCCCGTACGTCTCCAACCCACCCCCAACCTCCAACGAAGAGGAAGAAACCATTCTCAAGCGCGTCCAAGCCCGTCGCGGCGAACGAGGCCTCCTCCCCCTTGACCTAGCACTCCTCCACTCCTTCCCCGTCGCCGATGGCTGGAACTCGTTTCTAGGCAGCATCCGCAGCAAAACCTCCCTTGCCGCAGACATTCGCGAGATCGCAATCTGCCGCGTCGCCGTTATAAACCAGGCGTGGTTTGAGTGGACGAACCATGCGCCGTTGCTGACGGAAGCCGGGTTTCCGGACGAGGCGCTGAAACTTGTGGAGCGCGGGGTTGATAATCCGCCCTCAGATGAGGAGTTGGCGGCGCTGATGTCCCCGAAGCAGATTTCTGTGTTGAAGTATACGGAGGCGATGACGAGGACGGTTAAGGTGCCTGACCAGGTTTTTGAGGAGTTGAAGAGGCATTTCAGTGAGAGGGAGATCGTGGAGATAACAGCTACTGTTGGGGCATATAACTGCGTGAGCAGGTTTTTGGTTGCGTTGAATGTTGGGGAAATGAATAAATAGGTATGTGTGCATCGAGTGTATGGATGTGCGAGTGATGCTGCTGGCAACTGGGAGGGCAATTCATGCTGACTCTTTACTTTTTGAGTTGCAGAAGTTCACTACTGGTTCCTCTAGATTATTACATGATGAACCTGTTCGACATGACGAACACCATTTATATTGTTAGAATTTACGGCCAATTAGTTGATATTGTCTTGTTGCTGCTAGAGCAAAACAAACAAGTATATATAGGAACATAAAGTTTGATGGAATTCTTTATGAAGAATAATATCACTAATAATCGTCATTACCCAACTTGCTCTAATTATAAGATTTCTCCAACCAGACATATAAATCGTAAATGCATTATTAGAGAGAGGGGAGAAACGGGCTGTCTGTCGCGTTTACTCGTTTTTCGAGAGGTGAAACTGACACTAACGAGCATTATTTCAAACAGAGGGGTTTGGGGTTTTTTGCAGGAGTCAAAAACCTTGTAGGGTTTTTATTCGATAACAAATTCAACCGAAGATCATGTGGATTAAGATATTGTACTTATAGTAAACTCTAGATTTAGAATCAGAGTTTACGGAATTGGACTCTTTTCATAATAGAGTCGGATTTATGCTCTGTTGGATCCAGTCTCTGCAGAGAAGTTTAGCTGGGGATGATCGATTGGCTTAAGTTAGCTCAAACGCTAACCAAGCAAATATAGGTTAGTTAGTTGCAGCTCAAAAATTTTATTGCCTCTGTTACAAGGTTTGGCACACCCAGCGTTTAAGTTAGAGGTATAATAATAGATTTGTCAAAAGCTGATTCCTGAAGTGGAGCAGCGCTGTGTCAGAGTGTCCTCAGCGAAATGCATATACACGTTAATAATGACGACGACGATAGTGATGATGATGATGATGATGATGATGATGATGATGATCAAGTCCCTCCTCCTTCGCACCTAAACAAAGTGGACAGGGGTGACAAAGGCAAGTTGTTTCTCCATGCAGGCATTATTCTGATCTTTGATGCTGTGTTGTCAACATTAGTTAAATAATACAATCTGCACTTTTGGTTGGGCCAGACGGATGACCCTCGGTAACGTGATCTGAATCCATATCTCCCTGTAACTAACCAATACCTACTACACTGGTATTGGGCCTTACCCAAGACTCTATTATTATTATTATTATTATTATTATTATTATTATTATTATTATTATTATTATTATTATTATTATTATTTATTATTATTATTATTATTATTATTATTATTATTATTATTGTTATTATTATTATTATTATTATTATTATTACTTCGAGACAGGACGTTGAGATCAGTTCCCACACGCCCAGCAACCTCGTTAAAATTATCCTGATCAAAAAAGCAAATGGACGGCGCAATCCGTGTCATGGAAGCTGTCGGCCATTAAATCTTCTCTCTCTTCTCCTGTTGTTGTTTTCGGTGTTGTTTTATTTTACTTCCCTTTCTCCCAGCTACACCTTTTTAACCTCTAACCGAGTCTCTACCCTGGTTTGCAAAAATCTTTTACGATAGAGCAACTACTACTCACTCCCCCATCGCCACCCGCCCACACGCCTTGTTGAGGTTGATGATCGGAAGCCCTATATCGATCCTCCTTCTTCATTAATTCCCTGTTACCTCTGGACTCCTTTTCTTCGTGTTTAATTACTTATTTTAATTTGCACTCTTTTTGTTGAGCAGAAATCTTGGTCGAATTTAAGCGTTTAGTTACCTCTCACGCCTCAAATTTGCGGTTGGCGTTGAAATCAAAAGCAAACTCGACCTCGAACCACTTCTCTCGTTCCTGCAACCACGTTTAAACAGTATTCCGATGTATTACTGCTAAGACTATCTTATGGTCGATTGCTAATACCCAGTTTTGGCATCTATACATAGCTAAAGGTATGATGATATCTTGTTTTGTTTTGCCTCTTTTTTTTCCAACTCCCATACTCTATCTACATTTTGGATGCTACACCGTACTCCCCTAAGATGGCTGTCTTATCTAAAAAATAATAATAATAATAATAATAATAATAATAATAAATAAAAAAAAATGAAAAAAAATGAAAAAAAATAAAGAAAAAAGTCTCTTTTAATTCTGTTGTTCAAAACTTTCACATCTTGGCAGAAGACTTAATGCTTTCCTTCTTGGCCGACCTTATGCTCTTGTCTACAAAGCCCGTTGCTGTTCATTTGTTCATTGGCTTCAGTACCCACACACTCATTTCCATTCGTTTCGTTTCTTCTTGGGATTTTTCTTCCCCCCTATAATTATATCTGAAAATGCTCTCCGTTCTGTTATCCAGGGGGATTAATCCCCCTGGTTTAATCCATTTATACTAAGTTTGCATACAGACTGGTCTCTCGTCATCATGTCATTTTTGGTCCAGGATGATATAGATATCAATACTCGGGGAACGGAGACACTGGGTACCACTTCATCGCCATTGCATCGCCAACTTTCCGAACCTCCCACACTGCAGTCTACTTCTATTCAGCAAGTTGGGGCAGTTGACACACATCCATCTCTCAAATGTTCTTGGTGTAATGAATCATTCGAGTCTTCTAAATCACATACAACTTCCCCAGCCGACGATCTTAGACAGCACATGCTTACATCCCATCCTGAAGCTGCCAAACTTGATCTTGATCGAGATGCCGTTGACGAAACTCCTTGTAATGAATCTAGTCTTGAAGAAGCTGAACAGGCTACCCCTCTCGAAGCTTTGAATCGCCGCCGAGAAGCATTGATTATTGAAAAGCGACTCGGAGCCCTCTGGAATATCAACGATGTCCAGAAGTTTACTGACGACTATGATGGAAAGGATGAAGGTCTTCCCGTATCGTGGAAAAAAGCATTTGGTGATTTTGAGCGCCCGAGGCCATACGAAACTGAGACCGTGCCTAGCGGAAATTTTCTTCCAATCACCAAACCTGAAATTTATATCGACATATTAAAGAACCCGGAATCACACACGACGGAGGAGCTTTACGCCATAACTGCGAATACTGCCCGAGCGCTGAGGGTATGGCAGGATGAATACTTTGCAATCGATAAGCTATCCAGACGTGCCACACGACGCCCGTTAAAAAAGGCTGCTAATCCCCGAAAGCTGGGTGATCCACGTGTTTTCGAGGATAAAAAGGAAGCTATGCTTTATGGATATAAACATGATCCCCGGGAATCCAAAATTGGATTTCAAGACCCCTTTGTTCAGGGAGGCTTCAAGCCTACTCCAACACAATTGAAACGAATGAAACTTAACGCTACTGATCCATTTAATATTGATGGGTGGAAGCCAATTACAATTGGTGGTGTCGACTATATTCCTGGTCTCCGCCCACCTTCGAAACCTGCTCCTAAGAAAAGGCCAGTGGATGTTGACACGGCAAATGCTGGTGGGACAACGAATGGTGTAGACAGGGAAAGCGATGGTCGTCCCAAACGTATTACCCGCTTTGGTGGCTTCAGAAATCCCGTAACTAGAGGAAGCTCACAGGTTCAGACGGAGCCGTCAACCCCGGCCCTGACCCCTACATCTGCGAGAGGCAAAAGGCCAAAGTCACGCGCGGCTTCACTAGCTCCTCAATTGCCTGTACATTCCGCCTCCCCGAAACCCTCTGCACCCTCACCAAGACCACTTCACCCCGCCAAAGTATTAACACTCAAAATATCCACTCCGATTCCTGTTCCATCGACCGCGCCACAGACCCCAACCACTCCCAGTCAATCGAGACGTTCAGTCACCCAGGAGCCCGCATCTACGCCGCTGTACGAAGATCCACTTCTAGACCCCAAAAACCAACTTAAGATCCAACGATCCAAGAACCCGAAAAGAACGGAGGCAATGATAATCCACTGGGCAAAATTTAACCACGAAGGCCGAACCAGAAATCCAAAACGAACAAAAGCTCAAATCGAGGCTGATAGAGCTGAGGCAGAAAGGAAAGGAAATGTGGCTGCGAAAACTGCCACTGGCCGAAAGCGGAGGTCAGACTCGAAGAATCCCGCAGGAGCAGAGAATCAGGACATTTCGGCCAGGAAGGTCAGACGTGTTGCGAAAAATACCTTGGTGCCGGCTATACCAGAGAAAGTTGAACCCTCCACCGCGACATATCCGACTGTTCAGCCGCAACCTGAACTTCGGCGACCGGAGCCCATGATGGGTCCTTTGAGTGTTCCGACACACCCTCCGGTCCGGTACAGCCCTTATGGAGGACAGGTCTATCAAATTAGCTATAACCAGCCCGGGCACCATCTTCAATAGGCAGAAGTAGGGTTTTCAGGCCCTTCCGGAACTAGATTTCATAATGGCCTCGTTACGCAACGGTCGGGCATTGGAAAGAAGTTGGCTGGCATGGGTATGTTTAGCATTTCTGGCGCCAGACGAGTTCGGGTGTCATTTTCACTAACAGTCTGTGTATGATATCATTGGGCGTTTGTATTCCTTTCCTTTCACCTGTCTCGGCCTTCCTGCTCTGGTAAATTATTTTTCGGTCTGGAATACTAGCTTGCAGGTAATTTTGTATAATCGGTGCCCATGACGTTTTCATGAGTAGTTACTACTGTATATAATAATATAAATGGGGGGGGATACTGGGCCTGCGTTACTGTATGTAATGATAAGATACAGGGAAAAGCCATCATCATGACTTTTGATTTCTCGACCGTTTGCTTGAATTTAATTCCTACTAGTAATCTTTCGTATTGGCCAATATCACTCATATGGATGCTCCTATATTTTATATTATTCTCTACCAGCCAGTTGTTGGAACATGAACAAACTCCGCAATTTCTCCAACCCAGTTTGAGGCAATTGCACGTGAGATGCCTTATGGTCATGTGACTTTAGTTCCAATGGGCTCGAGCCAGTTTCCTGAGGAGCCCCGACCGATTTTTATTTGACCTCGTAGTTATCCTGTCAAGTTAACGACCGCCGTATTCGTGAATATCAGCCATTTGGAAGGAACTCTGCCCTGAGCTCTCGCATCTATATCTCCGATCACGTTTCACAATGGGTAAGAAGAAGCGCGGTCATCCAGATCTCGAGGAGCTGCTCAGTCGCCCTTGGTGCTACTACTGCGAACGAGATTTCGACGACCTAAAGATTCTCATTTCTCATCAAAAGGCGAAACATTTCAAATGTGACAGGTGTGGGAGGAGGCTGAATACAGCTGGAGGCGAGTGCTGCCCAAGATCTGGCTTTAGATACTCGCTTGCCTTGACTAACTTCCATCGTGTTCAGGCTTGTCCGTGCATATGAGCCAAGTCCATAAAGAATCATTAAGTGCTGTCGATAATGCCCTTCCTAACAGGTCCAGTCTGGATATCGAGATTTTTGGCATGGAGGGTGTTCCTGAAGATGTTTTGCAAGCTCACAATCAACGCGTCCTGACCCAATATCACCAGGCCGAGGCGGAGCGGCGTGCCGTGACGGGGAACCCAGCGCCTGGATCACAGGGTGGCGGGGGCCAGCCAAAGAAACCAAAATTCGAAAGCCCTGCGGAATTAAAAAAGAGGCTTGCGGAGCATAAGGCGAAGCTTGCTGAACAAGCAGCTGGAAGTAGCAGTGGGGATGTCACTCCTGTTGGCGCTGGACAAGGCTTGCAGACAGGAAATGCCGCATACGTAAGTGTTTTACGCATTTTCTCGCTCTGTTGGATGCTCAAGAGACTTTTTAACACTATGCGTTGTTGTAGGTTGCAACGCCTCAGTTTACCGCTGGTCAGCCGCTGAAAGGCTCGAGCCAGCAATATTCCTACCCGCAACCCTATGGGCAAAGTGGCGCTTTTCAACAAAGCACGGCGGCATTCCAGAAGCAACCCGATTATGCGTCCCCTGGATATGCTCCATATCCACCTGCTAGCCAACAGTTCCCTGTAACTCAGTTTAGCACTCCGCAGGTCTCGTCGCAACAGTATCAGCAGCCGGCTTCGAGTCTTCCACAGCGTCCATTGGGAACAAATACGCCTCCAGGACCTTTTCAACAACAACAACAACCGCCATTCCAGACTCAAACTCCTCCACATACCAGCCATTTCCCCTCTCGCCCTCCCAGTCTACCTACTGCGCCTGGCCTTCCGCAACGCCCAAGTTTTGGCGCTCCCCAAGTCAATGCTTTCCAGATGCAACAACTGCATCATGGTCAACCTTCGTACGGGTTAGAACAAACTCAAACTGGTCGAAGTCCCTCAGGGCCACATCCTGTTGGAGAGCAGCCGTCGACTTCCATTGATGACTTGATTTCGGGTGCGGCGAAACAGGCTGACGAGATTGCCGGTAAAACTCCCGCTCCAGCTACGAAGCCTGAGGACACTACTGGAGAGAAACCAGCTAAGAAAGAGAAGGAAAGGTCGAAGGCCACGAGAATGGTGTATTCTGATAACGAAATAAGTCCTGAGGAGAAGATGGCTCAGTTGCCTAGGTACGCATTTGTTCCTGATCGCAAAGAAGAGACGGTCCTTGGGGTTGCCACTACTGCTGCAGTTGCGGGAGCCAATACCGCTTTCGAAACAACAGTAAATCCATCACAATAGATCGAAGTCAGATTTTGTTTTCTCTTTCCCTCCATGCCTGCCAGATACGTCTTCATCGACAAACTTTCTTAAAAATCCGCTCCCTCCCTAGTCAACACTTCGCAGCGGGCGGAAGCAATTATTCTGGAGGAATGGTTATAGCGTCAAGCTAAGTCCTTCGACACACCAAAGTTTTACAATACATATATCCCTTGAAAGTAGCTTCAGCGTTGATCATTAGCAACTGTGATGAGCAGGCAGGTGCGCGTTTTTTTCTTCTTTCAGAAGCCGGATTTGGGGCCAACTGGGGCTTATTAACTGTACTCCTCCATCGAAGAAATGACCTACGGCTCTGGGTAACTGCATATACAGACACAGAGGCACGCAATCCACCGATTGTGAGATTATTCGTGATTGATCGGTATCGGTGAGTCCGATTCCGAATCTTGCTTAAATGGCAGAGAGCCAAGGGGGGCCATTCCGGAGCACACAACCACAGCTAGGTTCACTCGAATGTTCTTCACATCTTTGTTAATGTTTTTAACTCTTGGTATTTTCATTTCTTTTTCTTTTTTTCATTATTGGAGACTGAGAATGACACCAACCGCTCATGTGGCAGAAAGCCGAAGATAGGATTGAAGCAAAGAGGAGGGGGAGGGGGGGGTTTGTTTTAGAAGTTGAGCCAAATAAACGGGTCTCGTGTCCGGGCTACGATAATGGTGTTCCACTACTGCGTATTCTCTTCCTCTTGAATGTAAGTTTCCTGTTGACAAACTGTCCTGTTGACAAACTGTCCTGTAGACAAAAGTCCTCCCTGGGGTAGATATGGGAAGATAACGAGAAAATATGACGCATGGTTAGTCCTTCTAATGTTCTTTCTATCTAGCTGATTCCTATCTGGCCAGCGGTGGGGGGGGTTTCTTTCTTAATTTACTTTGCTTCATATGGCTTGCATACATCTATAGAATGTATTGTTTGATTGTTTAAGGTAGATACCTGGTGTTCTGTATGCTAGTATACTTCAAGCTATTAAATGACCGTGAGGACCCTATTGTAATAAGAAATCTAGACGGGAGCTCGGTAGATATGATTGGGTGGCGAACTCCTTTGGTCAAAACTGCAATTGACTTAATGTACGTAGCTAATTGAGATATACTGCCGCTATTTTCATTAAGCTTTGACTACCACACGCCTATTCCAGCATTGCCCACAGATCAAAGTTATCTGCGAGTACCTACTACCAGCCTAGGACTGTGGTTGGTGGCACATACCCGGATACTGCGAGATCGTCGACAATCGCATCAACATCGCTTGTTATGGGGGAAGAGGCGATGCGGATAGTTAATCAGAACCTCGTATTGCTTGGAGGCCTATTCAGGACTTTGCAATAGACCCCAACCTGGCCTTCTCTCTGATTCCTCGTTTTGGCATTGCTGCTGCTACTCTTCCTGACTCGCCTAATACTTGGCTTATACATATATTAATATTATATGGGGGAGAAGCTGCCCAAAATGCAGATTACGGAGAGCACTCCGCTGCTTGTCGTCCAAGTAGCTCCACGCCGCCCGCGATATCCTCACGCATCGCTCCGTCGGGCCTGTACCATCGGTCTCACTACTCTACTCTGCATCGCAGTGTTTCTATTTCTTGTTCCCTATCCTGTCCTCCTTCGTGACCACGGCTCCATTTGGTCCTATCTTCCCTGGTCCCAGCCTTTCCCTCATAAAAATTGGCCCCACGGGGACGGCCTGAGCTACACAGCACTGCAAAATATCCTCCAAACAGTTCCTAGTGAGAGCAAGGTGAAGGAATGGAGTCGATATTACACGTCGGGCCCGCATCTGGCCGGCAAGAATTTGAGCCAGGTCATTTGGACTCAAGAAAGGTGGCAAGAATACGGCATCGAAACTAGCATATCGTCTTATGATGTATACATCAACTATCCCGTCGATCATTCACTGGCATTGCTGGAAAAGAAAGGAGAGCATACAACAGTGAAGTTTAAAGCATCTTTGGAGGAGGATGTTCTGACCGAAGATTCTACCAGCGGATTGGCTGATCGCATCCCTACCTTCCATGGCTACTCTGCAAATGGGAACGTCACAGCGCAGTTTGTCTATGCCAACTTCGGTACATACTACGATTTCGAAGATCTTATTAATGCGAACGTGAGTCTGAAGGGAAAGATAGCATTGGTTAAATACGGACATACCTTCCGTGGCTTGAAAGTGAAACGGGCGCAGGAGCTCGGGATGGCGGGCGTTGTCATATATTCTGATCCGCAGGAAGATGGGGACATAACGGAGGCAAACGGATTCAAGGCTTACCCAGATGGCCCTGCTCGTAACCCCAGTGCTGTGCAACGGGGCAGTGTGCAATTTTTAAGTTCGTCCACTTTAACTATCTTCATATTTCATATTTTAGATACTAATTCGCCTATTAGGTATTGCACCGGGTGACCCAACAACTCCGGGATACCCTTCAACTCCAAATTCTACACGCAAAGATCCTAGTAACGCGATTCCCTCGATTCCATCTCTTCCAATTTCATACAGAGATGCTCTGCCGCTTCTGAAGGCCCTCAATGGCCACGGACCCAAAGCCTCTGATTTTAATGAACATTGGCAAGACGGTGGGCTTAGCCATGAGGGTGTAAAGTACAACATTGGGCCATCTCCAGAAAATGTTGTTCTGAATCTTTACAATGAACAGGAGTACGTTACAACTCCTATATGGAATTTAATTGGAGTGATCAATGGCTCCATTCCAGACGAGGTGATTATCATCGGCAACCATAGGGATGCATGGATTGCCGGCGGTGCTGGAGACCCGAATGGTGGCTCCTCTGCTTTGAACGAGGTTATTCGCAGCTTCGGTCAAGCCTTGAAATCTGGGTGGAAACCTTTGCGTACAATTGTCTTTGCCAGCTGGGATGGCGAAGAATATGGCTTAGTTGGTTCTACTGAATGGGTGGAGGAGAACCTCCACTGGCTCTCCAAGTCTGTTGTTGCATATCTCAATGTCGACGTGGCTGCACGTGGTCACCGGTTCACCGCAAGTGCTAGTCCCTTATTGAAAAAAGCCATCTATGAAGCAACCAGCCTTGTTCTATCTCCAAACCAGACCGTCAAGGGCCAGACAATCTTTGGCCTCTGGGATGGTAAGATTACCCCTATGGGAAGTGGAAGCGATTTTACCGCTTTCCAGGACTTTGTTGGTATCCCTTGTTTTGATTTCGGTTTCATCCAGGTACCTGGAGATGCGGTATATCATTACCACTCGAACTATGACAGCTTTGACTGGATGGATCGCTATGGGGACCCGAACTGGACCTACCACACCGCTGTTGCAAAAGTGTTGTCCTTGTTGGCTGCGTATCTGGCAGAGAATCCTGTCCTGGGTCTGAATGCAACAGAGTACGCCAGTGCATTAGCTGTGTACCTAGAGTCCGTGAAAGCGAAATCGAAAATTCCCGATTTCAGTTTCAAGTCACTTGATACTGCGATTGCAAATATGTACAACGCAGCGGTCGCTTTTGACACGTACACTGCGTCGCTTGCTATGGAACTCCACAATCATCTACCTTGGTGGATGTACTGGAAGAAGATCCAGCTCTTTTTCAAGATCCGAGCCGCGAATGACAAGTATAAATACTTGGAACGGCAATTCCTGTACCAGAAGGGCCTTGATGGACGAAGCTGGTTTAAGCATGTTCTTTTCGCGCCGGGATTGTGGACTGGATATTCAGGCGCGACATTCCCTGGCCTAGTCGAGAGTTTGGAGAGTGGTGATATGACTAATGCACAGGTGAATTTTTCCTTCTCCTTTCCCCGCTTGCTCTCCCTCTTTTTTTCATTTACATCGCCAGGCATTTACTCTGCACACCACCATTTTGGTTCTTTTCTTAATATTTGATGGCAGCTGCTAATTTGTTTCATGATTTTAGAAATGGAAATCCGTTATCAAAGAAAAAATTAACGATGCCACGGCTTTATTGAAGTAATCCAGGACAACATACTCTGACACACACCCCCCCCCCCCCCCCCCCAACTGCAAAATCGCAACCACTCTTGAGCCTATAGATATGGATTAGGCTTTCCATAGGCTTGCCCGTTTGTTTCGGACCACTCATGATTTTATATATTGGATAAGTTGGGATCGTATCACTATCTTGGATAGTTGGGGGTTAAAATTTCGGTATCTATTCACACCGGTTCTCAGATAATGGTTAAAATGCTGGAAGAATACTTTGTTGTGAACTTTTGTTGATTTGAATACATCTGCCTCAACTTCATCTATCTAGTCAAATATCTTTTTACTATGAAATATCTCCAATTGAGTTTATCTTGATTCATCTTCATATCCATATCGTCTGCATGAAAATTTACTTCGTTTCTCAAGTCGTTCTCCCGTGAACCCACACAAAGCCGTCATATATAAGATGATAAGAAAAATCAGTAGCCACACCAAGATGACCACAAATTGGCTGCTGTATGGATACCCTAATTCGGTTGTTCATCGTGATATTCGTGATCGCTCATTATCATATTCTTGGCTTCTAGGGTCGTATTCCATTTCATCACATTTTCACATAACTTCATTTGAATCAAATGGTGTCTTCGTTGATTCCATCCTAGTGAGATAGAGTCATTTCTGGATTACCTCAACATCACCTTCTGCAGGTTCATTCTGAGCTCTGGTATGCGGGGAGGAAAAGAACTGTCAACTAACAAGCATTTCTTTCATTATTCTTCTTGATCATTCACACCACTCTTTTGATCTGGAAAACCTATTTCCATGTGTGCCCTATCAGAGCACCCGTTGAGAGAATTTGCCGTTCACGACCTCATGCTCTTACCTTTCGATTGCTCCGTCGTGGTCATCTTGGTATTGTGGAAGTTCATCTTCCACATTTCCATCCGCATTCGTAAATCCGCTCTCGTCGTCGCAGTCATTGTCATCGCTATTATGAACAAAGCGATCACTCTCCTGAGCCCAAAACACGGGCAGTGCACTCAAAGTTCCAATAATCCCTAGCATCCACCAAGGCAAAATCATATAGCCCTTCTTGACACCTAGAGAAAAGGCTCCCCCCAATGCTGCCGGGCCCACTGCTTTTCCAATTGCAGACACACTGGTCGCTACTCCGTTTAACGTCCCCAACACACTTACGCTTCGGGCTGAGTTGGTTAACAGGATCGTACAACATGGGAATGAGAATACGACACAAGTCAGTTTGCAGCACAGGAGCACGAATGCTGCCAGCTGGCGGGAGGCGCTGGTGGGGAAGAGAACCAGGAAGGGAGTCAAGAAGTACGTGACTGGAAAGACTATAGAAGCGGCTTTTAGACAGTTGAGGACGCCATAGCGGTGCGCAGCATGGGGAAAGATGAGAAACTGGATCAACATTCCGACTACGCCAATGATGGTGTAGAGGATGCCGATTTGTTGAGAATCTGTGGGGAAATTAGCAGATGCAAAGGAGACAGGGTGGGAGATGTAAGGTAGGGACTACTACACATACCTATGCCGAACCCTCCAGAGAACTTGAATGGAAGCTTCACATCTGAATTGTTTTCATAGTTCTGTGGTTTGTGGTTGAGAAATACGGGAAATACGGAGTCATATGCCACAGTATGCATTGACATCATGGCGTAAGCCACCAAAATGAGATTTGACTGCGGGGTCAGTATTTGCGACCATGGCAAGTTGGGCCTGTGTGCTCTTTTGTTGGTGTCGTTTCGGTGAATGTCTGGACCTAGCAGGCGTTCTGTCTCGTCGACAATGAAGCTACTGGAAGTTTTTCGCGCCTTGCGGTTCACAAATGGTCTTTTGAGGATCTTAACTAGGGTCAGGCCATAATCTTGATGGCCTCTTTTCGACGCGAGAGTTTCCTGTTTCAAATGAATAAATATCGTCTGCAACGACAGTACAGTCCCAATATGACACGGCCGGGAGATCGAAACATACTTGCAGAAAAAGAACTCCAGTGAATATCCCAATAACAAAAAACACCGAGACAGCAATATTGGGCAAGGCAAACGGATATTTCTTGAAAAATTTACTATTGCCAAACCATTTCTCATGTTTTTTCGCAGGATCCGCTAGTGCCCCTCCAAATGCAGGGCCAAAGATACTCCCAACAGTCCATACCAGCGGCATCAGGCTGAATGCTCGCGGTTGAAGTTCTTTCTCAGGTACCAGCTCTGCAACAACAGTCCTAATAATCCCGACGTTACCGTTTCCCAAACCGATGCAAGCCCGTGATAGAATAACCATGGGCAGTGAGGTTGAAAACCCCAGAAGTAAACTGAATATCATCGTGATACAAAGCCCGCATAGGATGATTGGCTTTCGGCCAACTCGATCGGCTAGTGCACCCCACGGCACGGCGGTTAAGCATTGGCAAATTGAAAATGTTGCCGAGGCAAACCCGACCCATTTGGCGACTTCATCCTCACCGACTCCTAGGCTGCGTATCATTTCGGGCTATTGGGGATATGTCTATTAGAAATTATGCAACTCTTTTTTTTTTTTGGATTCGGAGATAGAGGGCCATGATATATAGAAGAGGTATGGAGGGAATGTACAAGTTATTATTTTTGATTATTTTGATTGGAATTTAAATCTGCTCAAATAAGCCAGAAGAACTGCCCACGGATCGATGAAGATAAGGAAATGGTACATACAAGGTATGGGAATACGGAGGTGAAACTGACTGAAGACATGCAACGCAAAACCAGTATCTTAGCTCTCCATTTCTGCGGTGTCTTTCTTTTGATCACACAAAAAGTAGAAGAGGAGGGTTTGAGAGATAATACCAGGCTCCGCGAATCGACATATTGCTAACAAAGTTCAGTTAGCTGTTTGTTTAGTTTACTGGGAGGACGTTTCTACACTTGGGATAAAACAAGATATGTTTGTTTCAGCATTTAGGGCAAATTAAAAATTGGCTTCACCTACCTAGTACTATGAACTGTTGCAGTGGTAGTTTCGGTGCCCGTTTCCTTATATCCATGGTGACTAGTTGCGACAACAGCCCCTCTTGTGTCCCACTCAACGAGTTTGGGGGAATGGTGTATGGGAGGAACGACCTAAGTAATTTTGAAACTTGAGATAAGCTGTGTTAACACAGCCTTTAGATTCTCACATCGGCAGGAAATAGCCAGTCTTATAAGCTAACATATACAGAGTAGAAAAGAGGAGAAGAGGAGAGACTAACCAGGAAAAGCAAATTTCACTTCAAAGCCGAAGAAGAGGAGACACTCGCGAAGGCCAATGCTGTTGGACCCGCCAACTCTGTGAGATTGGTTGATTCGTAATCGGACCCGCAACCCTGCTATTAACTAGCAGCCGACCAGGACTGTTTACCAGTTGCAAATAGGAATGGTGAGTCTCGTTGGCATTTTAGGTGCATGCTCCAGCTGCACTATTCTCTCGCGGTTGCCATTTCAAATCGTCCCATCTAGGAAACAAATTGGTTGAATATAGCATCTCCAAATGTCAAGTTTCTTCAGAAATCCAGTGTTGATATATCTCGAGGTTTGACTCGTCCAGCCTTGTGTCAACTGTTAAGGGATGAGAGAGTCATAGGCTTTGCCGTTCGCCGCCACGCTCTGTTGGCCCGTGTGCTTGTGGGGAGCTTTAGCCGGCTTAGTCGGCCCTTGGCGTTGGCCCTGGATCTTCTCACGTCGTAGCTTTGATGTGGATCGCTTCCCAGCCTTGTAATTCCAGGGCTCCCTTTATCGAATTCCGGGGAATCCGAAAATAAGGCGCATTGGGGTAAATCAACTTTGTTCTTCAGATTTATAATTCAAGCTTGTTGAAATTGACATAATGCCCTCAGGTTTATACTCAACACCACGCAGCGTGTGTCCCAATGACCGCAAATTGCTTATGATAGACACCGATGCCGCCAATTAGGTGGCTGAAGCTCGGAATATCAAGCTGACACCTATTTTTATTACATCATGGACATGTGGTGCAGGCCATGTGTCCCCCGAATTGCTCCTCTCTCCAAGGGAAAGGTCTTGCGGAAGAAACACTGCTCCACTGACAGCCCGCCGGTGGAATGGTCGATAACTTAAAATTAGTAAAGGTGAACAGGAAGATTGACGATCCAGCAAGCAGATCACTTGGTGGATGATTGTATTCCAATAGATGTGACCCGGGCAGTTTGCTTTGGTGTCTGTCCTCCAGGGCCACATAGGCTATATATCTTGTTTATTCGTAAATTGTTTAGTTATGATCATGGCGCCTCATATGCACAGGGCGGAAGAATTCAGACCCGTTTCGTGAGAAAAAAAAAAGAGACGGCCTGCTTGATAATTGTGTCTTTTTGACATCGATCATTAAATCTAGGAGTCGATGCGATCCTTAAGAGACAGTTTTTCATGCCGTTTCTGTGGGGCCCAGGAGCAATTCGGCGCGGTATTTTGTTGCATATGGGTTACTGGCGAAGATGTATGAAGATACCAATGTATTCCAAACGGTACACTATTCACGTCGCCCTGCTATTCAAACGGAAAGCTCCAATGCTTTGACACGTCTCAAAAACTAGATTGAGAGCTGCCAAAAGATCCCATTGCTTTATCTTTAGTGTACCAATATCTCAACTAATTTCCCCAAAATTCAACATTATTAGAAGTTGGTAAGAAACTGACTGCATTGCTGTGCTAGTTAGATATGTCACATACCCCTGATCCAAGCTGGCAAGGTGGACTCGCAATTCGAAAACTGATTGAATTTGCTCTGGCTTTGTCTCTAGTTTGTGGTTGCCGTTGCCCTACACCGAACTTCTGTCCGTGTCAGTATGCACCGCCATTTCACATTAGAGAGGTTGAATCGTTTACCGTCCGCTTAATCATTGGGATGCGAATTCGCTGGGGGTGGGAAAGGCAAACCTCACGGTGATTAGTCCGAGAGAGATGAAATGACAGGACACACAACACTTCATAGTCCGTAGAACTTAGATAAATCACATTTCCTATCTCATATGCTACTTCCGCTTTTGTATTCATCAAGCAAAAACCACTAAACCTTGATGGCTTCTGTGTTGCGATATATACCCACAGTAATTGTTAGATACGGAGACAGATGATTGCAAAAATTGAGAGCAGGGAAACTCACCACTTGCGGAGTGCTTGGCAAAGTTGAACCCGACAACTTCTTTGGATGGCTCCTGGGCTTGCACGACGCCTAGCATAAGAAAGATATTTTATGTGGATCACAATCGAATCTTTTCACTCATAGAAAGTTTACCTAAAACCTGGGATGGGGTATGGGATTTGATATCGGGCGACGACGTTCCCCTGAATCCCGCAAAACGGACTTTTTAATAGCATTCGGGATTTATCTGCCGAATGGTGTATCAGGATAAATGGATTTACAAGCGAAACTAATGTAATCTAAAGCAACTCACCTGGCTCCCTGTGATTTGGAGGTGCCAACCAAAGTAGCAGTCTGCTCCTTGCTCTGGAAGAGCTATTGTGATACCAGGAAATGTAATGTCCCACTAATCAGTTTAGGATTGTAGAAAGGTCCTGATACTGATACTATTCCCATGTGGCTTGCTGCTGCTGCTGCTGCCGCCGCGAAAAGGATTTGAATCATGTGCTATGTGTTTCGTCACCACCGCATATCCTCCTCTCTACTGGCCAGATGCCTTTGACCAGATGGCCTTTTGTTGATCAAATATAGCAGAAAAACAAGAAAAATAGCAGGGTCCAACCGCGGCTCAATTCTTCAGTATTTATCGCCAGGAAGCTGGTGGGTGGCATGAACTGACGGGTTTATAGAGGAAGGGTTGCATATCCTCCACAAAATGGGTACTCTCTCGTGAATCCCTGCAGTGCAGGTGGCTAAATACGGGTGATCCCAGGTATCGTATCCACACAGTGGTCGACATATCTAAAGGAAAGTTGGAGTTTCCTGATCCACACCACAGTCGGGTTGAAGATTGTTTCTGAGGAATACCACTTGCAGTCATATTCTAGATGTCCATATGGATGTGAGACTGGAAGCCGGATCGATAGCCCTGAATTTCCCGTAGCTCTGGTTCTTGGGTCGCAATAATTTTTCTCATTGGTGCGTATGCAGCTTCGATTTAGCTTCATCGACACGTGGGGCTCAACTTTTAGGCATGACACCTTGAGGGACAGCTCATAATGATGTGGAGGAACCGCAGCTAAAATGATATGTGCATATGAATTGGCATTGTTGTTTAAAAGAAAAACAAATTGCAGTTCAGAGATAAGTTTTCGCGGCTGAGACGCTGATGTTTTAAAGGAATTGTTAGATGCATGAGATCTCTCGAAAAAAGTCTGGAGGATGGTGATACCTGAGAACAATAAGTTCTGCTCAATTTGTCTGTGGCCTAAATATCTTTTGCGATATTAAGTTTGAAGCCCTCGAAATAACCAAGCAGTTGTGCTTTGTTTTACCAATAATTAGTTATCAAAACAAAACCAAACATGGAAAGTTTTAGAGGAAGTTTGCTAACGAAGTAGCAGTTGATCCAAGGCCTTTGAAAAATCACCCCGAAAACGACAATATTTGAGCTACGCTGGGTAGGAGATCATTTGCAGCATAATCTGGTTTTCAATTAATTATTTGGTTTATATAGGAGTTAAACTAGTTACAATTTATCTTCATCTGCAAAAACTAAAACCAATCAAACAGGCCAAACAGGACAAACAGATGGGCGCTAGCCCAACTTAATATCAACTTCAGTTCAATGCAGAGACGTTGAAGCAATTTGTATATGCTAATGAGGGATATAAAGATGCGATCTAGTTACAGCAACAGATGAACTACCAAATGAACTCTGCCATGGATAATGGCTCTCTTCTCCACGAAGGGAAAGAGAAGAAGCGAAAGAGAGGGAAGAACCTAAAGAAACAGCAGGTCGTGTTGCTCTTCTTCTATGATGAACAAGATCAGCAGATGCAAACCAAATCATTGCACAGAAATGAACGTGTGGAAGCTTTGGGGATCTAGGTAGCTCAATATACAAGACTGGAATTGCAGGACCCTGAGCCTCAAAGAATCGTTATCCGTTGCGAAACATTCCTCAAAGTTGGACACGGATTTCTTGTTCCCCGTATGCTCCCTGACCGAGGTACCGCGGTGACAGCTCACTGGTGAGAAGGGGTCAGCAAGATCCTTTCTATCATAATTACTACTGTTGTCAAGTCTAGCTGATGCTTACTGAAACCAAACACTACCTGTGGCTTGGTCTTTGCACTGCTCGATATATTCTGCAAGGTCGTCCTTAGCTTTCCCTTCTAGAGCAGGTAGGCGCTTTTGCGCCTCGTTGACGATATGATAAGATTCTTTAATGAGCTCCACAGTGTAATCAGCTGCCTCTTGCATAGTCATCCCTCTGCGCATCACAAGAAGTGGCAGTATATTGTCGAATTGGTTATCTTTCTAAATGATGATTAGGTGAGTTATCATTCTAAGCGGTGAGACAAAACTACATTTCAGACGCCAACTTAGGGAACCCGGCAGATTTCCTCTCATCTTGAAACTCAAAAACACAAGTGGAAATGAACTTACAATTTCTTTTCTGATTGAGAACAAGTCATTGGTGCTAAGTTTCGAAGCCACGCAGGGTCAGTAATTTCAAGCAGACACTTATCTGCGAACTGAAACATTGACGGACGTCCACTTACAGAGAAACTATTCGGACCACATGGTATCGGATCGTCTGAACAGCCTCGTGCCTTAAGGTCTCTTGAGGTATTTCTATGCCGCTGGCAAAGCTAGCAGATTGTCAACATACTGCTCCCAAAAGTCTGGGCTAGGAGAGGGTATCTTACGGGATCAAATCAAGGGTTGGATAGACTCCAATATTGATGATCCTCCCCTCTATATACTCTTCTATAGAAGGTAGGTATGTTTCTCGCTGTTTGCTGACCTCAAAAAGGCAGTTGACATATTCGATTGTGGTGTCCATAAACTGCTCTTTTGAGGCTGTAACCGGTCGTCTGGTCAATGACGGAAAAGAAGATACAATTTGGTGATATGGATTTTGGATTGGACCTACCTTCTGACCATCCCACCGCGAGTTTCGGACCACAACTTCGATAGATGTAGCAGCATGGAAGGACAATTGGCTCTGGACCGCTTCGCTCCGGGTTAATCCAATATTTTAAGAATGGGACAACCTGTTGATCTGCGAATTCATCCGCTCGAAGAAAGCTATCTGCATCTGTTGATAGTATATCGGTGTAAGTCTTGGATTTGGGCCCTTGGACACAATCACAGTGGCTCACCATCGTCGAATGCAAAGAACTGAAGCAATAATTGTTAATTCATCTGGTCTGATTGGGTAAAAGTGTCAGTCGCTGGGAGCGAATACCATACCCAAGCCATTTTCTCAAACAAAATTTGCAATCTTTCCTCCGTCGTGCGCGGAAAGAAGCACGCAATACAAAGTGTCAGGTTAACCTTTTTGGCCATCTCCCGGAGGTTTTCTCTTTCCACCCATCTAGAGAGGTCGAACATATCAGTTTCGAATTGAACACCACACAAATGTGCCGTTGTCGTATGTACTTACTTATCGAGAAACGTGCTCTCTTCTGCGTGGATTTTTTCATAATGTTGGTTGATACCAACATACCATCCGGGGAAAGCTTTAGAGAGATATGGTATTGTAAATGACTGCCCCTTCAATAGATCTATGATTCGTTGTTGTTCCCCTTTCAGGGTACCATCGGCGAACGAGCATTCGGATGGGTCGGCGGAATGAATAGAGCTAACATCACTTGCACAGTCCATTTTAACGTCGAGGGCAGCTACCGGAGCCTTGTGTTTCGAAGTCTGAATTTTACCACTGTTTAGGTGCCGTGAGCATTTTATTAATAATGGAGGGGAATTGCAGCTGCAAACGCAATCCCCACATCGGTCCCGCAGTGCAGATCGAGTCCTTTTATATTGGGGGGGGGCACCTCGATGCACCTCGATCCCGGGGATTTGGTTTTGCTGTACATATTGTTTACGCGCTAAAATTTTGTGCATCGAAACCGTATATTCTTACGATCCCATCCGGCTGTCCTCTAGCGGAAAGCCGTTGAATGCCTTTCAGTGAATCCTACGATCATAATTTCGCCATTGCGCTTAACTTAGCACTTGATACCGCTGAAGTTTCTTCACAGAGCGCATGTCATTTCCACCCCCACCTTTTCCGCTACAAACAAAAGATTTTCTTCTGAGGTTATTATTTTTTTTTCCCTTTGGGACGCTTTATATCGCAACCATTATTTGCGGTCTCCACTCTAGGCTATTCTTTCATTGTTCATGGATGTTCAATATTACCGCCCCTCGTCCGTATAAGGTCTTGTTAAAGTTAGTTCTTGCAAACTAGAAGTATGTTATCTCGTATCATGCTTTACCCATTCTTCCTTTATTCTTCACCTTTTCTGCCATATCTTGGTCGACTGAAGGACTCTGACTTCAAGATAGTTTCTTCTCAACTCCATACCCCAGCCTCAGCAGACATATACCTCTCGGAGGCTGACAGAATAGCTCTTTATCAGGAAAAATCAGAACACTCTGAAGCACATTTCCTCATGACTATCAGTCAGAAGATGTCTAAGTAATCATGCCAGGTTAGTAGATTATGCTCTCTGTTAATTGCAGTTGAAATAGGTATACAACGATAACTTATTCTATCTATCCTTATCCTTCTGTAGTCCGTTAAATATGACACGGTCCGATTGGCAAACAAGGAACCAATAGAATGGGCTGTGGGTCGAAAACTATGGTCTAGTTGTATTTTGTTTAGATATTAGGATAATAGCATCCCTCATATAATATCGTCGACACTGCCGACCAGTGAGGGCTTCGTGGCCCCCAATTTCGATGGATAATGTACAGTACATGTTATGTTCCATGCACGCATTCTAAGCTAGACTATTATTTTCTCGTCCAGTTGAAGAGAGAAAGGCGGGGAGCAGCTGTGTTGATAAACGGCACGGAAACGAAATCTTCCAAATCCTACTAGTTAATTACCCACGATCTGTAGGTGTTGCGTTGACAACAATAGCAAGAATACGTGGATTGATAAACCAGTCAGCCACAGAGCTTATTTTATCCTAAGAAACCCTGCAGTTTCACGCCTCCATAAATCAATTGACTTTTGAACTCTTGATTTTCCTTTTTCTTTGATTTGTTCGATGTAGCTGAACTGGGTGCTCCGAATTTCTCAGAGACGAGCTAATTACTAGTTATTCATGGGTCAGGTCAAATTAAGCCCTTGCAAATCCTCGCATTTGACCAATTCGTCCGTCAAAACACTGATGAAACAACTTCATCCCCCAGCCAGGACGAATTTCTTTCCATAAAACCGTTAAATCATGTGGAATCGTTGCTCACCGTTATTATCAGAAGTAATCTTCGGGTTGCAATATTTTCTCGTCCTCAGTCTATTTTTCTCACATATTTTTGCCTTAACCTCATATCTTTATTGAAACTTACGGCACATCTCCCCAGTCCTTTGGTCGCATCTATGGATCTGCCGCATTCTGGACATCTATGAGTGGATGGCTTTGAAGGCAGGAAATCAAGTTGGCTTGCCACGCCCCCCATGCAGATATTTTCCAGAAATGGAAAACCTGGTCCTGATCCTGTCGATGAAAACGACATGTGTTCCATACGCCTTTGTGTGCCCCACCAGAGGAACGAAACATTGCGATAGGGTGCAGTACCTATTTTTGAATTAAGTGATAAAATCAGACAGACATATATATCGAACCTTAATGAAGGCTACCCAGGGATTTAATGCTAACTGGCGACGGTGGAAATGAAGAATCTGAGGAACAACAATACTAACAGGCGGCTGATTATCTATGTATTGTCTTTGCTTCACCTAACCGGCCATCCCTTACGTCTACCCAGGCTCTATTTTGGGTTGCTAGCGAACGTGTGTTGGTTGAGGTACCCCTCGACGTTCTGGGCAAAGGCATCACCGGGAGTCCCATTCTACTCGCTGTCTAGATTAAACCGAGTTGGATACGGTGGGGTAGCATTATTCAACAACCAAGTGACAGCAAAGCATGGCACAAAAAGAACATTTTTAACTGGGGCCGTGGTGTGGAAATTGTTCTAGCCAACCCCCCCCCCCCCCCCAAGGTTGATATTTGAACGACAACCGCAGCCATGACGAATAATTATTTAAACAATATCACAAGTCTTTCGCGGTCTCGGGCACTGCCGTATTAAGCTGGGTTAATATAGCTATACGTCACTAGTTACCGCACAGCTTAACCAGCTACTCTGCACGGAGTATCTCGCACCTAGCAGCTTCGACATCATACCAATAATACGAAGGCGCAGCATCTCTCACAAGATTCGATTCACCCACCAACCGCCATATTGGAACATTTGAAACAAAGCAAACAATGCAATTCATACATCGTTACGCCAGCGATACTTAACATGTAAGTATCCAAGGCGGTATACTTTCATTTAGAACAAAGGCAGTTTAGCAAGGCAGTGATCCACAGCTTTCCATCGATTCGTCAGCTCAAGGACACAATACTTACATCTTTTACCACGCGACAGTAATGCAGCATTTTTAATTTCACTAACCCCCCCCCCCCCCCCCCCCCCCCCTTCCCTCGGCATTGCTGGAGAATTCAACAATGCAGACTCTGATGCGAAGAAGCAATGCTGCCGTTTTTCATGAATGCCCTTGACGAACGCCTACGCCACGCGGTGCCGTTCTCATATCACTCGACCGGGGATGATCTTCATCTGACTGAATCTAGCGCAAGTGGCATAAATGGAATCACCCGGATATGCACTGGTTCTGTTGGAGAAGGGGATAATTATAGCCTTAAATATATCTCCTGGTTCCTCTTCATGCTGAAAATCCCCCGTTCTCCCAGTTTTTATCGTCGAGTTTTGAGTTGTGATAAAGCCATATGGAAGTGCTGACACCAGATCGAAGATTATTTTGTGTTCGTAGTTTCTTTTCTTTTTTGTTGCTTCTCCTTTACTTCCAAATTTAACTTTATTTTTTATACTAACCCCATGTTTGGTCCAGGTATAAACAAATAGATAAGGATATGCTGGTTGCTTGATGGGCCTTATAAGGACTATTTCACCTCGCATCTACCTGGATCTATGACCTACCTGTTTGCAAACTGAGAAAAAAAATTGTCTCAAAAATATTTTGAGTAATAACCAAAAGACATATCTTCTGACATTCACCCTTGGAGAAAAAAAAAACATGGGGTTGGTAGACAACTCTATTACTTTGACCACCTGCGGTATTGGTCTTCTCCTTGTATGTTGATCCCATTCGCCTACTAAAGCTTGTGCAAGTCGCTAACAAGTCTCTTGATGGTTTCCAACTCTGCGTGGGAACATAGTGTATTGTGGGGAATGTCATATATAACATTTACTTCCATCCCCTGAGCAAGTTTCCGGGTCCCAAATATCTAGCATTGGGACGAATCCCGGTGACTTTGGCAACCCTGCGCGGTCAGAGAGCGCAATTTCGATTCAATGCCCACAGGAAGTATGGCGAAATTGTCCGGATCGCATCCAATGAACTCAGTTTCGCCCATTCACAGGGGTGGCGAGATATCTACGGGACGCAGTCCAAAGTTCAAGTGACCAAAGCAGTGAGTGGTGTAGAGGAGAAGGAAGGGGCCCAGTCTGTCGTTACCGCTGAAGGGGCTACTCACACGAGGCAAAAGCGGATGATGACCACCATGTTCTCAGAGAAAATGCTGAGGGAGAAGGAGACACTTTTTGTCCGCTACGCTGATTTGCTAATAAAGCGTCTGGAGGGGTTTGAAGGACATCCAGTAGCATTGGCTGATTGGTATAACTTCACCACTTTCGACATAATCGGTGATCTTCTCTTTGGCGAACCACTTGGGATGCTCTCAAATTCGAAGTATGTTCCTTGGGTCAGGTCTATCCACGACTTTCTCAAAGCATTTGCCATGATTGTAGTACTGTATGAGTATCGTTTGTTTCGAGCCCTTTGGGCTCTTGTACCCTCAAAAGCCCTCAACAACTTACGGGACACTCATTTCCGCTATACAGGACTGAAGCTGGAGCGTTACCTAAGTCGTGACGCAAATTCACGTCCGGGTCTCATGGGATACTTGTTGGATGGTGGCAGCCGAAAGGGACTCAACTTGGAGGAAGTCCACACAAACGCTCCCATTCTCGTTTTCGGAGGTAGTGAGACTTCTGCAACTCAATTACGTTGTCTGACCTTCCTCCTTTTCAAAAACCCTGACAAGATGGACAAGTTGATAACCGAGATTCGGACCAAATATTCCTCATCTGAGCAAATCACATACGACTCACTCCTGGAGCAAACTTATCTCAACGCGTGTATTGAGGAAGGTCTACGATATTACCCTCCCTGTACCAATGGCTTGCCCAGAACCGTCCCGAAAGGCGGAACCACTATCTGTGGCGAGTTCGTTCCCGGTGGCACTAATGTTTCTGTTGCCACGTACTCTCTCCTCCGCTCACCTAGATACTTCTACCAAGCGGACTCATTTATTCCAGAGAGATGGCTTAAGGAAGGTGAAGGCGGCAGTTCACTTTTCGCGACTGATGAAAAAGCAATTGTTCTTCCGTTCAGCTATGGGCCACATAACTGTCCAGGCAAAAAGTACGCTGTTTCTTTCTTTCTTTCTTTCTTTCTTTTTTTTTTTTTTTTTTTTTTTTTTTTTTGTGTGTGTGTGTGTGTGTGTGTGTGTTTGCCTCCACTTTCCAACCGTAACCGATTTCTTTTATTTCTTTTGTCTCACAGAAGTATGACTTGCTAACTTGGCTTACAGGATGGGTTACTACGAAATCAGACTTATCCTATCCAAGGTCCTCTGGCATTTTGACCTGAAACTTCTCCCCGAAGACGGCGGGGAGGAAGACTATTGGGACAGTATGCAAAACTATCAAACTTGGACCAGACGGCCGCTGAAGGTAATAGCAAAGCCTGTCCAAAGATGACAATAGCTCCATCCAGCATTTTCTTTATGTTTTCTCAAGTGGTTAGTGTCTTGTATTGAATTTGCACAAATGTCATTGAGGATTTTTCTTTTACACATATTTCTCTGCTGCGGGTTTAATTCACCTTTTTTTATCTCCAAGAGATGTTTTTGCTTTTTGCTTTTGGCGCTTATTTCAATACACAGCCAACTGGGCTTCACACTCACTATTTGAGATAAGCAGACATCTTCAGATGGGCATTCACTACCTCTTCATTTCCGCTATATATTTTTTGGGGATGGGATCATCCTGTCTGTCCAGTATACAAAAGTTAGTTTAGCAAGACAGTTAATCTGTATTTTTACCCATTCACATGTTGTGTATTTTCTGATTCTCAGATATGTGAGATATCTCTTCTTTCCCTTAACCGCTTGGGGGTAGGTAACCGAGTCATTGACTCTCCCCTGCATTATTACCATGCGTCCCTTCTTAGATACCCGGCCAGATGGTACAATATCTACGCCACGATACTCGAATCCATTGAACCGGACAGCCGCCAAAGTTTAACCCAAGAGCCCGATTATCAGGCGTCTTCTTTTCATCTATATTTCGGGGTTCGCTGTGCACCAAGAACCAAACAGCAGTTAATTTTGAGATACTTTCCTATTCCTCCTAATCCGGCGTTCCGACAGATAGCTTCCTTCCATGGATATCATTTACCGTTCCCTAGAAAAACGTGGTCTCTACGCGCTGACCACAGAAGAATTGCCATCTTCCTTTACGTGCTAGTGGAATGTTACGAAGATTTCATTTGCGCAGCGGCGAGAGATGTGACGACGAAAACAGGCACCAATCAGGGGGGTTCATCATCACGGTAGAATACTGTTTATCTAGAGTACTGTTTATCTAGAGTAAACTAGGGTACAATCAGCGATCATGAAACATCACGTTGGGCGCAGCTAGTCCGTTAACTATCTGGCGATGCACCGAAACGGACCTGGCCCCTGGAAAATGTCATGGGGTCGGGTATGTCCCAAGACTCGACATCTTGATCTTAACTTTCTGTATCTGGGAGAATGCGGAGTATATAACTACCAATAGGCAATCATCATTCCTAGCAAGGCTTGCTTTGCTTGGATTGTTGGTTTCAGTAATTTCTTTGTTGCTATTTCCTGGTACATAATTGCGAAAAAGTTCAACGGGCCCTTTTTCGTCTCTGATAAAAGAGTTTGTATTATATTTCCTTTCATAGGTACATCCAACATCAATGCACACAAGCTTCGTAAACTGGATACCGGTTTGCACGCCAGGATTAAATTGACAGAAACTTTCAGGGGAAGAACCGGCATGTAACTAACAAACGAATCTATCTATTATTTCGTTCACCACGCAATGTGCGCGTAAGAAGAGAAAGAATAGCAGACGCGTGCTGCAAGGGCTAGTTACCTTCTGCTTTAGTATCTAAATGTATATTTCCTCGTTATGTATGCTCTGCGTTGATTCACCCGCTGAAAAAAAAAAGAAAAAGGGGAGAATGAAGCAGAGGAGAAGATGTAACTAGTTAACAACTAACCAACGCGCGAAAGGGTTTTTCCACCACGGAACAATAGCTCTGCACCCATCTCAAGTGGCGTATTTTAGCTATTGTTCGTAGGACAGCTGCATATTGAGTCCTACCCAGTGAATGTTAAATTATTTCTTTTATAGAGAAGAGAAGAAAAATAAATATCAACGAAACAAAATTCCACCAAATGCTCCAGCCCAGCATTCAAGTTGGTTCGACATATCTGCAAACGGGAGGTTATATTTTTTTTTTTTTAACTTATACGATTGCTTGCTCCGTAGGTTTCTATTTTTATAGATCGATCCTACGGCGTGACCAAAAAACTGGCGGGCGGGTGGCGGATATCCACCCGTCATACCATCCCCTGTCCTTCCGATGAATTCTCTTCCTTCACTCTCCAACACTCGTCCTTCCCTTCGTCAAGAGGTAGTTATGTTAGTTAGGTGTGTGCTTTTGTCCCTACGAGTGTTGTTATCCAATTTTGAGTGTTATACCGCAGATTCGCCTTGTCGGTATATGTGCATATGCGATTGTAGAGTTACAGGCTGGATGATTTGTGCTAGTTACCAAGTTGCAAAGCACAGGTGGTCCTCAGGTGCCAAACAAACACTTGAAACTGAACTTGATCAGAGTGCGCTTTAAATCGACTATATGCTCAACTTCATCCTAATTAATACCACAGAGAGATAAATGTATGAGAACGAGGATGTAATATCTACGCATTCACACTACTCATACGGCAAGGTCAGGTCAGTTCAAGTATTACAAGAGCAGCCGTGGTAGGATCTGCTGCAGCTGGATTCCTCAGGGCCGGGTCCAATATTTGCGTCCTGTGCATGTGTGCAAGAAAGCGAAGAATAGGGGTGGTTGGCAGCGTCTGATATCAATGAAGCAAAACAAAAGCTTTCCTACGCTTGAGAAGCCAGTATTTTAGTCCTGTGCACAAAATTGTTTATCTGTAAAAGGAAAATGAAAACTCTGTTCAACTCCCTGCCATGCCACTCGAGAGGTAACTCACTACATATTGCGGTACGACGTTGGTTGGCGCAGGCGTTGGGATCGCCAATCGAGTCGGTTGTATTTATCACCTCCAACAGGGTGAGGAGTCTGCTGTGACTCGGCCCGCCGCAGAACTTCTTGCGTAGTTAGTTATATCCGTGGAGAAGGTCGCATCGATAACGTTACGCCGGCAAAATTCAAAGGAAAAAAAAAGCACACGTCGGCCATGGCGGACAACTCTGCTTCTCCTGATTACTCTTTTGCTCCCCTACAATGTACAGTATATAAATAAATATATTGTGAAACAAGCGCTGTCGTTATTTCCACTCATCATATCTCTATTACTTTCGTTAATTTGCCCTCCAATCGCGGGCTCTTCAGACCCCCGTTTTAACAACCCCGGCCTATCCATATCCAACGCCAATTTAACCCCCAACTTCAACCGCGCCCCTATCGCTTGCAGGTTCCTTTACGGGTTGAGAAAACACGAATATGGTCGTGTCCAGGACGCGGCTGCTGTGAGAATTTGCCGTCGCGACGAAATGCTGGCATATCATTTTTTCCCTTTTGGATGTTGATGGGAAACTTCATATCGAAAATCCCTCAAGCGCTTCAAGAAAGGTCGTAATCGCACCAGCACCCAGAATTCCGGCAGCTGCAGACCGCTTCAGATTCCTCCGTCGTTCCGAACTATCTTCCTTAGCTGGCGTTTCATGTCGAGACTGCCTGCCACTATTATTATTACTTCTTCGGGATGTGGCTTGGTGGGAATGGTGGTGAGATTGTGCTGCATGCGTATGAGGCGCGGGCGCTCGAGGAGAGTGGCTCTGGATATTGGTTGCTGGGGCAGATGACGACGGCCATTTGGGAGAATGCGGTGAAGACGAGAGATGCTGATTGGCGTGGTGGTGCTGGCTGGGTGAAGAACCGAAGGGCCGTGAATGGCTGTTGGGAGATGAGCTGGGGGGAGTATGACTGTATCTCTGCGGCTGGCGTTGTTGAGGGATGGAGCGGGGCATGCTGTGTGGGTGGTTTGGTGATGAGGGTGAGCGGATATCGGGTTGTTCGGGAGCGTAGACGGCGACTTGTGGAATTGGGATGTGGAGTTGGGATGGTGAGTGTTTCGAACTGCCATTATCTGCACCGACCTGTTCATCGTGGCCTTGGCGATGCGTTCCTGTTTCTGGAGCTGAAGTGTTTCCACTTGGAGCAAATCTGACTTTCCGCTTTGTAGGCTGCTTCTCGATATCACTTGCTGTATCGGTGTCACTATCAACTCGGGCTTGAAACTTGGAATACCCCTTTCGAAGTTCAGCCGCGTGCTTCCTTGCCTCTTGAGAATTAGGTTTTCTCCAGTCCGATGTAGTCCCCTCAAGGTAATACCCTTGAATACCATGCCCATCAGACTCGTCGCCGCATTCCTCAAATTCGCTCTCGGAGTCGAGTAACACCCGGAGTGACCCCTTGAATTGTCCTGCAGGTAGTTCCCAACGCTCCTCCAATCGCGTCCATCGATTGATTAACGGCTCAATCACATCTGAAGATACACGAAGCATATCCTTTGGGGACTGGTTAATTGGAGTGAGTGACGTATCAAGGTTCCCAAGGGATATCACGGATAATTTAGTTGGTGTAGAGGACGGTGGTTGCAATCCAAGGCTGTTGGGCTGAGGGTTAGACAATCTGGAGTCGTTTTGGTTCTGATTGTACTCCATGGCCTCCCGAGCAGCGAGTTCATATAACCGCTCAAGCCGGCTTACAGACCAATACCGGACAATCACCATATTTTGGGTTTCCGCACGCTCTTGCTGAATGAAATCGTTTCCAAGAGGATTTGAAGCATTCCTGCCGGTGTTTACTATTCAGCCCCTGGTTCTATTTTGGACATTTGGATAGGCAATTCTACGTACCTTATGCTAGAGGTAAGTTTTCCAAGTTGTAGAACTTGGAACATGAGCATAAGACTCAGCTTAAGACTTTCGAGATGGGCTAGCAGATACGAAACATGCTGTTTTCTGAAGCAGCGTTTAAATCGCTCCTGAACCAAACCTCCATTATCTTGTTGAACTTGCTCCAGCATTATTTCCAAATCCTCAAATATGGCACGACTCTGTTCACTAATTTCTCTTGCAGTGTTCAAAGCCTCGGATGAATGTAGCGAATCCATCGCCTGAAAACTGTGTGTAATCTGCTTCAAAGACATCGCATACAGAGAAAGACCTTTCCCAATGCTGTGAACATCGACGCCAGCAGATGCTACTTCGCAGGCAACAGCATTCAACATCAAGGAAAGCCGAAAGCCCGAACCCGCAACATGCAGGATTGAACGAATAGTGTCTGACGTCCCATTAGTTTCTGTAAGTTGAGGCGGGAGATCAAGACGTACATATTTCGGACATTTCAAATTCTTCATAGAATACAAGATTTCTCAACCCACTACGGGCCCAGTTGTTAATTAAAATACACTTGAGAAGAACTTCGTGGATGCTCTTGCGATGACTAGATGACAGGTTGGATCTAGGTCTTTTGCTTAGACGGAGATCCTTCAATTCCCAAGCTTGCGGAATATAAAGGACACAATGTATCCAGAGGGAGGCTCTGCTCAACCAGTCCAGTAAGGCTAGATATACGGCGTCGAGTCATTGCACCCGGCAGCCTAACGCCGAACAGATGCGACAAGGACATATTATTGGCCTAAGGAGCAACATCGTGTCCACCCCGTGCACAGTTAACCCCAGAGAATTCCTCCTGGAGAACTAATGCAATCAATCGACATCGCCACCTTCAGCCTAACTTTCAGCAGATAGTGGCCCTTTGCTAGAAGAGAATATCAGGCTTGAACCCAGCCTTGGGGTGGGGGAGCGTTTGATACGGCGATGACGTAGGTAGTTAACGAGTTGCATCCTTCGACAGATAACAATCACCTGACCGCGACTGCACTAATTTGTGGGCGGAATCTCCTCCTTTTGGTACGAAGCAGATCAGCCATGAGATTGGGATGGGTTAACTGGGCAAATGCTGAGTTCATGTATCGGATCTCACTACCCTTTACTAATGTTCATATTTGATTGGATTTCTTCATATTTAAATAATGCAAATTTTCTTAGCTTCTCTCATATCAATACTCTCTTACTAGGTTGATCTAGATAGTTAACTGTTGAGAGAGTTGAGTGATTAGCAACAATGTCTGATTCTTTGCGTATGATGCTCTGAATCTTTGAATCCAGAAGATCTAGATTGAATGCAGATTCCATGTTAAAGCAATCTGACCCCACTTTAATTCATGTTCTTCATACGTCCGATACTTGGCTATACGCGGGTTACATGGTAATCCAGAAGGCCTAGTATTATCTTCATCTAAATGGAAAACGTCAAGAATGACCCGTCGCGCAGTTTAACTGTCAAGGGCTGCTCAGAAACCCACAGATCTTGAGGCGTTTCATGGAGGATGCAAGGGGAACTTCTCTCCTATATACACGGTGCTCAAAGAATTAGGAGGCAGCTGCGACAAATGAATAGGACTGTAAACCCATGGTCGATTCATTCCGAGGTGGTTGGCACTGATATGAGCTCAACCCAGGTGCTGTAGTTGCCAGATCTGAGGGAGGTTTGCCCGTTTATTAATGCTGAAGAGAAGACGATTTCAAAATATGAAAGATATAAGGTCCCTTTCCATGTTGTATGGTGTTAGGACGTTCAACTTCCATCACCCTGGCTGCAAATAGGGATTGGTCATTTCTCCTGTTTTCATATCCAATGTTGGATTATTCTTTATCCAGGATCAAAAAAAGCATGGATTATCTCTTGAGGTGGGGAAGCACTTGCTGCTCCTTTGCGGTAACAAAATAAACATTGGACGGGGATTTTTGTTACTTGTTGTTTGGATGAAATAACTAGGATTGTTATGCACATCTCGACCTCTACACACACACACACACACACACACACACACACACACACACAGGGTATTCTTGCTTGCTCGTGCAAGAAAACGCGAGTTTGACAGTTCTCGGATTGCTGACTTTATGGAATGGACCCTCCGCCCAAGCCTGATATCGTCCAGGTATATGACGACATTGATTCAGGTTGATTAGCGGGCAGCATCCACACCTTCAGCTAGGCGACCTATCAACAGGTAGATAAACATTAATTCACGTACCTGAATATAGCTTCCGGCGAAAAAAAACAATATCAACAGAGAAATGCAGAAACCCTTGGCAAAATATTGTTTACGACGTACACCATAGACCTGGTAGATGTTCCGTAGGCTGCGGGTCGCGTGTTGAAAACACACAAAAATAATAAAAAAGATATAAATTTATGCCAACTCGGTAACTAGTCAGTTATGGTTGTTGCTGAAACCAACAGCTGCAAGCTGCAACAAGGAGTGGATTGAAAAGAATCTCCAGATGCATGTTCGAAGGAAGAACTAGATATTTTGATGCAACTCTTTACTTACTGACGAAAGTTTAAACGACTTGATGCCGGTTTTGTCGTTATTGCCCCTGCCAAACATCGATCAGCTGCTGAAAAGTCCCCGAGGATCAATGTGAAGCACCTCAACATCAGACAGCACCAGCATCAAACTAGAACCTAAACCTCACCATCACATTGTGACGCGTTTCGGAAGTATTTCGCAGCCCTCCTGCCTGCAGAAGTTGAGGCGCTGAACTAGAATCGCGTGATACATCGCAGTCCTGTCGCACCCAGCCCTTTGCGCCCGCCACACCGAACATCCAACTTATCCTCCCGACCCTTTTCCCCTCTATTGGTTATCCACGGACAGAAGTCGATTTCTATTTTCCACAGCTATTACCTTAAAAGAGCGACTGCTGGTTGGTGGTTGAAGGAACTGACTGGGTCGGTTGAATGTGCCCAGAGATAAGGAAGTTTTGGGAACGATCAGGCTACCTCCACCCGCGTGGATGGACTACTGTCTTTAATTCGTTGAGTTGACGGACTGCGGATGTGTCGGGTACGTCGATCCGAGCGGACCACCAACTCCATCTTCGAGAAATATCCCATATCGATCCACGATTACTTATAATGAACCCGGCGGCCACGGGCTCTACGCAATGTCCGGACCTTCCCAACCTACCCCTGTCCCAGCAAAAGCTGCTGAGAGAGGGGTTTTGGCCCCCGTGGTCGAGCGCGATGAGTTTGGGTTACCTATTCGAACTCATAGTCGGTCACCACAGTCAAACAAAGATGACGAATCACCAGTCGCGAAGGACGGAGTAACGCTTGCAAAAGACGACGAGGCTGCGGCGCCAACTTCCATTGAAAGCACGAAGGAGGTAGACCTATCAGAAGAAGATCGGGCAGTTCCGCCCACTATTGCATCTGGAGCTGCAAGGCATTCTACCGTAAATGGAGTCGTTCCGCATTCCACGCCAACACCCGATATTTCCAACATAGCGAAAGATTCTGAAACCAGTGGGCACCTTAGCTGAATCCAGCAATTCAGATACGCCGGAGAACATCGACAAGTTTGAATCATTGGACTCAGATGCTTCGAAAACTCACAAACGCTCTTCGTCCAGCCAAAGCACCCAACACATATCTGAATGGTCACATCAGCGGATTACGGCAGTCGAGGAGGAGAAGGTTAGTGACGTTTCTGAGGATGAGGGATGGAAGGATATGCCAGCTTTGGATGAATTTGATATATACGATGATTATGGTAGAATTGTTGCTCGTGGCGCTGCACAGGAAGATGATGCGGCTGTTTATCAGGGACTGGGGGGCGCAGGGAAAGGCTATACTCGTGTCCAGATCGACGAAGATGTGCAGTCAGTCACCAGTTTAGATGATGAGACGAAGTACCTTTTCAAAGAGCCGGAAAGCAATGCTATTGGTGTTGAAGACGAGCAACGGGACCCCCTCGCCCAGTTAAAAGCAACGAAGGACCTTTTAACTGAAGGACAAAGAATTGCATATGTTGGAGTGACAAGATTAACTATCTATCAAATGATAAAGGAGTTTCAAGATATAAAGCCATCGAGATCATCGAAGAAGTACATATCTGCAGCCATTGATGCTATGTCCAAGTGGGGTCAGCAGATGATGATCCGGCTATATACACACATGGACATCGACTCTGCGGAACAGATAATGATCGAACAGCTGGCAGAACATGGTGTTCAGCCAGCCGACCTGATCCCGCCGCTCATGAAAAATTCTCGAGTTAAAAACCCCCTTTCTGCTGAAGTTGAGTCCCCAAGACAGTCAACCTCTTCCCCCGCTGCCCCTGCCCCGGAGAAACTCCCCAGTTCAAGTGGATCATCAGATTCTTCTGAATATTGCTCATTACGATCGTCATCACCTCCACAGCAACCGTATGAAAGTCACCCCGATGGCGATATACCAGAAGTTAAATCTCCTTCTGAGATGCCGACTTCGGAGAAGATAGATATCGACATTCGATGGACGGTGCTTTGCGACCTATTTTTAGTTCTTATCGCTGACTCGACATATGACGCCCGCTCACGTCGATTGCTAGAACGAGTGGGGGAATCCTTGGGTGTGACTTGGTCACAGATATGTCGATTTGAAAAGCGGGTGGTTGATGCATTGGAAATGCAAGAGGAGAAAGGCAAGGAGACCTGGGATGAAGCGGAACATATGGAAATGAGGCGAAAACAGGCCTTGAAGAAAAGATATATGATCATGGGCCTTGCGACGGTGGGTGGAGGTTTGGTGATAGGCCTTTCAGCAGGATTGCTGGCGCCAGTCATCGGTGCCGGTCTCGCGGCTGGATTCACCACGATCGGAGTCACCGGAACCGGTGCATTCCTAGGGGGTGCTGGGGGAACAGCTCTCATAGCATCTGGCGCTACACTTACAGGTGGCACAATAGCCGTTAGAGCTTCTAATAGGAGAACTGGTGCAGTGAAAACGTTTGAATATCGGCCCTTGCATAATAATAAGAGGGTTAACCTCATCGTCACCGTTTCTGGGTGGATGACCGGTAAAGTTGACGACGTTCGACTGCCTTTCAGTACGGTGGATCCCATAATAGGGGATATCTATTCGGTCCTTTGGGAACCAGAAATGCTTCAGAGTATGGGAGATACAATTAATATTCTTGCAACGGAGGTATGTGCAACTTATTGTTTACTTTTAACTCGTTTTCCTTTTGCTAATTATAATATCCATCCAGGCTCTCACTCAAGGTCTTCAGCAAGTCCTGGGAAGCACCATTCTTGTTGCTCTAATGGCATCGTTACAACTCCCAATTGTTCTCACCAAACTTTCGTACTTGATCGACAATCCGTGGAATGTTTCACTGGTCCGTGCTAATGCATGTGGCCTCATTCTGGCCGATTCCCTCATGGCTCGAAACCTCGGGAATCGACCCGTCACTTTGATAGGATTTTCCTTAGGGTCGCGCGTAATCTTCGCGTGTTTGAAAGAACTTGCCGAGAAAGATGCGCACGGGTTGGTTCAAAATGTTTATCTATTCGGTTCTCCAATTGTTGCAAATAAAGATGAATACCTGAAAGCGCGGAGTGTCGTTTCTGGCAAGTTCGTGAATGGCTATGCTTCCAATGATTGGATTCTCGGATACCTCTTCCGAGCCACCAGCGGTGGAATTATGAGGGTCGCCGGCCTGGCCCCTGTGGATAATGTTCCTGGAATCGAAAACATGAATGTCACGCAGCTCGTTAATGGGCATATGGCTTATCGTGCGGCGATGCCAAGGCTACTTCGCGAGCTGGGCTGGGAGGTGGAAAGTGACGAATTTACTGAAATTGAAGACCCCGATCCAGATAAACACCAAGAAAGACAACGGGAGCTGATTCGTGAAATCGACGAAGCACGCAAGCAAGCAGAAGCAAAGCCGGATAAGACGCGATTTGGCTTCTTTAAACGTGGGAAACTTGCTGAGAAGAAAGGATGGGAAACCTATGACGTAGATGGCAAGGACTGTTCTTCTCGAAATTCGTCTGATAGTGGGCGTAGCCGTACTTCTCACAACCCCTCTGTTCTGTTTGATATCGGTGCTATCCGCGCCGAGCTAGCAGCTGAACAAATGGAAGTGAAGCAACTAGAATCCACACTTCCCCCGATAAAGATTGATCTCAACCCACCTTCACATCTACCCGGAGATTCATCGTCTGGCGAGAAACTGTCAGTGAGTTCGTATGACGCCCCCGAGCCCAAGGTGACAAAGGCCAACAACGGTGGTCCTTCGACCTTGGGCCAATCGACTGCAGGGCAACCGAGTCACACCCTTGGGGGCTGGCAGGAAACGTTTGAAAGCAACCACCGCGGCCATGACGATGATAACATAGAGATGACCTTTGATACATCATATACTAGTCCTCCATCCCGATCACCTCGGCCACCGGCGGCCTTGTCTCCACCATACGACTTGTCCAGGATGAGTTTGTCGCCATCATTGGAATCTACCAGTGGGTCAAGCTCGAGATTTGGCAGTGTTAACCTTAGCCATAATGCCTGGGCTGATGACGATGACGATGAACGAAAAGATGCAGATATACAATTGAGTTTTGAGTAGTGCATAATAGCAACTAGGAGGCGGTGGGTTTTTTTTTTCTCTTCTTTCTTTTCTTCTTCTTCTTTTTATTTAATTATTGTCTTCCGCGTTGATGGAAGTCTCAATTTTATGTATATCTTTCTTTCCATATATAAATTCTTTCTATCCCAAACAAGTGGATTTTGTGTTGTCATTTCTCATTTTACCCTTTTTCGTTTGACATTGGTGTTGCAAGATTTCTCTCTGCTATCAAAGTATAAGATTTGCGCTTGGTATTAATGAGGAGCTTCTTCCCCCTTCGTTTTCCTATTCTCTCTTCTAATCGCGTTGACTGATGGATATCCCGGTACTATATTGATATTTGTATAGAGGTTAAATATCTTTGGATCTTTACATCTTAATCATTACCATCGAGTCATGACCATACCCCTCGACCGATGAATTTGTACAGGTTGTTGTTTTCTTTTCGGCTGCTACTTTACTTTCAGTCTTATGGGAATCGCATATGCTTCTAAACGTTAGATCCGAGAGACGGGAGCTGGATACGCAGAGAAAACTTAGTTATGTCTTTCTCTTAGTGATGCCCTTGGGAGAATGCTGAAGTAGAAAACCGCATTTGACCCCTGGATGTGAATATGGTCCCAACCGGCGGGATACACCGATAATCATTAATAATAAGATATTTTTATATACTGGGTCCGTAAAGTTCTCTTTCATATCCATGTGCATATACATATATAATTATAGATCATAAAACCGCGCCTGTGTTCGGTCGTTTGAGCTTGGCAACCATCACGGGTTAAGGTGCGTTGTTATCCTCTCACACTCAATTTGGGGCCGGTCAATAGAGTTGGCGGACTTATCCGCACCGGAAACGCTACAAGCATAATTCAGTCAAACATCTTAATCAATCCTGATCACATCCCTATAAGCTCTCTCCCATCCCCTCAGGCAGCAAGCCTGATGGCGTGCCGACGCAGCGCTGCCAGCGCGCCCAGCCCCCCAACACCACCGAACGCGTCCCGAGCCTTGACGCGCATCTGCTCCCCCATACGCCGTCCACCCAAGAGACCCCATCTCCTCACCCCAATCGCCCGCCGCACATGTGAACTGAATGACATGGAGCCTCCAAGCTCCCCTACACCAGCAGGCAGCTCAAAGAGCAGAAATGTCGCACCAATACGTCTCAACCTACGTGGCCCGATGGCTAGCGATCTCCTAGCCGCCCACGAGGCTGAGGCACAGAAATCCCATGCAGAAGCACTAGCTGCTGCAAATATGCTTGATCGGATTGAAGAAGACCTAGATATCATGAAGGCAAAAGGCCTATCAAGGGCACTGGCCCTTGGAGCCGCCGTGAAGGCGTTAGTCAAGGACTGGTACAATGGAAGTCTAGAAACAGCTAAGCAGTCCACCACAATCAAGCCTGCTGGCTCCACTGGTGCAAATGATGCAAGTGCTCCTACCTATGCAAAGACAGCTGCAGACAGCACCAATGCAACAAAAACACCAGCAACTGTACTGCAGAAACCCCTGCTTAGGAATAACCCCAGAGAAGGAAAAACACCACGAATCCTCGCGCGCCTGCCTTCAGATCATCTAGCTCGCAAAGCAAGCCCAATTGCTACTCTTAGAAAGCTGAAGGCTGAACTCCCGGGGCCTTTGGCAGCAGCCATCACAGCAGTTCAAGCCATCCCCACAGGCATTGCCATCATTCCTAGAAGCTTGCAAGACATGGAGGCCCTGCTAGCCCAAAAGAATGTTTTAGCAGCCACTCTCACCAATGCTCAGATAGAGAAGGAAGAACATTGGATCACCTGCCTGATTCCTGGGCTGCCCATGGAGATTAGTGACTATGATGGTGGAACTCTGCGTCTCTCAGCAGAATCCATGACAGAAGAATTCACACTCCAAACCAGAATCAAGCCTGTCCAGAGTCGCTGGGCAAAAATACACCCTGGAAACCCAACAGCCACCCTTATATTACACTTTTCACAAGAGACAGCAGTAAACCTGCCATCAAAAGTGGAACTATATGGATATCAAAGACCAGTGATCAGAAAGGCACCTAAGGTCAAAATACAACAATGCAGCAAATGCTGGGGATTTCATCAAGAGAGATACTGCCTCCGCGTCCCTCGCTGCAAAAAATGCAGTTCTAAGAACCATGTGAAAGGAAATCCATCCTGTCATAAGGAGAATGAAGCATGTGGATGCCCCAATCGCTGCACTAACTGTCTTGGACCACATGCCGCGGATGATCCATCCTGCCCCGCCAGACCAGGGATAAAGAATGGGACTGTTCAAAGGCACTCAAGAAACCAGCTGAGGGATATCCGCAATGCACAGAGTAAGGCATACTTGGCCAAGGCAAGTAACAGCAAATGCGGTGGTCGAGGTCCATCAGCAGACCTGAGGTTGAATGACTCTACTGAGTGTAGATCTAACCTCACGCTGACATCAAACACAGCACCAAGCACAGCATTGAGCACAGCATCAGGCACAGCATTAGGCATGGTGTCCAACCCAACACCTAATGCAACACCCAACATGTCACCTCATGCAACAACACCCTCCTTTCAGCTACTCAATGAAGAAGAACTCTAGGTCCCCGCAATTCCTGCAGATTATGCAAGTCAACGTAGGAAAAGGGGGCCCAGCACACGAGACGGCCCTCAATCTAGCGTTTGAAAGAAAGACTGACATCCTTCTCATACAGGAACCCTGGATTCACAGGAACTTAAGCCAACGCATCTCCAAAAAGCATCCAGCATTCAACTGCTTTGCCCCAATTGAAAAGTGGGACAGGAAGCCACGGGTCCTCACCTATGTGCGTAAACACCCACAAATCCATGCTCATGCAGTCCCAGGCCCCTGGGCAGAAAACCGGGACATCCACATGCTGCACATACAGGCCTGGGGTCTACAGCTTCAGACAGTCAACATATACAATGCACCCCCAGGCGCAGAGGATCCTGGACAAGGTGTGGGCTGTCTTCTCTCCTGGTCTGTCCCAGCACTCCCGTTGCTCCTTGCTGGCGACCTCAATATGAAGCACCCCGTGTGGCAACCAGGAGTGCCTCCAAGCATGTGGGCGGAACCATTCCTGCAATGGACCATGGATTTCAACTTTACTCTCACCATGGACCCAGACACCCCCACACGTGGGCATAACATGATAGACCTGGCCTGGGCCACCCCGGAATTAGTTATCAAAGGAGTGGACACACAGGTGGACAGATCCCTTTACACTTCCTCTGACCACCAGACTCTTCTCACCAAAATCAGCCTTCCACAGGGCGCAAGGCCTGACAGGCCACCCCATTTTTTCCGTCTCGACACCATGAATGAGAAGGTCTTTAACCAGACGCTGGAGGCCTATAAGCCAAAACTAGACAAACTATGTGATATCCCAGAGTACCCCAATACAGATCAGCTGGATGCCCTGGCTAAAGGTATCACAGATGCACTAATAGCTTCCCTGGAAAGTTCCACCAAGAAGAGCACCGGGCAAGGCACAGGTCAGCCATGGTGGAATGAGGACTGCCAGAAAGCAGTGACAACACTACATCGTGCACAGCGCCTAGGCTCTAGTTTTTTACGAGAAGCAAAAAGCAACGTAGCCAGGATCACCAGGAAAGCCAAGAGAGAATACTGGCGAGGCAAGATAGCAGAGGCCTCAGTGGGGAAAGATATCTTTAAGATGATCAAATGGGCCCATTCAACTGGCTCCTTTCATTCCCCCCCTCTTGTAGATGAAGAGACTGGGCGAACGCGAACAACCCCTAGAGAGAAAAGAGACCTTCTGCAACGGGTGCTCTTACAGAAGGCTGCAAGCAGAGAGGATATCCCAGTTAGCTGGTCCAACCCACCATCTGTCAAATTACCATTTCCTGTTGCCTCAGCACATGAGATACAAAGTTCTCTGCTGAACACGGGTAATACCACTCCAGGAACTGATGGAGTGCCAACAGAGGTGCTACGAAAGGCATGGCCACATATTAAGGTATCGGTGGAAAGGCTGTTCAGAGCCTGCCTTAGGGTTGGCTGGCACCCAACCTCCTTTCGAGATGCCACACTGGTTGTGCTGCCTAAGGTCAACAGAGATCCAACACTCCCGCGATCCTACAGGCTCATAGCCCTTCTCTCAACGTTGGGGAAGGGACTGGAACGCCTGGTAGCCCGTAGGCTGGCCTGGACAGCTATACAAGAGAAGATTGTCCACCCCCAGCACTTTGGAGCCCTCCCTGGGCGGGCTGCCTCAGACCTAGTGGCAGCGATGGTTCATGATATAGAGGAAGCCTGGGCCCATGGAAAAGTAGTCTCTCTTCTTACTCTGGACATCAAGGGTGCTTTTGATGCTGTACTCAGAGGAAGGATGCTGCGGAGATTGCAAGAACAAGGCTGGCCACCAAATTTAATTAGATGGGTGGAAAGCTTCATGACAGGACGCACAGGCAGGATCAGATTGGATGGACTCCTGGGAGAGCTCTTTGATATCCCAGCAGGGCTTCCACAAGGCTCGCCAGTCTCACCTATTCTATTCATGCTGTTTATTCAGCCTCTGTTCTTTCTAGGAACTATACAAAGAAGACGTGCACGCTCAGGCTACGCAGATGACCTAGGACTGCTTAGTGCTGGAACCACTCTTGAAGGGAATGTTGTTACTCTCCAGGAGGATTTCAAGTTGCTAAATGATTGGGCCAGCAAAGAAGGGCTAACATTTGATTTTGCCAAAACTGAGATAGCACACTTCACACGGCGCAGAATCCTTTCAAACCCCTCAATTGACCTTGAAACAACATCTGGCACTCACTCTATTACAGCAAATGCAGTGAAAAGCTCCATAAGATATCTAGGAATCTGGCTAGATAGAAAACTGAGCTTCAAGAAACACGTGGAGACCATGGCGGCTAAGGCACGACAGGTGTCTAATGGCATACGGGCACTAAGCAACACGGCAAGAGGCGCCCCAGTACAACTGCTTAGACAATCCATTCAGGCCTGTGTGCTCTCTGTGC